CGAGGACCGGCCCATTCCAAAAACGCTCGACATCATTTTGTGTGTGAGATGAGCGTATAAGACAGGAATCTTTGCCAAGCGGTCCTCACAAAATACAGCATTCAGTAAAATATGTTGAAATATGTTGTTCACTAAGAGCGAGAGTATAATAACACGTTCTCATCGCATTCTCGTTCCCAGTTTCCGCGGTTTACGCAAGGAACGCCTGGGACCATGACCCCCTTTTGGCGACGAAGAACGGCTTGCATTGTAAGACTCAGGCTTTCCTACGGAAGCCCGAGTAAAAAGCGTTCTATTAACGAAGGACAGATTGTTACAAAATTTAGCGGAATTTGCGATCATGGACCTTCACGGGTAGAATTTCCTTCCCATTCCTATTGTGCATTTGTAACTTTTTGAGCTTTCTTTTCATAAAGGCATTTTTGTTAAATGACACTTCTGTTAACGGTTGTCCTAGCATTAAACCCAGTTTTAACACTCGTTCAACCCCTGTTATCAAACAATCTCCTAATGGGAGAATAAACAAACTCACTCACAGAAAACAGTTCAAACTGTTTTTCGATTTCAAGCGTAAGTAGGCACCACTTTGGATTTCATTTTAACTTTAATACATTTATATAGTCGCACTATTTGTTGTAAATAGTGTTGCAGTCTGATCGACCGATTGACAGTTTTCTTCGCGATGCATCGCACTGACTGAAGCTCTGTCACAACTTCCGCGATATCTACCGTGAGAGTCAGTCTCAGTGAGGAACACTCTTCCGACTTCCAAGAGATGTTTGAACCTTGAGGTTTTAAGTGCCTTAATGTGATCTAAAAACGTTACAATTACGCATAAAAATACAACTACAGCTACAATTTTGGGTTGCTTAAAGCAAATTGACGAGATATTCACTTCTATGAGTTAACCTGTTAAAACACAACCGAGCATTTTAATATGATGAACTTTTCAGATACCGAGGATACGAGACAGGAAGCAACAAAAACTGATACATAATCGTGAATTGGGGTACATCTGGGGCTCTTACACTGCTGATTGAAAAAAAAATAAAAAAAAATAAAAAATAGTTTACAATCATGAGTAGTATTCTTCGGAAGGAATTTTACTCTAAAAGGTTCCCAATTTCGGAAGAGACACTTTGTAACAACTTATTGTGCTGTGGTTGAAGTGAATGTCAATAGCGCATGCTCACATGCGCGAAGTACTGCGGCTGCGTACTGTTGTTTACTCTCGTCGCTTCTCTTCACTTCAGGGCGTCTAAAAGCAAGTTTGTCCATGTCAATAAGCTTCTCCACCATCTCCAGCGTTGGCTGTATATCATCAAGGACGCTCTTCACCGTCTCCTTGATTGACGACGTTAATTTTTTAACCAAGGCTGTCTTGATTGGCTCGTCGTCTCCGTGCAGGAGCTCCAATTCGAGTCGGAGTTGTTTAATAGCTATACCAGCCATTTGTTTCTTTCGTTTTTCTTTCTCCTCGACAATGCTGGCGTCCTTAGGAAAGACAAACGCAGTAAAGGAAACTTACTTATCTCTGATTATAATACACTTAACTTGTGCTAGGCTCTTGGTTACTGAAAACGAGCGAATTGACGAAATGGCAAGTTGCTTTTCTCAATCAATGGACGTGTTGGGAGAGGTAAGAAGAAACCGCTCAGAAAACTGGAAAACAACACCAACAAACGAAAACGCGGTGAACTCTTGAACCAAAATTAATAAGCCTCTAAAAAGCGACTTGACCAAAACAACTGGGTGAAAAACTAAACAACTCGCACACGCACAAATCGCACGCGTAACAAATGCTCACGATGTGTTTTCAAATTCAAAAGGTCTCAGAGTGGACGCTCTCGCTAATCGCTCAACACACCAGTCCGATTCTGTTTTCTCTCAAACAGGCAAGTTCTTGAAGGCGCACGGTGACCTATATTTTTTATTGCATAATCTTGCTTTATAAATCATCCCCTTTGAAGAATAAAAATTAAATAAAAAATCATCGGAAGGAAAAAGAAAGAAACGCTAAAAGTAGATAAGAAACTGTCACTCAAGAATAAGAATATGACCTTGACCTTAAGCAACGACTCGAGAAACGTATTATGTCGATATCGTTTAAAACTGCACTATTTTTCAAAGATTATATATCTTATTATTCCATGTAGTCAGGGCTCTCTACCTATAAAATTGTTTTTCTATTGTTACTTAAAAAACTCTGGCCTCTAGCTACCACAAAATGTACCGCGAACCGTGAATTAACGCGCGTGATTATTACCAGCACAGGCTTACATCGAGTAGGCTTTGCCGATTATATATCTTTAGCAAGCACGGTGATCTGTCTTTTCTTTTGTAGTTCTCGAAACAAAGATTGGCAGGGAACATTCAAGGAAAGTTTTAAAAAACTTTCGAAAACTTCTATCTCCAAGGAATCACCGTCAGGCACAGAAAAATATGCGGAAGAGAAAAATTAAGTTTCGCAGTCGTTTCTTCGACAACTGCAATCACACTTGAAATCTTTCGCCTGGTATTTCGCTTGGCACAGCAGACAAGGAATCATGAAAAGGTGTATTTATATTTGACATCCAATCAAAAACAGGATCACTGTCTGATATCATCCAAGAATTTTGACTGTTTTGGGTAAATTTGCTCATTTAACAAACAAAATCTTACATACCGAGAAACAAAAAGAAAAATACCAGCTACATACCTTAATATCACAGAACTGAAAACTGGAGACATTTTCCGTTGTTAGTGTAATGAACTCCGCATATCCATACCGTATGGCCGTGCTTGTCGGAAGGTAGTCGAATACATCTTCCTGTTCAGGAACAATGCCCTTGAGCAGTTCCCACTTCTCTGGATAAGGAAGGCTCGTATCTACCAGTAAAGAGCAAAGTATTGTTTGAATCAAGATGATAATGAGTTACATTTATATTTTAGGCAAAACCTTGAGCGACTCTTAGGCAGTGTTCACACTTGGTGCCCGGGCACCGTGCCCGGGTTCTATTCTACGCCGGGCACCAATGTGAACACACCTTTTTTCCTGGTACCCACGCCAGAATTCGGGCACGGTGCCGGTGCCCGAGTACAAGGTCTCGACCTTGTACTCGGGCACTAAACTGGGCACTGAGTCCTTGTGTGAACATATTTTTCGTTGGTGCCCTGGCACTTTACCCACAAACCAATTGTTTTCGTACCCACAATTCCTTGTCCCACTCGAGATTTCAATAGTGAGCGTGTGCTCTGTTTATTGAATGCGAACATATCTTCAGACTGGGTACCGTGTGTCTGAACACAGCACCATTTTGTGCCGGTGCCCGGGTACTAGTGCCCGGGCACCAAGTGTGAACACTGCCTTAGTTACATCATCTCGGCTCTTAAAGCCCGGTCAAAAGCACGCAATATTCCAACGCAACATCTTGCAATGTTGTTGGATCGTGTTGTGATATGTTGAAAAGGAGTTCGCCAAACGTGCGCAAAATCTTGCAACATCAAAAATTGTTGCAACGGAAATTTAACCATGATCAAACTTGATCCAACACCACCCAACATCCTTCACCATGTTGCTACAGGATGGCCAAACGTGTGCAATGTTACAAGATGTTGCGTTGAAATGTTGCGTGCCGGACCTTTAGTCGCGTGTAACAATGAGACGTAAAAACTCTGAGCTGATTCAAACATAAACTTCCCAAAACTCTCCAATTTAACGTTAAAAATGGGCCTCTTCTGGAACACGGATGCCCAGGATAAGCAAGTACTTGAGCCCTTTTATATCTTAATCAGGTTGAACGCGGTAGTCTCTACTGACCAGGCGTCGCAAAGTTCCTTATCCAATCAAATCCTGGGCTCTCAGGGGACAAAACTATTCTTGGCACCAGTCTCTTTTCCAGCAGCATCTTATAAAACGCAGCCCAGAGCTCGTCAGTGACGAAATCGTGACCACTGGTGTGCAGGTCATAAACAAACATTCCAACTTCAAAGAGCTTCACTTCTACATTTTCAATTTCCTTTCTGCGGCCTTTCTCCTCCTTGAACACAGTCAGCATCCTATTGTCCACGGACAGGGCACAAATCACAGGTTTTTCAGCGTGGAAACCGTTGGGGGCGTAACAACCTTTAAATTTGAATGTTACGTAAAAATCAAAGGAAATGCAAGGACAAAACAGTGGCACCTTAGCTGGTACTTCGCACAGAAGAAATAGATGATCAATGGCTCCTTTGATGTCTAGATAAAACATATGTACGTATATGAATGTATGAATGTATGTACAAAATGTATGTATGTATGCATGTATCTATCAATCTGTCTTTTTCCCTACCTATCTATCTATCTATTTAGAGTTGCTGTAGGGAGCTTATTTCTCAGAGATAAAAATTTTAAAAAAAGAGAAATATTGAATCTAAATATTTTAGTCAAGAAAAATTACTGAATACCAAAAAACAGATAATTAGAAAGATCGATATGAACGATTCTTACATCTAATCTGGATTTCTGGAAGAGTCTGGGAGTGAGTTCCAACATTTATACAGTGAAAGTACAAATGATAGACAGCTTCCATTTTGCTTTAGTCTGCGGGTCAAGTCTCCGTACAAATTTTTCTAAAGACGTCAGAATTACAAATTTAAACTTGCCTGGAATTCTCTCCGAGCACTGATTCACTTGCTCAAAAAACCGATTTTCCCAAACTGCTGTAAATTTCTTCATCACTTGACGTGTATCAGGAACTGTATCAGGAACTGTATCAGGAATCTGGAAAGATTATGAAAAACCCAATGAGTTATTTGGAATGATATTATCAGAAATGTTTGATTTTCGAGTACTCTCAGTTGGGGCTTTAACATACTAATTTTTTACGTCGTGAATTATCATTCTGCCATACCCAAAGGCTACTGTGTACATCAATAACCTTCAAAGTAAGCTTTAAATTTCATTCTTGATATTGAGAGAAGGCTTAAAATGAAACGGGAAAATTCCAATGTATTCCAATTGCTAAACTGGTATTACTTCTAATCGTATAGGGTTTACTCACGCTAGGGCGATCGTACAGCTTTGCTATCCTTCTTCGATGTTGTCGTTCACTAAGTAACAAGTTGTTGATCCGTCTGTCAATAACTTCTGGTGAACTGAACATCTCTGTATTAATAGGTGCAGAGCTAAGTTTCCTGGCCCGTTCCTTAACGGCAGCCACCTGCTCCTCCATCTCTTCTAGGGATGCCTGAAAGCCAAAGAGATCATCTCTGCGAACCACATCCCCACCAACTTCAACAGAGTCAACATTACACATGGAAAGCAGGTCCGTCCACCCATACCAGTGAGATCTAAGGACCTCTGTCAATTTCTTGAAATAGGTTCTGCGACTCGATGACTCACGCTTGCTAAGGAAGCAGGAAAGCTCAATCGTAGGTGAGGACCATAGGTCAGGATTGTCTTGCTCTCTTCGGTTGTATCCTGCTACTTGAAGTTCGGCCATGAGCGATTGATTTCTTTCAAACGATAAAATGCGAGCTTGAATGTCGGCTTGATACTTTGGACGATTAGCGAGGCCAAAGTCGGAGGGCAGTAGCTGAAGAATTTCCCGAGTGAGAGAGGCTAGGGTTGGTCTTTTACCAACGATCCCCGAAAGCCAACGCCGTAGCAAAGGCTCTAGCACTGGGTCAAGATGCCCATTGTTTCTCAATACACACAGAGTCGGGTTTTCCTGCAGACGAGAGCGCTGCCGGGCAACAGCCACTCTGCTGCTTGATTCTTTCTGATCCTCTTGGTTTGTCCAAAAAAGTTCTTTACTCTCTTTTTCACTGAGTAATATTTCTACGAATATAGCCTTCAATGCCTGGCCACGAATTTTGTAGAGTTCACTTTTCTTTCTCTCTCTCTCAAAAGTTGTACAAAGCTCATTGCAGGTACCGACGACTAAATCTGTCACATTTGAAACTTTAGGATTTTCGTTGGGTTTCAGAAGCTTCAAAATATCGATAAAATCCCCAATTAACTTAGCTAGTCGAATGCGTTCCCTGATTGAACTTGACTTGATCCCTTCTCCCTGTGTGACTTCAAAACCATCTTCAGGAAAGATGACTCGTTTGATTGTTTCAGACACAGGTGCGACAAGTTGCAGAGCGTCAAAATCTAGACTGGCAATGGCATCAATGTCCCGCGACTTAAGATCGACGAACGGTGTCTTCAGAAAGGCTACACACCAAGAGTCGATTGACCTTGTTGTGCAATATCCTGATACCATCATTGCCTTTTGCCATGTGGGCAACCTGTTGAGACCATATGGATCCTCTGGGTCACGTAGGTTTAGTAGGTGCTCATACATGGCTATAACACCTTCACACGAGTTTATCATACCATGGCGAACAAATGATTTCAGAAGCTGCCACACAAATTCAGTCTCCTCGGAATCGGAAGGCAACATCTCACCCGCTTCGTAGTAAGATCGAACTTTCTCCAACAGCTTCAGAGACTGCTCAATGGAGGACCACGACGAGAGAAATTCTCCGGCATTGATCCCTGCTTGTATATCAACTTGATAGAGTTCGAGAACTCCTGTCTTCACTTGAATCGGCAATCGACATTTAAGAAAGGTACTCAAATGTTTCAGATCAGACTCGATACCGCCACCGCACGCCACGTAAAATGGCCTCATTTTACTCAATATTGTACTAACAAGAGTTTGAAAATTTAGGGCAGCTTCATTGTCAGTATCTCTTATCTCTTTTCTTTGCAATCTGCACGCACTCAAAATAACCTCTGAACACTGAACAGCATGGTGCGGATTTTGGCTTGCCCAGTGGAAAACAATTTCCTTAGAGGACGCTTCTGTGAGAATTGACTCAAATATTTCCTGGTAATCATCGATAAAAAAATCGCAGCCACAGCGTACTTCAGGTTTAACCTTTTGTTGGGATTCACAGACAAGTTTCCAAACGGACCGGACATTTTCAGTGAGGTTTTCCATTGGGCCAAGTAGTCGGGTTAAACAGACAATTAATTTCTGGGCCATTAAAACCGGAATAAGAAGAGCCTCTTGTGTCTTCATGGCCGAAGACGTTGATCCCTCTTCGATCAAGGATGTTGTACAAGTGCTTCCGTCGAGTACTTCAGGCGCCGTCTTTTCCCTGTAAAACTTAAAAACCCCATCTTCAATCCTTACATCGGAGAGAGATAAAGATCTTTGACGATAGCCTTGCGTTTGAGAGAAAAGGTAGCTGAGATCAAATGCAAGAGCAGCATCCTTATTTGACAGTGGGGAATGGAAAATGAGCCACTCCAGCTCACAGCAAGCGATCCGTCTACTAATAAAGGCTGTTTCTGGTTGCCCGAAGAGCTTGTCAAATAGCGCTACAAGAAGCTGACCGTAGTTTTCTTTCAGCACCCATTCGTGCCGTGACGTTTCGTTTTTACTGATTACTTCTTGCAAACGAGCGATCAGCTCACCTCTCTTTGATGGGGCGCTGGTGGTATTGTAAGCTTTCCAAAGAAGTCGCGGGACTTCCAAAAACGAAAGCACCTCGTGGCTGAGGGAAGTTTTCCATTTCATGGCAATTTCTAAGAGAAATTTGTCTCTCTTCTGTTTTTCGACTGCTTTTTCGATGAAATACGCGAAGTTGATAAACATAAAAGGAATCAGTTCTGTTTGAACTTGACGAAGCAAATGCACCAGCTCTTTCAAAACTTCTAGAACGTCCTCCACTGATGAGAACTTGTTAATGGTTTCCTCAACAAAAGGTAACAAATGTATGAATAATTCTTCACCTAAGTCTTGCATGGAGGCAATAAACAGGAGAATCTCCACTGATTTCAGTTCAGAAGACACATCTGACATATTCTTGGACACGGCTTGGAAAAGATCATCAGTTTTGACAGCTTGTGGAATTCTTGAGAGCTCATTTACCAATTTCGGATTACTCAATATGGCGACGATACGATCAACCTTCGCTTGGATACCGTCAGTACCGGGAAGGTTACATTGTGTCCCAGAAACGTATGGGATTAGACGCGCCAAGGCAGGTATCAAAGCTGTGGAAATTTGAGTCGTACATAGTAGAACATCTCCAACTTTCCTTACCAATTGCATTTTTTGCATAGTCGACAACGTTTTCGAAACAAGGATAGTTCTAGCAGCCTTTACAAAGTTCCCGAGGAGGTTGCTTCTTTCCATGGTTTGTGAAGAGGCTTCGGTGCGGCTGCGTAAGTTGCGCCTTGATAGGGTGAGAGCTGTTGATCTCGCTAAAAACAGAAGTTGCAAAGTTTCAAATGAAGAATCAAATCCCTGTGCGCTTTGAAGAATAGGAAGGCAACAAAACGAGTCAATTTCTTTCTTATACAGCCCTAAGGATATCAACCCAGCGACAGCAGCAGTCCAGACTTTTAAAACAAATGATGAGGGAAGCCGAACATGAGGCTCCAAGGCACAAAACAGCTGTTCACATAGACCAAAATCGCCTTTAAAAGTCTCAAAAACTATACGAACCAGAAGATCAAAGTAGTCATCTCCTCCTTCTATGAGGAAAACTACTTGTATTTTCATAAGCAGCAAAATGAACCTGGAAATCTTGAAACTAGTTTCAGATTCACCGTTCCAGAAGTTCCTAATCACTCTAAGTCTTCTGTTATTAGAGATTATCACTGTCGACAACCATAACAGAGTTTGGAAAAAGAGTTCAGCTGTAGTTTTGGGGCCTTTTCCATCAATAAAATTCTTAACAAGAGCAAAAATTTCACAAAACATTTCCTCTGTGCATTCAGGACTTGATGCGATGCTTTCAATAGATAATTTTAGAGTTCGCTGATCCGGTTCCTGTAAACGTTGGTCTAAAGACATAAGTTCACGAACAACGTTCTCCTTTGAAATAAATGATAACTGTTTACACAATAGTAGGGTTATCAGAACTTCTCTATCAAGTGTGGTCGCCAATCTGTGGTTCGCTATTTCACTGTGAGTAATACAAGAAAGAAGCAAAATCATCTCGCTCTTGGCTTCCTCTGTGCAATCTTGTTCACAAACCCACTGTAAAAATTGGAAAGTTAGTACCTGAATGTTGGCGAAATATAATTGATATTGTCCCTGCACTGCTTTCCCTGCCAATTCAGCCGCTTCTTGGATCAGCGCTAACACCTCAGGGCGTGAGTCAAAAGTGTTTGGAAATATCTTTAAGAGAAAATGAAAGATATTATGCCAGAATGGCATCAAGAGTAATATAGGGCGACGGAGTCGTTCTAGGAAATTAAGTATCCTCTTGGCCGTTTTCCCTTCGTTATTTGGATCTTCCTCGAAAACAGCCAACAAGCACACAAGAGTTGCTGGCCTTGGATCATCTGAAAAAGCACGGCTCCAGAATTCCATGATCTCTTTCAAAAGTTCACCCTCTGGACGTAGTAGTGAAACTTTCAAAACAAGTTCAGTCGCTTTCACAGTAAAGTCAGTTTCCTGTCTTTGTTTGTGAAGGAATGCTTCAAGAGTTTGTCTCAACAAGTCATTTGAAATACTTTTTGCCGCTAGTAACTGGAGTGATAATGAAGCAATCTTAGGATGGACACAAAACTGACTAACATGACTGAAGAATATTTCCATCCTATCCTTGTCGTTAGGAATACTCAAGTCGCTACAGTTTCTATTGATCTCTAACAAAACTTTCCAAAAGTATGAAATGGTAGATTGGTATGGAAAGTTATAGGCTTGACATCTGACTATACCTGAAAAGAATGGTTCGATTTTCTTTCCGGAGAGATCAATCTCTCCCAGAGCAACGGCGAAACCACTGCTAACATTTGCTAATTCCAGGAGCTTCATCCACTCTACCAACAAGAAAGACGAAAGCGTTTTTTCGCCTTGCGATGTCGCATCCTCGACTAGTTTAATTGCAAGTTTTTCATCAGCAGTAGCAAGCCTCACCGTTTGATTAATCATTTCTAAGAGGTAGCCATCGTGTCGCCTCCTTTCAAAAAGATCAAGAATTTTTTCAAAGAAATCGCTAGTAGTAACATCACGTCTGCGGAACATTTTAAAATTCGACGATGATTCCAGCTCAGCTTTAATTCTTCTGTGCTGAAAAGTCTGCACAAGTTCGAGCAACAGGGAAACAACTGTGACTGGTAGGCTTTGCTCGTTATCTGGGGGAAAACAGAATTTCAAAGCACATAGGTAAAGGTCAAAAGAGATTCGCATCGGAACCTCTCTGGTGTAGCAAAAAGATGCACAGATGTCGAAAAGCTTCGTCACATCTTGCAGAATTTGGACTGAAGATTCTCTTGCTGATTTTTGACGTGGAGCAATTCCTACATTGAAAATTTCAATGATGTGGTAACCCTGTAAACTCTGAATCTTATCAAAGAAACTTTCCCGTTGTATTTCGTCTTTGAAGGGCAGCACCGCTAAGGTTGTCAGAACTGTTCCTAACTCTTTAGCATACTGACTAGAGAGGCTTGAATTCTGCTTCACAATCTGCTGAATATGTATTTGAACACTGTTTGGCAGCTCTAATGTTTCAAGTTCTATCTTCTCGTCCATCGTCACTCAAAACCGGAGCTGATTTTACCTTGCAGATTTTTGTATCTTTTAAGCATCACTTCACTGGGTCTGTCAGTGGACTCACACTTTTCCTTTAAAGGTAAATCGAACGCTCAATTGAACAACTTGAACAAATTCTAATTGTATTTCTCGAGAAACCTAGTAATTAAAAAATACAACCAAACTAACCATCAGATACTAACGTGTAGTGCTGATAAGCAAACAGTTTAATTTATGAGGGCTTTTCACACCCTCTTCCAATGTTCGAGCACTCTTGTTTATTAATTAATTACTTTAAGTGGATGCTGACGACCAAAAAAGATTTACCTTTCATTTTCAACTTCAGTTAGGTTTGGAACATACTCCAACTACACCGCTAACAACACAATCATTGTTGCTCTAAACGTGAGAAAAACCACGTCGTTATCAGTAAGCATTTAAGAGGGGGGGGGGGGTTATTGGATAATAGGGTCATAATAGGATAACTACAAGAATTCTCTCTTAGACCTCGTCAGATGAAAATGTGGAAACTTTTATTGCAAAGTGGTACTTCGATAGAGTGTTCTAAAACGTCATAAGGCAGAATAATTTGGCAACTTGTCGAAACTACTTGATATGAAGCTAAGGGAATACCCTTTCCTGGTATGATTATTAGTTATCAAAGATTCCTTTCAAAAATGGGATCATTGCATTCAACATATTTTCACTGAAAGTTTATGAATTACTGGTCGATTCAAATTTAGAACGGTTCGATGCTTTTCAGTAATATTGTTTAGATGAGTCATTCTCGTTCAGACGTTCCTGAGAGGATCATTTGAATGCAGTGCAGAACCTGAACATCGGCGAATAGTAACAGGAACATTCTAAAAGACAGTGGCCATATTTGGAAAAAAATTTACAACGATTACATTTCAAACCGATCAAACCACGGAAGACAAGCCCGTGCATAATTTGTTAAAATGTCGTTGTTATTAATTTTACTCAGCTAAACACCGCTCTGGAAAATTCAATCTTCAAACCTACTGAGTAATTCCAGCTGTTCTGAAACTCCCACGTTCGAACATGAATAAGTTAAGTGCAATTTTTAAACGGCGACAAATCCCTGAAACGTTCAACGTTTTTGAGCTTAGTCCTAGCGACGAGGCGAACCTATGCTTCATGCTGTATCTGATCTTCTCAAATATGAAGTACATCCGTTGACAACATTTGCTACGTACTTTGAAGCCTTTCACGGGTAGTTTTCGAATGGAAAAGATATAGAATCGAAGAAAATAGAAACTTATGTCAAACTTACTGTGCCTTCCACTTGATATCCTCAGCCTCATCAGAAAATTTCATTTCGTCTTTCACTTCTGAGAAATATTGATTCTAGGAAAACAATCGAATACGGTTGTACCGCTGACACAGATGCGCGGTTACACAGCCTGCCTGTCGTACGCGTGTCACCAGAGAAAGATAATTCGGAAAAATTCTCTACACGTTCGGAAATTATAGTTTTGAGAAATTGTAACAAATTTTGAGGCTTTTAAAATATCAATATCTATGTCACATCTAGAAGATAGATAATTTATCTGCCTCAAGATGGATGATGTATCAAGGCTATTTGGTTTGAGTTTGTGCATGTTCGTTGGATGTTATTTAGCGGGTGCAATTCCTCTGGCCTTCACGATGTCTGAGGTAAGCTTGTCATCGGAAAGATTCCAATGGTTATGCGAGCTGATATTCGGTGGAAAAGCCGCAAAAGTTACGATCGCGAACCATTAATGTCATTAAGCTAGAACCACAACGTGTCCTAATGCTGGAATGAGTCTTTTAACCGCTGTACATAAAGATAACAACGATAAATTTCGGTTTCAGATCAGCGTCAGATTGAAAATTTATTTGTGTAAGCTTTAATCTTTTGCCTTGGTCAGCTTGTAGAAAGGTAAAGCTCAGAGGGTTGTTTTCCGGCATAAAATCACCTTAATCATTAATTTAGTGTTGTTCTTTTTACTCGATCCATTGCTCGATTAACCCGTATGATGTGAGCCAGTTTTGTGAATCAAACGGCCAGAATTTGTGTGCAACTCAGAAATCTCGTTTTTTTTCACTCCTCGCCGACGGATCGATATAGTAATGATATTTGTTTAGATAAGTTTTGCCCACCGTGCAATTTTACTTCTCTTTGTTCTTGGAAGTGCAAATAAAATTTAACAACACAGAGAATCGAATCACAATGAAAGAAAACATTGTATAATTTCCGAGGATTTGTTTTTTTTGTGTTGAAGTTTTATTTATTATTTCTCACTCATACAGTATTTTTGTTGTTGTTGTTTTAAACAGAAGAGACTGAGGATGGTCAGCATTCTAGGGGCAGGTCTGTTGGTGGGAACTGCACTTGCTGTTATTATTCCAGAAGGGGTTCATGCTTTATATGAGTCAGATCAACATGGTGAGAAATCTGTGTCAGTAAAATTTCTGCACAGCCCCATACTATTGTAAAACAAATCTGTTTTCTTAATGGCAATGTGTTGTTTTTGTCTATGTTTTTTCTATCCAAGAACTGAAAGCATAATGTTGTATGGGGCTGTGAGGAAACTTTATCTCTGTGTATTTTGTAAGAACTGATTACACAATACCTTTAAAAGGGGTGATAAATGGTTCCCTGAGAAATTGTGAGTTTTAATAACTCTTTAAATCTTGCCAGCCTTTGTAATGAGTCTTGAGATTCTCTATAATTTGTAAATAAGTGTTTTTTGTTGGGTTCGAGGTTTTCTTTCTATCCAAGTTCTTAATGATTGTGAATACCTGAATATCATGTGTTTGAACTGAGGATTGATAAATGAAGACAAGGATGATCATTGCCATAAATTTGAACAGTGTGTTTGCAGTAGTGAAAAAAAGCCTGAAAATGTTTTTTTTAGGCTTTATTTTCACTACTGCTTCAGTAGTGTTCATAACTGTAAAGATCACTCTCATTTTCATCTACATTGTAAGCGTTTAGAATTTATTTTGTTTTGTTCTTTTTCTAAGCTAAAGGTCCTTTTTAAAATCTAGGTAGTTGCTTTTAGTTGTCCCTGCAACAAATAAATATCTCTGTAAAATGTCACTGCCATTTGAAATTGTTGTGATATACATGCAGCTTGGTTGATACATCTCCAAAATGGATTTTAATTTGAACATTTTCTTGTCATCATCATCAGTACTTTGCATTTACTCTGAGTAAAGCAAATGTGAAATAAGGTTTAGAGCTGAAAATTGTTTAATTTGGGTCATGGATTTCTAATAGTAGGTGTCATTTGCAATGAAAATAAACACAACAGTATCAGCTATGCTTAAAATAAAAAATTATATATATATATATATATATAAATAAATGACAAAGAGTGGGGATACAATTATTTTCATCAATTCAGAGAGCCTGAATTAAAATGACATATGCATGTAATTTCTTTGAAACAGTATTTGTGTCCATAGATGCTTGGTTACTTTTATCAGCATCCCATGACCACTAAAGCTCCACCCTTTAGAGAGAAAACTAAGAAGGGAAAAAGGAACATAAGCACTATTAAAGCAAGCAAGCACTCCAAAAACAACTTTGTTGAATAGCATTTAAAATGGAAATTATATGAGATTTATGTCTGTGAATGAAAGATAGTATTAAATCTTTTAACTTCATTTCTATTTTTTTTTGTAAAGTACACTCTTCCCATACCCATGGTGTACACAAGCACTTGGCAGGTACTAACATAGATGCAACGCAGTCTCATGAAGACCATGATGAAGCTCATACACAAGTAGATGTACTAAAGAACCAGATTTCTCAAGTTGAACCAGATGTATTTATTGGTCTTTCCTTATGCTGTGGATTTGTGTTCATGCTGCTGATTGATCATATCAGTGGGGGCCACGCACATGCTCCCCCTACATCAGGTGTGTGTTATTCAACTCTAGTATATAGCATTCTCTTCAATGAGTCTCTCGCAAAGAAAAAAAACAAAACAAAACAAAAAACAGTTTTATGTGTTCACCAGAATGATCACACACACAAGAGAGGATGTTTCCTTGCAAACCATGCCTGTGCATAGCAGTAACTTTTGAATTTAGTCAGAGCTCTTGATCTAGGATACTGGTCCAAAAAAATGCAGAATTTGAGAAGAAAGTGTGAGTAACTTGAATGAAATTCCTCTGAGAATCTGCATTCTATGTGGGATGTAATGCAATACATTTTAAATGTATATCAGGAAACGGAATAAGATAGTGTCACTCCATGTACCTTAACCATGGCATTGTTGTAAGCTTTTATGAAAGGTCTTTGCTTTTTATTTCTCAAACAGGATGTCAATGAAGGTTCTGTACGTGCATGTAACTATGTGTAAATTCAGCCTTGTTTTCTTTTACATTTGCAAATAAATTATTTGTATCTTAATGTGGTGTAGATCCAGAAGGAAATGGCAGACAAAGACACAGTAAAATCACAGCAACAGTAGGTCTAGTTGTTCATGCTGCAGGTAAGTGTTAGTTTTGTTTTGCTTAGGGTTTTTTCATTTATTATATTCTAAGTTTCTAAATAAAAAAATTCTAATTTTCAACCACCAACCCTCAAGGCACCAGCTTTTAAGTCCATCTACATTTTTACATGACTGTACAAATGATAAGTGAAGCTTGTTTGTTGACTAACATACTTAGTTGTATCAATGCTAGGGTATGGCATTATCATTACTTTACTGCTCCAAAAGAAATCTATGATTAAGAACAGGAAATTGTAGCAGCAGTGTTAAATAAATACATAGCCTCAAGTGGACCTTTGATGATGACCTTTTTTTTTCGGTAGCTGATGGTGTTGCCCTTGGTGCAGCTGTTACAACATCAAAAACTGAGGTTGAAGTAATTGTGTTTGTAGCTATCATGTTGCATAAGGTATGGGTTTTCTTTTTTGGTAATCTTGCCTGGTGTGAAATTGAATTTGTGTGTCCTCTTGGGGAAGGAATGTTTTGCTTACTATGAAAAGTAATCATTGGTCTTCTGCTCAGTGAAGTCTCCAAGGACTAGTGAAGCATTGCTAGGCTCATTTACAGTACATATAGTTTATTAAATTCTGGTAATACTATTTATTTCTTTTTTTTTAGGCACCAGCTGCATTTGGTTTATCAACATTTCTTCTTCATGAAGTGAGTCTATCATTGTGTTTTACCTTCTTGTAATATTTTAACAATTTCTCAATTTTTTTAAAATCCAATGTTCAGTCCTATTGGCTGGTGGAATTGCATTATTTAATAGCAATGTAAGGCACAATGCATATGCATTTACAGCCTACTTCAACACCATCTTCCTTATTTTATGTCTTAATTCAAGTATTTTTCATGGCTCTTCAGACACACTACACACTAATTGACTAATTGACTGAGCTTTGTCAGGCTTGAAATACATGTATTTGGCTTGAGATTTTGAGGCACAAACTGAGAGCAGTAAGGTCCCTGCCTCATGAGATAGTTCATCTGGTGCGACCCAACTCAGTGGATTAGTAGTTAATCATATGATCACTAAGGCATGATTTGATAGTAGGGAGGGAGGTAGGCTGTACAAGTACAAAAAAATTTTATAAGAAGACTTTTTGTTATATCTTTGATCTCCTGTTCCAAGGCACAAAGCAACAGAACCTTAAAAGTGCTTACCTGACAAGACTACTTAATTATTCCAGACTAGCTCCTGTCAAATGGTCTGGCTTTACACACATGAGCTTTCTCTATGTTGTCTATATGATTATTTGAGTATTGAGCTGTATAGGTCATATAATAGAGATTTTTATTATTTGTTATTCATTTTGGGTTTCTATCTCAGGGTCTTGTTAGAACTAGAATACGTAAACATCTTATGGTGTTTGCTGCAGCAGCACCAGTGATGGCTTTGGTGACTTACTTTGGTCTTAGTCAGGTAATAAAGTAATAATCATGATGCTATTTTATCATTTTATGGCAAAGTTTGAAGTAGATATAAATTCCATTGACTCTTTGACCCATAAGAGTGACTGGCATTTAATCTCTCCTCACAATATCACCCCTAAATCTCATGTACAGGTTGCAAGAATAAAGGAAGTGATGAGAACTTTAAGAAGCTCTAGTTTAAGATTGTTTAATTATTCCTTTTTGTGAGCACCTTAGGATGTGTATAGAGAACAGTTTGGGGAATATTACACTGATGTTAGGGTGTAAAGGATTAAGACTGTTTTTAATTGTAATCGGTTTTGATGTCAGTGAGGTACAGTATATTAAATTTATTTTAACAACAATTTTCTGAGATCCATTGTTTACATTTCACCCTATAAAGATCCATCTACTGCCATTTATTTGTATTAGCCAAGAGATGAATGATTTCATGATGGTTTTTCTTATCGTTTACTCCAAACAGAGCAGTAAAGAAGTACTATCCAGTGTGAAGGGGACTGGAATAGCCATGCTGTTTTCAGCGGGGACATTTCTTTATGTTGCCACAGTTCATGTCCTACCAGAACTTATGAGTATGAATGCGCATTGTGACAGTAGTTTAGACCAAAGCCGGTCTGACAAAATGCAAAGGACTGATCTTTTCTTGATGGTGTTTGGAATTGTGTCACCTCTTTTACTTTCCCAAACACATAGCCATCATTAACGCCTCTGTTATTTTTACTGGATTTGCATTGTTTTTTTTCTTGACCTCTGTGGCATGGTCACACAGTAACCATGTGAAAATATACAAAAAACTGAAACCCCAAGTGTGAGCATTTTGCTTTGCATGTACACTGCAAGTGTATGATTGTTCAGGGAGGGGTTTCTGGACAGGCCTTTCACATGTGCAGTGAAGTTGTTGTAGGTTCATATTACTATCCTTTATGGATAATGCCTTATGTGTAAAATCTTCTAAAATTCATTCAATACTTATGTATGTATGAAGAGGGTTTGTAAAAAATACGGAATTCTTGAAAGCATATGGAATTTTGCCTCTAATAATGATTTTAAGACCCCTAAAAAGATCAAGTTTTGAAATACAAAAATTCTGGAGTTTACTCTCAACTGATAGCAATTGCTAATTGTTTGTTGGAGACTATATTAAGAGATCTTACCTTGGCTAAAATGTCAAGTTACTTCATAGCTAGAAAGGTCTGAGAATTTTCAATTCAGATGCAAATGCACAACAATTCCTACTCAGTTCAAAATTAAGTGATTTATAATAGTAACAGGACCAAGTGGAGTAATTCCATCTGTAATCACACAGTACCAGTGATTAAAAAAATTGGATGACTGCTAAGCGAGAGTCCAATTTGTCAGTCACTTGTATGATTACAGACAGAATTGGACAACAAGAAGTCCTGTTCCTAATTAATCATAGCCATTACAATTTCCAAAGACAACAAATACATTTTGGTCAAATATCTCTGGTAGAGACAATGTCTAAAGTAAAAAAAATTTCTCCATTTTAGAAATTCCTCAGTTCATTTTAGGATGAGTGGTTGAGTGGTTGCTATGGTTATTGTGATTAATTCTGTAATTAGTGAATTTGGCTGAGTGGACTTTTGGCTGCCTCAAATGTCCAATTACAGGTGTCTGATTACAGCCAACTGTCGATTTACCATTTACGCCATCCGATCACAGCTGTACAGAAGGATTAGTGAAAAATAAAGCAGCTAATACACCAATCACATTTGAGGAAATTGTAATGGTTAGGATTAGACTCATAGCTTTTAAGAATGAAGATGATGCTTACAACACTCTTAGATTTTGTAAACAAAAATGTGTACAATTTATGGGTTTACTAGTAGGTCTATTAAAGTGGTAAAAAGACTTTGGTGACATGGGAAAGAGGAGTGGAGGGTACAGTGTTGCCTACATTGGAAGAATGAGACATCATAGAAAAAAAATATATATATATAAATAATCTCATGCTGCCTTAGGTTGGCCTCGGAATGTAAATGTATGTGTGTGTACATTAAAACACTATGAGTTAATTTATAAGGGGTCATGCAAGCTAGGGGGAAAATGCTCTTTGCAAAATATTAGAGATAAGGTACAGCTTTTTAACCCTTTAACTCCCATCCATGAGTGACCAAGACAGAATTTCTCCTCACAATATCAATACAATATCAAGCAGACAAATGATGAGAATAGAGAAAAATCATAACTAGGGGATTATTAGTTGAGCTAATACCAAATTCTCCAAACTAACATCAGAAGAACCATATGGCAGACATTAAGGAGAATTACTAATGAGATCTTGGGAGTCAAAGGATTAAATCAATAAGTACAGCAAGCTTGGGAAGATGGATCTCATCTGATGAATAAACAAAATCAAACACACTTATTTATTTCTTGACTTGAGAGGTACTGTGAAATAATCATAGGGAAAAGAGACAGAAGTAGTAGTTGACAGCATGTATTGCCAATTAAATTCATTCTATGATTGTACAGAAACTTGACCTGTGGAGAGACTGTCAGAACATGCAATTGCATTCCATCATTTTCGATTGGATTCCTGTTTGCTATATGTGCTCAGAGTGCTATTTGGTCTATGTTCTGTGAACTGTATCAAGCACATGATCAGGCACCAAAGTAAAGTTGCGTTGCAGTTGTGTGGTGAATTTCACAGAAAGCACAATACAATCGACTCTTCTGCAGTGTTTGATGCAATGGTAAACGGCCCAAATTAAGGTCTTGTCAACACTTTGTTAAACAATCAGAGAACACAACAACCACAGGGGATCACTGTGAATACATGTAATAATGGTATGATATGCTTTTGAGAAAGTACTGAGAAGTAATGACACAGCATTTTGGAATCATCTCTCAGTTTTATGGTGGAGAGGAGAGCTCAGCCCTAGAAGTACATCTAATTTAAATTACAATTTGTTTGGCTTGAAGAGCATTTTGAAAACATTCTCTCTTTTGTTTTACATAATGCACAATTTCTTTAAATCAGTGTAGATGGTAGGCATAACTGTATTTTTGATACAAAGTTGTATCCTCTCACTTTGCTACAAGGCAGTACAGAAATGGTGTAAGCCTTTCCAAGCTTGTTCAACTCTTCTTGGAGATGGCAATAACTATTTTTTTTCAGAGCCTGAGTTACATCTTTTGTTCTTCTATAACCTTTAAACTCCCAGAAGCAACTGACATGCACTTACTTTTTTGTATGATATCCATAAATTACCCAGCAAACAGGTAACGAGAATATTCAAACTTATCAGGTAAAAGCTGTTACTTTGATTAAACACTAAATTTTCATAATTAATTTGGAAGGAAATGTCTGGCAGCTACAGTAGAGAAGAAAATTAAGAGTTTAACTCTTGCCTCATCTATGCACAGCCCAGATTATGTTTAACAGATTCAGTAAGGGCAGAGCTAGAAACCAGGTTGGGTTGAAGGTAAATTTAAGTGAAGTTCAAACCATGCTAATTGGACAAAGTTTAAATTTTTTAATAGAACATATACATTTTTTAATTTTGTGTTACTTTCTATATATATTTTTTGTGGTGGTATTCTGATGATTGGGGATGGGGTCAGCACATTTAAGCCTGCAGGCTGTTTTAGATGAAACCAATCCTGTTATTAAAATTGGTCAGCACATACATTGTAACATACTTGCTTTATTTCCAAAAAAATTAACTACAATGATACATGTAGTATTAACAGGGTAATATGCTTCTTAGATCCAATTAAAGTTAACCTCTTGAAGTAAAGTAGTCCCCTTAATACTAAATTTGTTATTATCCTCAACATTACGAATTCTACAGTTATTGCAGCAGATACAATGAAATTTAATATTAATATCAGTATATCATTTTTTACATTATGATTACTTAATATTTTTGTAAAGCCATAATAATATCCTACAGTTCCAATGTTGAAGTGTATTGGTATTGTAAGAGAAAAACCATCAGTGGGATCCAGTTACAACTCAACCTCATTTGGGTGAAATGATTTTGTCAAATAAACTAAAATAAAATCATGAAAAAAAAATAAGGGAAAACATAACCCAATTTGATGAGAAAAATGGTTAAAAGTTCAATATCGTAGGCAATTGTGTGTTATGTACATGAGGAAAATCCTATAGGTTATAAAAAAGTTAATAAAAAGAATCATACAGTGTAATAATTCAACCCTTTAACTCCTTGTATGGTGGGAAGGGATATTAATTCTTACAACTAGGAATTAGGTCAAATTTTCAGGCTAAGCCAAGAAATTTGTAGTAATAATCATATCTATTCCAAACCGGAGCAAGTTAAACTGTTTCATTTACATCTTGAGTTAAAGCGTATATACAAGAGTGTTACCAAAGCACAAAGCGCGCTTGACTTACTTTTTTTCCTTCAAAATACTGCTTACACTTGTTCAACATCTGTACTTTGTTTATTCACTCTGTCACTAATAATTGTATTTTCATTTCTTGACTCTGGGTAAAACTGTTCCACTGCAGAGTGAATTTTTCTTTCCAAGTTTACTCTTTCCAAGCCTTTGAATGATTTTCCCTCAGTTAAAAGTTTTAATAGCAATGCTGGAAGAACCCCAGTGAGAACTACGGCGATGACGGAGAAAGAAGCGGAAACGTTATTTTCACTTCCGTAAAAAGCAATTGAATATACCACTAAAAACAAAAATATCAAAATCAAAATCATATTGCGAAGCATGCGACAAATTTCAGATTTAACTGGCAAAACTCTGCCGCACACAAACCAATAAAGCCTGGTCGGAATTGTGTCGTTGGAATAAAAACTTCCGGTATTCTTATGTAATTCCCATCGACATGTTAATATCATCCCCTTGACCTCTTTGTACCTGTTCTGAAAATTAGCGTAACAGAGATAAATGTTTGTAATAATTACAAGGACGAAAGCTGCATATGGCGTTACATTATCTGCGTTTAGGGCGATTCCTATGGTAGTATACGCTACAGTATTGGTAAAAAATCCACAAGAAGAGGTCAAAAAAGTTATGGTAAAAAGTAAAATTACATAAGAGCACATTAACAATAGCACAATTGTAAAAACTCCAGTTACCCTAATCAAAACACGGTATTCGCAAAAAGCTCTGGTCACTCGATATGTCTTTAAAAAAAAAATGAGAAAAAGGGTATAGAAAGGTGAGAAAATACCTAGAAAGCAAACCTGCATAACAAGACAGAGGAAGATGAAGAATACTTCACCAAAAATGGCCAAAAGTAGTGTAAGAAAAAAAGAAAATATGACCCAGGCAGCACAAAGTGCACTCCTCATTCGGGAAATTTTATGATTACTCATTGTTGTCGAACACGTGATGGTACTAAACAGCGTGTTTAACCTACGTAGACACCAATTTGTAAAAATCGGCACCAAATTGTAGACTCCATATTTCAGTAAGTTCAAATGAACACGTATTTCATCTCCCACTGAGCTTCGTTCGATATCTAGTAAAGGAAACCGAAGCAGCTTAGATAATCTACCGCATAAACAACGCCTTGTAATCTGATCTGATAGTAATAAATCTTTCGGTCTTAAAAAAAAGCAAGGAAAAGAGACACAGATTGAATAGGCAATGAAAAAGACGGTATTAGATAAACCACGTTCTATTTCTTTCCTTAAGGTTTCATCCATGTGTCTTTTGTTTATCGCTAAAGTGAGCCCCAACTGAACGTAGATAGAAAGTGGACAAAGAAAGACGAGCATAAAAGCTAACTTAAGGTTGAACGAGAACCTCGAGTCGGGCAGTCGTTGAACAACTTGAAATAAAAGAGTTGAAATAGTCAACGGAGTGGCATCATCCACGGCAATTCCATCGTCCTCCTCATCATCCTGATTGATTTCAACGTATCCATTTCTCGTGTGATGCAAACGATCAGCGTGTGGACCTGTGTCTTCCGTAGGGCGATATTCGGCCTTGTCACACTCTCGCTGAAGGCTAAATATATAATCTGGCAGCGCCAATGGAAACGCCGGAAAAAAAAGGACAAAGAAAATAGCAATGAGAGTAAGAATGGTATCGAGCAGCTCTGCCCAGTGGCTTCTGCTAACAGTTTTATCACACAGGACCTGATGAGATTCAAGATTGTTAGGCGATATTCCACAGCACTGATACTCAAGATGTTTCCTATCTTCACCCTTTCTGACCTTTATCACTCCCACACAGACTACTTGTGACTGTAAATCACTAGAGTTTTTTGTCTTAACGGTTACATATTCTAACAGCATTTTCCCAATAGCCATGTTTTGGCTGTATGAGTTCAAACTCGCTACACATCCTGTTGGTTTATCCGCCAAATGCACGTCCAGACTTGTCACCCGATACTTTAACAATCCCAGTGATAAAACATCGTAATTTTCGGGCAAAGAAAGCATATGTTCCTTGATTGACTTTGCCCAAACCCATCTTTCTGGAAGAAATTCGTCCTGTAACTCCAATGGATGGTAGCTTCCGTTTCCAATCTTTAAATTCAAATAAACCATTTTCACACGTTTTCTGGATGCTTGGAGGCGAAATTTCGTGGAAATATCCTTATCAGTGGGTAAAAGTCTGCAGTCAACATCCCGCTCGGCAGTTAAGAAATGTATGAAGGGGTAAACGTATAGTAGAGAGAGGTACATGACATGTAGAGACATTTTTCACCGATACTTCTGGGTTCTACAGGACAGCGATAATATTCTTAAACTTTCGATTTACAGTTACTTACTCTAGATTGGTTTCTGCTTTTGACTTGTTAAGACGTGTAGACCACATGATCTTTACTATTTTGTTACTTTGAAAACAGGACGAGAAAATAAAGTGTTAATGACCTCTTTCGCAGCTCTCTCTCTCTTCCGTCACGCATCCTAGTAGGCTGGAAGTCTTCCAGGCTCTCTGGAAAACTAGCTTTCTAATCGGCATCAGCAGTATTTAGATCAGAAATCTTAGAAATCAGGTCTTATTCAAATGAAAATTGTGAAAATTATGGAATCTAAATCCAAGCTATAGCAAATGCTAATTACTTGTTGAAGACTGAATTAGGGACCTTACCTTGGTTACTGAGATCTTAATAATAGAAAGGTCAAAGAATTTTCAATTTTGATGCTAATGCATAACAATTCAAATGATTTGGTCCATTACCCCAAGTGGAAAATAAACATAATGCTTACGATAGTTTTAGATTTTGCGCACAAAAAAGTACAAGTTATGTGTTTGTAGAAGGTGTATTCGATTGATGAATAGGACATTGAAAAAAAATATTTATTTCCTTCCGAAAGCCAAACGGGATTATTCCTTAGATTGTTCTATATTCTTGTTAACCTTTCAAGCTTATGTTTGCCATATTTTACATAATTCCCTGATCATGATTATACACAAAAATCATGGTTTAAGTCGCAAAAATAGAACTAGTGCTTGTAAAACCCGAGTTTCAAAGAAGAGGGATACTCAAGTCCTTAGAGATACGAGAAAATCTTCCCCTGCAGATGCATCATTGAATTTAAATCCCATAAGTTAATATTTGTAGTACCTCCTGATTCTAACTCCTATTGTAAATGTATTCTCGATGTTATTGTCATTTTTTATCATTTTTAAATACAATCGTACACGCATGCATCAAAGCTGAAGAAACCAAATTAAGAAGAATATTTCTTTTCAACTCTACGCCTACGAATTACAAGGACACCCAGAACCTTATTGATATGGCGTTCCGTCCGGCTTGTTTGAGATCCTCAGTGCGCAAAGTCCTCAAAAATCGTAAATAACGAAAAAATCGCCTCTATTGTATCGTTTAAAGACATCACAGTACAGCTACGGTGTACCTAAATTTTGTTTACGAGCAAAGCAACCGACCCATTTCTTCTGATTGATCGATTTTTTTTCTTAAAGCTTGTCTTAAGTACCATCCTGATGGACATTTCTGGAGATGCTTACTTGGGCTTCCGCAGGAAAGCCTGAGTCTTAAAATGCAGGCCTTTCTTAGGCGCTAAAAGAGGGGTCATGGTCCCAGGAATTCTTTGCGTAAACCGCGGAAGCTGGGGATGAGAGTCTAGCACTTGTCTTATCATGTGCTCGCTCTTCGTAATCAACATAAATCAGTTTACGAAATGCTGTGTTTTACGAAGTCCGCTCTGCAAAGATTCCTGTCTCATGCGCTCATCTCACATACGTATGCATACGCTATTCGTGGTAGGCCCACACTAAATGATGTCGAGCGTTTTCGGAATGGGCCGGTCCACGGACTCTCTAGCTTGAAAGCTAGCCAAATGTGCAAAGTTTACACTAGTTCTTACGAGATAACAAATGAGCCATATGTGAGTTCAAACTTCGAAAATACTAGCAAAACTGTGACAGCCGATTTAACAACGAACCATGATGCTGAGATGAACACCTCATTTCCTGGAAAAATCAAGAAAGTTCGTGAACACAACTTCGAAGATGGCGCTAAAGACAGCGAATTGGATAAGGATACTGACGTAAGCAACTTGAATAGCAAGGTTGAATATCTAAGCTTAACTCTTCCGTTAAATATCCTGTTTCCGTTACTGGTTTTTATTGGGTTCAATACTAGTAAAGTACGATTTGGTATTTCTTACACTATCAGTATTATTATTGTACAAGCGATCGTGAATGTTGGTTTGCTCTCCACATGGGGTTGTGTGTTCTTTGTATAAGACATGATGAATATTCTTGATGATTGTGATCTACTAGAAAAAGTTGTCAATATGACCAATGCACATGAACATAATGATTTTACAGTGTCAATAAAAGTACAACAATTCAGATCTCGTTGTGCAAACTCTGTATATTGTAATCGTACTCGTGTTGTCTGTGAATGCCATGGCTATAAACGTGATCGTGAACCAAGCAGAGTACCAGTGAGGATGTTAAAACGTGTCTCTAAGAAAATTAGAAAACTGCAGAGTTATGTACGGAGCCGTTTAAGTAAAAACGTACCAAAGTCAATGAAATTCCATGATCTTATTAAAAATAATGCAACATGAAAAAAAGCATAGCCCCATCCTATATTATGCATTCAGTTCTTGAACAGAGAAAACAATGACAAAAACAATACATTTTCATTGGAAAAACAGATTTGTTTTACAATAGTATGGGGCTGTGCGGAAACTTTACCAAAGGTTCATATAAAACAAAAATCAGGTTTGTACAAAGAAATGAGAAGGAAACCAATTTTTAGAACAAGAAACGTTTACTCTTCAAGGAGATATGTCTACAATTCATGTAGAGATAAAAATAGAAAGAAATATCTCAAATACTTAAGGTTCTTTTTGTGTAATTTCCCACATAGTGAGTACAAGGGTGTAATTCACAGAGGCAATTGTACAAAGAACAAGCTCTATAATGATATAGAGAAAACCCTGTTCCTTGTAGGCACCCTGTGGATTCCAGAAAACAATAAAAACAACATTAAGTCAAGGGGATGTTGTATTTGGACAAAACGCTGGGTAACAATGTATTGCAATGAGTTTATGTGCATTAACATATCACAATATGAAAGAAATAGGCAATCCCAATGAATTGAAACAAATAGTGCATATTGGAAGTAAACTATATGGCAGTTTGTCACAATTATCGAGACAATCATTTTAACTGCTAGCAGATTTACCATCAATGCTTACAGTATGAGAGGAAGATCACCAGCTAGAATATAGTGAAAGTCACCTTGGTAATGTCCATGTTGAGCCTACCATAGAGGGATATCAATACTGTATGGGCCTGAAAAGAGCATTTGAGTTATTGATATCAGAACAATATAGGTCATATATTTTAACAGTTGGATGTATTGTTGCGAGTATTAGATACTGTGCTGATGATGGCCATTTTTAAGTGTTTGACTCGCATGCTAGAGATTTTTATGGCTAAAGTCACTCTTGAGGGATGTGGTCTATTAGATATATCATTTACAGACAACTTAGTGCATCACTTTCAAAGTTTATTTATATAATAAGCTCAGTTATGCATGTATTTTGATTGATTCTCACTTATGATTTACTGGAGGACAGATGTATAAATGATGTCGTCATTAAAAACTTTTTTTAATTCTTTATTATATAAAACAAATAGATTCTAAGTTGTTTAGTAATAGATCACAGAGGATGTCAAAATGTAGTAAAACATCAGTGACACACTCAGCTACGCCTCATGTGCCACTTTTTTGTTCTTACCACATATTGACATCATCTGTGATCTATAACTGAAGAGACGTACGGCAATTTGGAATCTATTTGTTAAATGGAGCAACTGATCTGTTTGAACTAAAAGGCTAACAAATTACAAAATATGATGTGGCAATTAGCAACTATGTAAGAGAGGTATTAAAGAGATATCAGGTCAACACAAATGTCACAAAGACCACTGTTTTGCAGTAGTTCTTTATTCTACATTACTGAATCATTTCACCTTGTAGTTACTAGAACTCAAATACCTTAGATGCAATTATTGAAAATGGATCTCAGCTTAACAATACAATGCAGAGTAAGCACTGTTTAATATCAGCTACCCTGACTGACAGTTTTACAATTTTTGGCACTAACATAAATGTACACGTTAATGAAGTAAGTTTACAAAGAATTAAGTAATTTAACTGAAAGCAGGATATCTTTCGAGACCTTGATTTTAAGGAACCCCACTGGGAAAACAGGATTTTTAATGTGGATTTCAAGTTACTGTATAGCTTGTATTTATCAACAAAATACAAAAGTTAAGCAATTGTTTTCTCTTCTGACATATGAAGACAGTCATTCACCTGCAATGAAACAGACAATACACATTCATGGTGTGGATAATCTAGTAGAGGAAATTAATATTATTCAAAATAGACAGGAATGTCACTGACTATGGAATATGATATACAATTTATTTGCTGTTCATGTAAAATTACTGAAATTGAAAGGAAACATGTCATGAGAAAACACAGAAAAAAACATATGTATGACAACATGGAACCTGTTGCCAATTGGTGTATTCAGTATTGTTTTCTGTATTGCCAACTGTTCAATCTTTTTTAGCCCAGCTGCTTGGCAAAGCTGTGGCCCTAACAATAATCATTGGAGACTTAATCTGAACTTGAGCATCCCATGAACAAAATAACAGAGAAACATGTTTCATACATTTGTACAAGGCCATACAGATCAATGAGTGGGATAACATCATGATTATTAATGATTGAAAAAAATAAACAAGTTTCTGGCTGAAACAAATTTTGGCAGTTGTGCTAATGTGTTTATACTGATGCCTTTGATGTTAATTATTTTGCAAATAAAGCAAGTTACCTAAAGTATCAAACTTAAACAAAGTATTCTTTTGGTAGAGAGGCCTGTGGTTCTGGGCAGAGATTTTCTATGAGTATTTACTCTTTGTGGATAATCTAGTAAAGGAAATTAATAATATTATTCAAAATAAACAGGAATGCCAGACTAAGGAATATGATATACAATTTATCTGCTGTTCATCTAAAATTACTGAAATTGAAAGGAAACACATCATGAGAAAACACAGAAAAAAATATCTGTATGACAGCATGGAACCTGTTGCCAAAAAAAGGTTTCTAGAAGACATTAAAGAAAATATTCAACTATGGATGCTGGAAAGAGGAAAGAATTACTTTCCCAACCCAATGAGAAATTAGTGAAAGCCAGATTGGTTGAATTGTGTATTAACCAGTTTAAGAGGAAAATAAGAGAGGACCCTTATTTTATATGTACTGTCTGTAATCGAATACTTTATAAGAAATCAGTAATAACATGCATAAACGAGAAGTACCCTTGCCAAACATATTTCAATATTCAACGGTCATTTGACGGAAAACAGTGTATATGCAACACATGTCACTCAAAGGTCATAAAAGGAAATTACCATGTCAGGCTGAAGTGAATAATATGTATATGGATGAAATACCCACAGAACTATCTTCATTAGAAAAACTAGAACAAATACGAATAGCTCAACGAATAGTATTTTGAGAAGATTGGGGTTGTGCATAAAGGACAACAGAGAAAAATTAAGGTTGTAATATGCAATGTACCTGTAGGATGTGATCAGACATGTAATCAACTCCCTCATCAACCTGATAGATCTTGTATAATAATAATTAGGCTTAAAAGAAAGTTACAATCTGGAGAACAAGTTTATTTTCAAGCATCACGACCAGAGTTAATACCACAAGTTCTTAACTGGCTCAAAGTACATAATCCATTGTACAAAGATGTACTAATTGATATCAACAATATTGATAGCAACCTCACAACTTTACAAAATGATGCAGACGATAATGATACACATCGACAAGTTACATCAAACAATGTAACAACAGATAGTGATCCTGCTTTGAAGTTTGATGCAAGAGAGAATGATAAATTAAATAGTAATGGAGAAGAAAATGATGACCCCTTAAATGAATAAAGAGCCCCAGTATGCGAGGCATGCTTAGAGTCAATTATACCAAACCAAACTATCCAGAGGTGAATGCTCAAGTAAAACGCTCGATACGAAGCCCGTGTGAACGCTCCTCGAGGGTCTAGTTAACTTAAGAAAGTAATTTTACTGATTTCAGAACGTAGTTTGTTTTAATTGATAATTTAGGTGACTTCAGACGGTAAATAATCCTTCGAGCTTTAACTTAATTCAAACCTTTAGGAAAGCTGGCCAAGCTGGTGCTGATGTTAAACGAAATAATACCGTTGACATCTACATGTTATCTGCAGCAATCATGGGCAGACTACTCTGTAGGTTTGAGGCCGCGTGACGTCAGTTATTTGATACGCGAGTGTGTCAGTCGAAAGACGGTACCAACTAGCTCAGGCGTGGGGAGGGTAGGGTGAAATCTGAGCCCAGTTAGTGATTAATTTGAAATTTATCACGGTTAATCGAAGGCTTATGACTTATGATCAACCTCTTCGGTCCACATATATCATTTGTCGACGGCAAATGATGAGCGAATGCCGGAAATCTAGCAGGCTTTTGAGGTGGTTAGACGCGCTGCACTGATTTTTGGCTTGGCTCTTACACGTTTATCGAATTTTGACGTGCCCGAAGCTGGGAGGTGAGCGACATTTGGAAGCGGAAGAAATTTGCGAAGTTCTGGAGGTTTTTGGCCAAGACAGTCCTGGAAGTTGCACACCTTGTGTTTTTCCTTTGCCTTTGGAGGGGCATCAGTACAAAGTGGCGAATGAGCCGTCCCAAACTCCCGCAAAATCACTTTAGACAACACAGAAAAACCAAGGTAAGTGAACTTTACTTACCTAACTGTCATTAAGCGGATTTTGGGGATGAAATGTTACGATTTGCGGAAATTTTGATCGACCGTTGCAAATTACAAACAATGTAAGAGTTCAATCAGCGCATCGAATAACTGATGTCACGCGGCCTCAAGCCCACAGGGTTCTCTGCCTGTGCAATCAAATCAAAAATCATCCCAGTATTGGGAACATAATACTCGCTGTACATGTGGTGCTAAACTACTGACATTAACGATTTGCGATCGTAATTGTCGCATTTTTTCCACTGAATATTAGCGCTCATAAACAATAGCATATTTCAAATGACAAGCTTATCTCAGACATCGTGACGGCTAGAGGAATAGCACCAGTTAAATTAATAACATCTTACGAACATACAAAAACTTAAACAGTCTAGATAGATAATCCATTTTGGGTCAATGAAGTTATTTATCCACAAGATCTAATTAATTTTCTTTTTACGCGTTTTTCCATCTTAAAAGAACCTCACAAAATATTCATTTCCAAATAAACAAGACCCGTGTTAAATCACCTTTCCCGGTTTTTTTCTGTGACAAGCGTCGCACGGTCAGCTGGGTAACCGCGCACCATAGTCAGCGGTATTATGAAAAGCCTCGTTTTCGTTTGTCTTTCCTAGTAATTCACTTCCGCGAGAATTTCTCGAAAACAATCGCTCTAGGACAGAACAGTGGTAAGTGTGACTTCAAAAAAGGTCCTCTCGCTTTATGAGCTTTTTGATCACAAAATTACTTGATGAGCGAATGTTGAAAAGGTTACAACTCAAACGAAATATAATTTGCCGACGCACAAGGATCGCGGATGGCTAGGGTATCTGATTAAAGACAGCAATATTATCTTCAACTATGCATGGTTTGCTTGGTTGGGAGCAACTCAGACCAGTCACTGATGTAGTGCATGGCACGGTGATTATTTATGACCTTGTTTTTTTAAACTCTGTATATTACTCCTCCAAACAAAATCAGTTTGTCAGTGCGTTTCTTGACCTTGCCTCAAAAGATGCGACGAATTCGAAGACAAAGGAAAATCTCGATCGTCTGAAGACGGAACCTTTACTAGCTCTGCTTTTTGAGAATTTGCAGAATTATGCGCCCGATGTCTTTTATCTTTTCTCGGGAAAATCCTAGACGATCGGCGATTTCACTGTTTCCCGAACATCCCAGATTTTTCCGACAAATGAGCACTTGAGATTGTAGAGATCCTCCCACTGTCTCGGCGACAAATCAAGAAAATCGGAAACGTTTATATTTTCCCAATGCCCTCCCAGATTTTTACGATGATGGCGATCATTAACCTTGTTCACGGTGTATGAAAGCTTCGATTCTCACGGTCGAGGAAGTCGGTAATAGTGTTGCCTCCCTACCAGTCCTCCAGTTGCTTAGCTACAGTACCCCTGAGTAACAATTGAAAATGGTGTGCGCAATTATCTCAATGGGACAGACGTCTGTCGATCCATCGATATATTGGCAAAATCAGGGAACGTCGGGAACAGTGAAATCGCAGATCGTTCTATTTTGACGACATGGGAAAACCAGTCTTATCAGGTCTTAAACTTTAGAAATAATCACACGAGTTTGGATCTCAGATACCTTTTCATGCAAAAGGGGGTAAGAGTTACCCGTTTCTTGGAATGAATATTACTGCTATACAAACTAGCACGTCCGGTTGGTTACTCTGTGTAAGACATCAGGAAAAATAGACGTGTACATCTCCTTTCTCTCAGCCAAAATGTGCTTGATTTAGGATTTCAACTAAGTCGAGTATGTATATCATATATACTAAAGTTTTCAATCTAATTTAGAGGTAATGCACGGCCCATTGACAAACTAAGAAAGCAATCTTTGGGTGTTTGAATGGGAAAAGAAATAATTCTTTGGTGACAATGGACAAAAAGAAAGAATTCAAGACACTATGTCCGCCTACAAGTGTTCAGGGTCACATTCAACAGATTTTGAAGCAGAATAACAGCCTCTCTGGTCAACTCTCAGAAGAGTTAGAAACTATCCTTGCAACCTTAGTAGCACTTCCCTTCAAAGATGAACTACAGCGAGGAATCTTCCTTGAACAAGTACAGAAATTGCAAGGCTACCACATCATTCAGATTTTCAACTTAGCTGTTGCTCCATGTCGAAACTCTGTGGTGGAATCTTCCATACATTTTGGGCAAAATTTCAAGAAACTTGTTGATATTTGTATCCTTTTTTGTTACACCTATGATGTGTCGAAGCGAGTTGCCTTTTACTATTACAGGAGCGCTTTACAATTCTGTTTTCCTTCTGACACCAACCTGAAATGCCTGTCCTTGGGAGTTCTTTCTAACTTACTGAAACTTGTACAAATTTTTCAAGATGGGAAGTTAAAGGCTTCGGCTGACTCTTACTATGATGATAACTTTATATTACTCGGCAAACACAATTATACCAAAGATTTCTTCAGCAGACTGCTCCAGGTTCTTGACAGTAGACGCAATGAAGACTATCTAGTCGAGGTCATCGATATAACAGTAAGGTTAGCCTCGGTAGACGACAAAGATGTGATGAAATCAAACGATTATGTCGGTGCACTGCGAGAAGGACAGACGGTCTCATCATTCTTGGTAACCAACTGGATGAAACTTCTGGAATCAGCGAATGTCAGCAATGCTTTTGCATGTGCTTTAGCGGCGGTTGATCTTTCCGGAGAGAAAATCGAGCCTCTCGGTGTAGGTTTCCAATATTCAGTTTCCACTTTACCTTGTCAAAGTACCATTTTCTATTTTTTGGGGGTTTTAGAAGAAATGAAAAGGAAGGCCGATAACCTTATGATGCCCAACGACAAGACAAGGATGGACATACTTTTAAACCATGTAGATCACTTCTGCATCCACCCTAACGTAGCTACCTTATCCCTTCAGTTGCTAGCAGCGATTACTATTTCCAATGATGTCTTGAGAGAAGTTCTCGATGGATTCTTTCACAAAGAAAGAACTGAGTCACGATTCTTGGAAACAGCGCTCGCGCTCCTGTTAAAAGGTCTGTTGCTATGTCCAAACGGTGAGCTACTCAACAAAGTCATGAATTTTTGGATAAAAGCTTTTTCTGATGACCAAGGCTACGGAAATCTTGCTTGCTTGTTGGCCCTTTTGGATGAAGGATCAGGCAGCAATACGGAAACAGCTGAAAGTGTACTGAATTTCCTAGAACAACTTCCTCGCACTTTGTTACCTTCGATGATGGTCTGGAGAAATGTGCTTTGGTGGCTAACTAAGATCTTTCCAACCTCCTTTCACTTGCGTCAAGAGGTTTTGGTCTTGATTGAGAAGACTTCAGCTGCAGCCGCAGGACTACCAGTTGAACGGCACTGGCTTGAACGCCCTCCCTATGGACTGGTACCAACTTTACAATTTTTAGGAAGGGTGTACCATCAAAATTGCACAGAAGAAGCTAAGAGCGAGATGATTCGGCTGCTCACCTATTGCACTCTCAATGAAACAACTAGCAACTCATGGGCTCCTTCATCAGATCTGGATCTTGTTGAATTCTTAAGCGTGTGTGAGCAGCTGCCGTTTAACATCAAAAAGCATCTCCTTTGTGATTCAAACCCATCCCTTAAGAGGCAATTGAAAACACTTTGGAATGAATTTTCTACTAAAACAAGATCAAGTCAAAATCATATGTGTAAAGGAGAAATCTTGAATGAAGTTCTCTCAATTATCATGACTTTTTCTGCCGAAGAGGGACCTGCGACCATTCCTGAAGATGTATTGGAGGCGTTATTATCCCTATCTAGACTGCCGCTCTCAGGTGAAAGAAAACTTAGAATCATCAAGTGCCTTTCGAATAAATCTGAAACTAGCTATAAGATTGTTCTCTACATTCTGTTACTAATGCAAACACAAGCGTGCGTCCTGCAAGAGGAAGCAAACGAATACTTTGATCTTCTTTGGCATGCAGTTCTGGATACTCTAAAAGGCGACCATCTGTCATGTGAAAAGCTACTTTCCAGTCAGCATTCCACTACTCAGTTTCCTTCCACTAATGTGTTAAAAGTGTGGACCTCTACTGTCAGCGGACTGATATCGCTGGGATTATTTAAGGAAGACATCGATGTGAAAGTTTGCCGCTCTGTTCTTAGTATGGCATGGGGGTTTGGTTCCCCATATGAGATTTTGCAACTTTTCTCTCTTATGAGATCAACAGCTCTCAGACTAGCTTGTCTATCCAGAAGTCCAACGGAAGCTTTTTCGTCCCTTAACGCTCAAGAGTCTTTTAAAGGGTGCTCTACTAAGAATTCCGATCTTTTGGAGATGTTAGCTCGAGCTGCTGGAGCTATTCTGCATTTTGATATGTTCTCAACTATGAATAAGTTGGTATTGATCCAGAAAATGTGCAATATTACTCTTAGTAGTCCACCAACTATGGCAACATTGACAAGTGCCATGCACCATTTGCTTCCCTTTTTTCAAGGGTCTTTGGCGAAAGGCAGTGTTTCAAGCTATGAGGAAATCCACTTGCTTAATCAGGTCATCGATATCTTACATGATTCCGCACTGCTGAACAAGCTCACAAGAATACCAACAGCCGTAACAAGAGACTTTTCGTCTGCTTTTTCTAGAAAGTTTTCCTCAGTGTCTTCCATAACTGACGGGCTAAAAATTCTTGTCCTCATTTCCTCGATGCAAGACTTGGCTCAAGCATTCTTCGACCATTTAGGACCCTTTATCAAGGTGGCCATTGAAAAGATGTCATCACTGAAGGGCGTTCTAGATGTTTTGGAAGAGCTGGTGCATGTTATTCGTAATGTTCGGCCAGAGCTGATTCCTTTCACGATGCTCAACGTTTCGTTTCTGCTGGGAAATCCTGTCGATCAACAAGAAAAACAAGAATTTTTGTCTGAAGTTTCCGCGAGGTGGAAAATTCCTCCTAGCTACCAGATATTGTCGTATTTTGACGTTCCAAGACTACTTTGGAAAATTTACAATTTTTCAAATGATTCATCGAGGACAGGGGAGTTGATGAAGCGTCTGAGAGAAATTCTGAGGAAAACCAGCGCCGATCGATTTCACTCTGAGTGGCATTTTGGATGTCACCATATTATACCTATGACAAGAACAATTGCATGTTGTGAACTTGAGTGGCTTGTCTTTTATTCCGCCATTTCAGAAGAAGATGCAGGTCTTGCACTAGATCTGAGTAATCGTTTCTTCCAAGTTAGCTCTGGGCGACAGGCGAGATGTTTGAATTTTTCTGACGTACGAATTGAAGATGGGCTCTTCAAGTTTAAACCTTATGAAGATAAAATGCCTTCTGGGGTACGTAGCAAGGTTCTCTGTGCAACACCCGTGGTAAAAGTGGAATCAATCCCCACCGACAAGAAGGTGGGAGAGGCCATTGTAACCCCAGTCTTAATGGCCGTGCAAGTCATTTATCACTTCAAACGTCTAGTCGTACACAAGAATCAACTTCATGAGAATTCCTGGGCGTTTTGGAAACACATCTTTGAATCAGAGAAACAATTTCGGTGTGCAAAAGGATGCAAACTGTCTGTAGACGATTTTGTGCATTCTTTTTTATCGATTCTAGCCGAGGCGCCGTCCTTAGAAATTGTTTTTCACTGGGCAAAACAGCATGACCAATTCTGCCCGCGTTGCTGCTCAAAGGTTATTGTAGAGGCTTGTAAGGTGCATCGGAACGACCTCGACAAGGAGACTGCCTTCAATTTTCACACGTTAGTCAGTGAAACGTTGTCTAAGATGCAAATGCCTCGCTTTCTTTACTTCAGACGTCTCAAGCCTAGCTTTGAGCAGCTACATAGGTTTCTGGAGAAGCGGTTGCACATTAAAGTAATATCAAGTGTTCTAGAGCTATACAAAATCAACATCCAGGCTGGTGACACTGTTGGCGAGATTGTCTCTGTGTGGTCTTCCATTGAACAGTCACTGGAGCTGGTGAGGGAAATTCGTCTTTTGTGCGAAAAAGGCGTGATGTCTTCCTTGAACCGTTTGCAAAGTGAATTTATATTACAGTTACTTGAATCATTCGCTCACCGTTGCAAGAATTCGAGTGGAGATCTTTTAACTAGGCTAAAGAAACTTCATGAGTTATACGACCAGCTGAGAGATGATCCGTATGGCCTTACCATTTTGCCTAAGTGGAGGCAGGCGACGATAACAGACGGATTTTCTGCTCGGGCAATTGACTCTTGGTGTCAAGCATTTCTTCTGACGCCACTGAAGGATCTGAAATCACACGACATTGAAACCATTTTTTCTCTAAGCTCTCGCTCTTTGCAGCTTGCTAATGTAGACTCCACGTCGCTGCAAATTAACACACCTCTGCCTGAGATGATCAAGAGAGTCATCTTTCCTGACGATGGTTTTCAAGTGAGTGATGGAGAAGGCATCAAGACGGGTGAAACTAACGAACGCATACGATTAGCTAGATTGCTAAGCGAATTCGTCAATATCTTGAGACCTCTACAACCTGAAAAAAATCTCAAAGATGCTAATGTCAGACAATTAGTTCTCGATGCCTGCCAAAGGTTTTGCGTTAGCTATGAAAATAAAGAGGAAGGGATCAAACATCTCTACAAAATTCATAACCAGACACTGAAGTCTCTATTGACAGAGATCTTTGGTAAGGGAACATCTCTACGGAAAGGAACCGACGAACCAAGAAGAGATGCAATGTCCGTTGCGAGTCAAGCATGCTTCCTGCAGGAGTATTTTCCAGCTGCTCTGAGATACAAGGAAGTGCATGAATCGTTGCTTATTTTGCTGAGGCGTTGGCTTACTGGGATCGTTACCAAACCAACCCTCGTCTCTCATACTCGAAACATTTTGCAGCCTCTACTTTCACATCAATCCTCTGATGACTTTAATGATGACCCTACTCTAGTGGAAAGATTACTTGTCACCATCCAAGGGCGCATTTTATCTATCGAAAGAAATCAATCTCTCATCGCGCAATTTCAAGCAGTAGGATACAATCAAAGGGAACCAGACAGTCCAGATCTGTGGTCTTCACCCAAAATTGAACTTCCTTGCTACCTAAGTGAGCGAAAGTCGCCGAATGACACAATATCTGATGTCCTTAGATCACACTGGAATGAATGGAAGGATCTCCTTTCCATCTACCATGTTGAATTTGTTCAAGTCGGTGATGTCAAAGTACAGAGACACGACCTCTTTGGAGCTCAGGCAACCTTGGAGGAGATGGAGGAACAGGTTACTGCCGTAAAGGAGTGCGCCAGACAGCTAAGCTCGGAACTTTTTTCCCATGATTCCTTCCACTCAGCGGGAGAACTGGACAGACGTATCGAGCAGCTGATACGTGGAGAAAAACAGCATCGAATGGCCAATGAAAAACTATGCAAGAGCAAGAGGGTAAGTAAGGATATAGATCATAACCAAAATTTTCTTTGTGATGATTTTATGGTGATCTAATCGTATTTGAGCAGGTAAGACTTTTCACAGGGATCCGTCTTAAGTCTGGGACACTAATTACAACTTTCAAAGCAACAAATTGTCACTACGAAGAATTAAATTTCTAGCCCTGTAAAATTAAGTGCTATATAATTATAGCGCAGCAATTATGAATCATGTCATTTCAACTGGTCACAAAAACAAGTTTGAAAGATCATGTTATATTTTGGTACTGTAAAACTTTCGATTTAGAATTAAGTATGTTGTCTCTTTCTCCCGAGGAAATTATGCTGCTTTAAAGTTAATCGTTGTTATAACGCAATGGAACTTTCCATTTCTTTTAGTAGAGTAGAAATTTGGGCATAACATTTAAGGGGAGAAGTATGAGAGAAAATCACCTCGCATGCTAATGTACATTGGAATAAGGAGTACTAATCTAAGTAAAAATTACACTATGATGATTCTTTTCAGGATTCTGAAATGAAGAAATTTGTCGCTGTTTGGGAGAACCAGTTTTTCGAACAGGTCACCCTGTGCTCGGAGAGAATTCCAGGCAAGTCGAAGTTTCTTTACCTGACTCCTTCAGTCTGCTATTGATGAATTCACTGTTGCTTAGCTTTTGCAAATATATTTCAATCGAAAAATGTTAGCCTCCAACATCAAGCATCATTATCTCCGATTGAACAGCCGAGTGATTTACCATACTCCACGTCAATAGAATTTGTGTGATTTGCTATAAAAGTACTTGTTCTTAAGAATTAATTGTAGGAATGCTAAGCCATTAGGAGACAGTGTTTAATGGGGCTTACTCCACACGTAATATACCGCTGAACGGAGGGAGTTTATAATTTTTCAACACTTTTTTTAACAATACTAATTTGACACTCAATCGCAAAGGATGTTATGCTCCCAACGGTTTCCACGCCGAGAAACCCGTGATATGCGCTCTGTCCGTGGATAACAGGATCTTGACCGTATTCAAAGAGGAGAAAGGGCGCAGAGAGGAAATCGAAAATGTTGAGGTGAAGCTCTTTGAACCTGGTTTGTACGTGTACGGGTTGCATACCAGTGGTCATGAGTACGTCACTGACGAACTATGGGCCGCGTTTTATAAGATGCTATTAGAAAAACGATTGGTGCCCAGAATTGTCTTGTCCAACGAAAGCCCAGGATTTAATTGGATAAAGAATTTTGCACAACCTGGTAAGTATGCAATTTCTATAACGCACCAGTTATGAATCATACAGTCAATCTGATTTGGAATGAAAAGAAAAACAGCTGTTAGCCGAGATAGCTAATTTTCCCTTACTCGGTTATTCATCCCTTTCCCTGATCTTGAAGTAGAAAAATAAACCATGCGCATCAATTGCCACCTCTGTCACGTCCTCGCCGTCTGAATACCCGACGTTCAGTTTCCTTTACCAGGTGTTACCAAGTTGTTGGAAAAAAAAAAGTTCGCGTAGATTTTAGTATTACTTCTATACATCTTGACTAGAAGTATATACACGCCGTAAAACGTTTACTAACGGTAACGGGCGCATGGCCCTTTCCGTCAATCTCAAGTATTTACACTAAAGACCGGGACAAATTAAAGGTGGCGTCAACTCGTAGTGCGACAGTTTCTTCTTGCGTGTGAGATGCACAATGTATAAGTGCAAATGAAGCACACCTTCAAACGCGTTTAGATTTCAGCGACTTATTTTGGAAGCAGTACGAACGAATCCAAGTTCTAGAGACCTGTCGTTGCGACTTGTATCTTGCATGGTGTGTTTTGGCGGTTAAGGTTAACAAGCCACAAGAGGCGCTTGGATTAAATGGCTCCCAACGTGAGTTTTAACTGGGTGAATGTATTCCCAGGACACTGAGTAAGGGATCTTGAACCCCAACAGTATTACAAGTTCCTACTTCGTGTTAGAATAGAATTGAGTGGGGAAAGCAGTGTCAGCTTCTGAGGGCAAGGTCACAAACTAAAGGAAAGTCTATCCTGCGTGACTAGCGATTTTGCTTTTTTTTTCTTTTTTTTTTTCGGTGTGCTAAGCGGCGAAGCTGACAATTTTTAAAACCATCTTCCGTCCTTATCCCCGCACGGCCCCGTCGCTAATCGCTTTTGCGCCGCCAAAATCTCCACCTACGCAGGCTAAGGAGAGTTCAATTCATAGCCAACAGAAATGCTGGTATCCTTCAAGGGAATAACTTTCTTCCAGAATGTAGAAGTGTAAGGGTCCATTTGAGAATTCTCCAGCTCTGCTTTTCGGTTACTGAGGTGTCTAGTCGATGGGCTTCGACCAAATCCAGACATGAGACATGTTGCAATTGTGGTATTTTTCTTATATATTTCATACAGCCACAAGTCTTCCTTATCCCAGGAAGTGGGACCTTCATGAGGGGATTGTTCCTGAAAAGGAAGACTATTTCGATTACTTGCCACTCTATGCAGCGTTGGGGAACCGCGTGAGTCGATTGACAGAATTTGTCACTCTAACGACCGAGAACGCTAGCAGTTTTCAGTTCAAAGATTTGAAGGTATTAAAAAATGTCAGAGGAACACATTATGCATGTTTAATGATTATCATAGTGGCACTGTTTTGCTCCTACAACGATGCAAAATACTTGTATTTTAAAATATTTGTGGTTGCCTCCCAGTTTCCCTCCCCCCGCCCGCACCTTACTATGAGCTGAATTGAAGTGTTGCCAATCAAAACGTCATTACCAAAGCACTTAGTGTTCACAGTTTGATGCCCCTTTTAGAACGCTGAGCCTATGCATAACTCTCCCACACCTATGTAATATGTAAAGGGCTAAGTTAGTGAGGTTCTCTACCTCGCATCCTCTAGTTCTTACCGATTATTTATTCATTAAAATGTCTGGCACTGCTTCAAACGTCATATCAGAAATCTTCATTTTTATATCAAGGACCCCAACATCGTCGAGAACCAAGAAAAGAAGTCGAAGCAAATGATTGGAGAAGCTATTAAGCAACTCAAACACGAGCTGCAAATTTTGCATGGAGAGGACGAGCCGACCAAAAGAACTTTGGCGGGAAGATTAGCGGTGTTGGTCCGAAAGACGGTGAAATGCATAGTTGATGGGGTACATCCTACGCTACAGATGGTAGATCAACATATCGATATAAATAAACTTGCTTTTCGACGCCCAGAGGTGGATAGGAGTGATGAGGGTCGACAACAGTACGCAGCTGCGGTACTTCGTGCGTGTGAGCGTGCGCGATTGATATTTACCTCGAGTGCAGGACAATAACTTGTGACAAAAAAGTCAATATTAGCACTAGGAAACTTTTTGGAATTAAATCCCCTCAAAAGATCGTAGCATTTCAACTAACCAATAATGTAAACCAAGCTTGCTAATTTTTTTCCAATCAGCATTGTAAAATCTCTTTACTTAGAGCCTCAGACAGATCTTAATTCCCGATATCCTCGGTATCTTAGAAACTCATTGAATCTAAAATCTAAGTTGTTATTGGCTCTTCACACAAACCTCTTGACTCACAAATTTTTTTACACCTTTCTTTATTACTATCATTACCATCGTTATTTTCTTACCTACTTACTCTATACACTCTATTTTTCTCAAAAATTTTATCAAACTAAAACGTTAAAGACTCTTTACCTGGGATTAACGTTGGAGCAAAAAAAATTCAGGGCTTCGTCTAAGTTTCTCTTCACTTCGTATTTATTCAATCATTTACTTATTGAAGGGGACGCACGTTTTTGACAGCACCCATGAGATTCTTAACTTTAGCAATTTGATTCTCTATTTCTTAAATATTTTGAACTTGTTTTCTTGTAATTATAATAATAATTGGGGCGCGCTTCTTTATATTTGCGACTGTTAATATAGTGTTTGGCGATAAGTGTTAGATGGTGTAATAACAGTTCGAGGATTATAGTCACAGAGGAAAATTTTTCCATGTTTGATATAAATTGTGTCAGGCATTGAGAAACTTTTCCCCAAAGGACTTCGAATAATTGCACTTCAAGAATGAGAAGTAAGGCTTTCGGTTTCGTTTTCACAGTAGGAACAAGCTCTTTTATTAGTACCTGAAAGCCTTGGAACAGGAAATTTCTTGTTCGGAGACGTTTAAGAATAAACATCCCGAAGCCACTCTAATTAAATTAAAAATTGTTAGATTGTAAAATTACCGCTTTCATCAATCCATTCCATTTATGTTCACTTCAAATAACTAAGTTTAAACCAAAGCCCTGCGTGCATGGATGTATATCTAAGACACTCGCTTGGCATTGGTTGTTTTTGAGACCTAACAAGTTGATTCTTTGTGGTGTCCCCTCCTTTTCGCTTCGGCTATTTCGATTTATTTCTAATTGACAATTTTTTTTCAAGTTCACGACGCAAATTTATAGTATTTGATAACATATCTTGAATTCATCTGAAACCAAAGACTATTCAGATTTATAGCCTGAGCGAAATCGGACTGTTGAATGAATTGTCAACGTTTTCTTTCTGTTATTATCGTTATTTTTTTTCATCGGTAGTGCTTTGTGGTCACGTTTGGAAGATCCATTGTCATTGGCTGATAAATGTCTTAAAATGAGAGCATGTAAACATGGTTTTCACGGCACTTATCTTCATTTGTTGAATTATTTTCGAGAAATGTTTCATAGAAGCAATAGTAAATTCTCGAAAGTTATGCAAATTCTAGAATGCGTCTCGGCTTTGCGTTACAAGATCTAACAATCTCGAATCAATTCTCCCAACCCCTCGTGTTTAGATAAGGCCATGTAAACACGGGGAAAAAAAGACATAGGATACTTTTTGAGTGTTTATCCGTATTTTCCTTTGCTTTTACAGTCGGATTTTGCTTACTTTAAATGCGATCGAAGACACAGAGGTCACTTATGAGAGACCTTTGTTTTCGTTTTTCCGAGAAACCTGCGGGTTTTTCCCCGGAATTAGAAACGCTTACGAAGCAAATATCGAAAACGCCGACGATGCATATATTGAAAACGCTTACAAAGCCGTTCCCAAACACAACTGAGCAATTCGCTTAAGGGAAGGAAAAGGAAGAAGTAAAATTTCCATAGCTCCATGGTCTTGTTATCAACTAATGATGTTTTTGAAGAAAAATAGTGTCTCAGCTGGCGAATAGCATCGAAAGCGTCGAAGGAATTACCTAGTCTGGTATGTCAAATTTATCAAAAACATTTCTTTAGGGTAGCGGAATTTATTTATGAAATTTTGTATTGGCAGTACGAAATCTCCAATGCGATGAAAACTTCAGCCTTCACAGAAACAAAGACTCTTCCACTGCGGACATCGATTGCATCGAAGTGATTACATAGAGAAATAGTATAGTTTAATCTATCGACAAAATAACATTCAATGGGAGTCGATCGATTCACTCTCGAGATTCCTATTTGGCAAGATACGAAATCAAAACGATTTGCTACACTGAAAGTTGTCTTTTACAGGATTATGTAAGCCCTAACATAACTTAAGCAACGATTATACTTATGAAAGTTGGACACTAGAGACAGAATTGAAATATTGTACTTTCGCATCATATGTAAATTTTACGTGAACTAAACTTAGTTTTGCAACGAGTTCCATTTTCGGCCTCGCCTTTTACCTTCTATATTCGAAAAGTCTGATTATTCTGGATTCTAAAAAATTGTGTTTGTTCACTGAGATGATAAAAATTTCAAATCGCGACACACGACAGGTTTCGGTCAGGGTAACTGTGTTTGAGGCTGAAACAATTAACGATCCGGAAAACTTCTTAGCTCTGTATAGCTCATGTTCTCTCGTGTAAAATGAGTCTTGAAAAGGACTGTTTGAGTAGCTTAACCGTTTCATTTGTTTGAGCTTGTCAGGAACAATAACAAGGTGCAAATTAATTAAAGTCAATCGTTTGAACCATCTGCGTGACTACAAAATAATATATTGTAATTAAATCGAGCAGATATTAATTTGATCACTTCACTAAGCTTCAATCCGGTAAGATTGTTTTAAATCGTAAACGAAAACTATGAATCTTAGCACAAAAGACTAAACTTTGGAAAACATTCCAAAGCATTGTGATGGCTGATGAAATAATCACTGAAACATAACACGCACTGTTTGCCATACATGTCAAAACTTGAATATAATAACTCGTCCGCTCGATTCGTTAAGGCAACGAGTATTATAAATTGTGGGTATCGCTGAATGCAATTTTGACTGTTCCCATATGATTGCTTGTTTGTGCGGGTACTGGCATCGACTTGTCCTATTTGTCCATATTTACTCGAGTGATAGAGTGATCACGGGAACAAGCACGGATCAAGCTCGGGCTTCGATCTCTAGTTACAAGCCATAATTTAGGACCTTTGTTGACCTTTGTCAGCAGAAATTTCAAATTTGCAGCGAAAGAAAAGGGTAAGCAGAGAATTTTCCCTTTACATTTCAGTTGTTCGTGACTATTACAGAAATAAGGAAACCAACCGGCTACGATGGCGACCAAAAATATCGACTTGGTGCATGAGAAAATCAAGGAACAAAAAGAGAATATTTGCAAAAATAGCCCGAATCTCTCTAAAGAGGCCATCGATGACCTAGAAGCAGCTCTTGGAAGATTACATTCCCTTACCTTCAAAGATGCAAAACAAAAGGATTTATTTTTTGAAAACCTTCAATGTCTTCAAGGATACCACATCATTCAAGTTTTCAATGCATGGGCGGCCTCTCGTCTTCAAGATTCACTTAAAGAGCCTCAGAAATCTACAAAAGAGATAGTGACACTTTTCGAAATTTGCTTTCAATTTTGTTGTTCCCATATCATGTCCAATAGAGTATCCTTTGAGGTGTTTATCACGACTGTTAAATTCTGCTTTCCCTCTAATTCAAAGAAGCACCACGTTTCAACAAAAATTGTTTCGATGTTACTCGAGCTTATGCAGATTCTCCAAGAAGGAAAACTTACTTTTCCCGCTTTGGATTCACAGAAGAAAAACTACTGCATTAAAAGTGCCGCGGATCTCTTTAAAGACCTAATTGCAATTTTAGAGGCGAGGGACTATTACGAGGAAGATATTGTTGAAGTAATCTCTCAAGCATTTAAGTGTGCCCGGGCAGATTCGAAACACAAACCTGAATCGGAGAAGAAGACGTTTTTTCCTGACTTACAGGTACCTTTTGATGACTTGACCCCCGCGATTTACTTCAGAAACTGGGGTAATCTCCTTCAGTTAACGACGGAAAAAGATGTTGCATTCATTCTTCGTTTAGCCAGTGAAGATCCACTTTCTACGCCATTACTGGGTACCATATCTCCTCTTTTGCATATGGTAAATGCCTTACAGGAGCTTGAAAGAAAAGGAGAGCAAGTTGATCTTGGCTGTGAGGAAGAACGTCTTGATGTTTTCTTTAGACACATGTACAGTATTCTCATAGACGGCTACGAGATGACAGCTACCTCATTGAAAATCTTCTCGTGGAAAAAGGTTAACGATGCCGACTTAGCAGAGGTGTGTAACATTTTCTTTCTCAGAGAATGTGAAGAGCCTAGACAATATCCAACCCACAGAGTACATTGCTTCCAATCAATCAAACAACTGCTGCATGAAATGCCAGACGGTAGTCTAGTTACAAGAATTCTCAAATTTTGGATCGACTCATTTCCAAATGATCCGGAAAAAGCAGAGCTTAAGAAATTGCTAGACCTCTTCACAGGACTCTTTGATAAACGATCAGCTGAAAGCATAAACCGCTTACAAGAAAAAGCTGAACGGCTCTTGGAGTATATTGTGAATATTTTCAAGCTGCACCTAATCCATCCTTTGCCTGGAGCACCTGAAGTATTTGAGGAATTCAAGCGATTAGCCTATTCTTTTTTAGACTGGATTTCACAACAAGTTGACTTCAGCGAGGATGCGAAAGGAGACATGATTGTCCTTTTTGCGCGTTGCTTCGATCGTATAGAAAGGTGCGATCAATTTTCCTATAAACTCATCAAATCTTTGTGCTCATGCGAGAGTTTGACCTTGGAATACAAGGAAACTTTCTTTAAGGAAGTTGTAAACTTTTTCACGCATCTCGACGAGAGCGAAAAAGAAAGCATTCTAGCTTTTGTATCTAAAGTATCTACGTCCAGTCAGAGCCTTGATAGAAATCAGAAAGTCTTCTCCGAACTTTCAGAGACACTGAATCAATTAAGGTTTAAAAACAAACGGCTGACAAAACAAAATAGATCTAGAACATTTCAGCTTATCATGGATCTGGCCAAAGCTCCACTTGCGAGCATAAAAACTGGTAATATGGTTCGAATATTGAGGTATTCAAGGGATTCAAAGGAAGGCCTATCATGCTGCAGAGATGTTTTAAGATTAGTTACCTCAGCTGCTACAATTGTCAAAGAAAGAGCTCAAGAGTATTTTGATATTCTTTTCTCAGCAATTTTTGAGACTTTGAACGGTTCGAAACCCCTCAGTGAGGTTTTTAGCATTCACCATCGGAATATGACTGACCTACAATTTGATGATGGTGTGTCAGTCGATGTGATGACCATTTGGAATGTTGTCGTAGCTGGACTATTAGCAGTCGGCACCTTTAATGAGAAGGTTGACTCGCATTGTTGCTTGCCGGTTTTTGCAAGGGCAAAGGGATTTAACTCCCCTTTGAAGCATTGCTACTGTATTTTGAGTTAAGGCTGGTGTTCTCTAGGGTCATCTTTTTGTTGAGAAACTCGCCCAAGAGAGGTAATAGAGACCCTTTACCCCAGGCCCCTGTTGGAAACTTGGTTGATGCTCTGAAAATTATTGTACAGTCTGATGTCTTAACAACTGAGGCGAAGCTTAGGTTGATCCGCAAACTTTTCTTCCTGGTGCAAAGAAAACTATGGCTCCTTATTGGAAATACTTTACCCTGTGCACTTATGAATGTGATTCCACTCAGCTGCAAGATTTGCCAATCAGATAAAATGAGGCATTTGGACTTTGAGCTCATCGCAACCATCATTGAAAGTCCTGGAATGGTGGAACGCCTTGGAAACATTCCTTCGACGCCATCAAAATCAATGTGTTCCGTTCTTTGTTTAACCATAGATGATGTTAGCAAGGTCTACGATTGTGTTGCCTCCTTCAGAGATGCAAGAAAAGTATTCTTAGAGCATATGTTACTACTATTGGACTCAACCATCAAGGTTTCCAGCTCAGCCATTGAGGTAGTTCGTCTCCTAAAAGAAGCAGAAGAACTGCTCTGTAAATTTGATTCACAGCTGATGCCTCTTGCTGTTTCTATCTTTTCTTACCTTGTTGAAAACAAAGTAGCCCCAAAGGAAAGATCAGCCTTTATCGCACTAGTTTTTTCAAGGTGGGAAACTACTTGCGACTCAAACGTGTGTGCGAGGTACGAAATTCCTCATATTCTTTGGAAAATCTACGAAAGTACCGGGAACGGAAAAGGAACGTCTGAGGCTATGGATCATATACAAGAACTAATTGAACGCGTCAAAGACTTGGAAACACGCGTAGTAAAAGAGGCTATGGAAAATCCAGCTACTTTTGGGCGTGGCAGCACTCTTCCTTGCGACCTAGAGAGGCTTGCTCTCCATTCCTCTTTATCATGCGAGGATGTTGCTCTGTGTTTCCACCTCTCTTGCTGTTACCCGGGTGTTCGCCGTCTGACCTGTTTCAACCCGTACGCAGGTTCCGGTTCGCAAATACGAGATGGTCGCCCACTGCCCTCACCTCCTAAACACGACGAATCCAACAACGAAGACGATTTTTGGAACCGTACAAAATTCAGTAGTGCCACCCACTATTCATTTGAAGATAACTCTAAACCTTCAAAAACACCAGCGTCTCACTTGACTCCAGTTACGATTGCAGAGAAAATGATGGTACAGTTGAGACGTCTCCAAGGTGATGCTATAAACCTCCGTGATACTGCAGTTAAGCTTTGGAATTCTTTGTTTTCAAACGAATGTTTAACTTGTCCAAATGAAGTCGGCAAACCTTCAGATGATTCTTCCGCTTGTGATGATATGGCAAGGCTTTTCCTCTCCTGCTTGGAAAAGGCACCGTACTTTGAGGTTGTACCTATCTGGTTCGACAATGAAATCCGCAGGGGCCTTAGTCAGCATCACGTCCTTCAATGTTCCGAAGTCATATTTGGATCATGTGGCTGGAATGCCGAAGGCCTGGACAAGGAAGGGTATCTTAAGATTCAGAATGCCATTTTTTCAATATTACAAGACATCCTGAGAAGTAGCTGTCAGTTTCCCGGAATGCCCCTTTTCCCACATGCAACATCCTATTTTCGTGATCTTAAACCTCAGCTAGAGTCACTCCTTTGCATTCTTCAAAAGTTCTTGCCGTTTCAAATAACCTTTGATCTTCTACAACTCGCCAGAAGAGACCTTCAAGCTGCAACTACGATTGCAACAATTGCTTCTCTTTGGACTTTCAAAATTGAAGCAGAAAAGTTGCTGGAGGAAGTAAAAAGGCGCATCGAAACGGAAGGATTGTTTATAAACCCACTGTGCAAAGACTTTGTTTGGTCAATGCTAGAAGCGTGTGGCCGGGTTTACAGAGATAGTTCTAAAGTTGTGGCAGACAAACTCGAATGGCTAACCGATTTACATGCTCTAGATGTTATAAATTACGGCCTTGATCGGCTTCCAAACTGGCGTAGGTTGATGACGGCGGACGGTCTCCCTGCCCGAGTGATTGACAAATGGTGTGTGTTTTTCGTCTTCACACCCAAAGAGAATTTTTCTCTGCGTGATGTTGATGCAGTTCTTGACCTCAATCCCACGTCCCTGCAGCTCGTTAAAAATTCCTCCGAGAGTATCAAAAGATGCTTATTTTCAGGAAATGGCTTTCGAGAAACACATTTGCAGGAAGAGGAATTACCAAATCCTTTGATTAAGGAACACCTTCGACTGGCTAGATTGCTTAGCGAATTAATTCACATATTGAAGCTCCGTATGCCTGAAAAAACTGCAATCGATGCTGTTGTTGAGAAAATTGTGGTCCAAGCTTGTAACAAGCTTTGCATGAGTCATATGGAGAAAATCAAGAAGGAAGAAGATAAAGTCACGAAGGCAAAAAACAGAACCAAACAGTTACAGGGCAAACAAAAAAAGGAAGAAGACAAAACGAATACGGCAGAGGACAAATCCAAAAAGGGAGAAGACGGAACCAAAAGGGTAAAAGAGCAAACCAACACGACAGTAGGCAATTCAAAAAGGAAAGAAGAAAAAATGGCAGAAGCCAGAACCGACAACATGGAAGAAAACGAGGGAAAAAGGACGGCAGACAAAACAGAAGATATAGACGACGAACCCAAAATTGCAAAAGATAAAACCAAAAGTATAAATCCCTACAGAATCCTCCGCAAGACACTTGAGGCCTTTTTCAATGAGTTTTTTGCCAAACAACCCACAATCGCCGATAATCAATCCAGTTTTCCAAACTGTGGTGAGGCACGTCAGGGACAAGAGAGCGAGTTAGGTTCGACAGGTCCCGTCTTGAAAGATTCAACTTTGCCGCCGCATAATCTCCCAAATGAAGTTTATGAGTCAGTGCTGGTATTAATGCGACGCTGGTTGTCGGGTATCACCAACAAACCAACCCTCGTTTTAAATACTATGAAGATTGTTAAATCACTTTTCTCATTCTCGTATGAGAAAGATCAGTCCCAGATAGAGAAGCTACAAGACGAGATTCGACTTCAAATTCTATCATTTCCAAGAAATCAGCTTCTTCTTTCTCAATTTCAAGCAGCAGGCTACAACCAGGGAGACTTGGCGGATTCTAAGGACCTTTGGGCTTCGCCCTCTCTCGAACTCTCTTGTTTCCTCAGTAAGAGTGAGTTACCAAGTGAGAAACGCTATGAAACGAAACTAACGAATGTCCTCAGGCCTCATTGGATCCAATGGAAGGACCTGCTTTTCATGCTGAATATTCAATCCATAAAGATCGATGACTGTGACTTTCCCACAAGAGATCTCTTTGGAATTCAAGCTTCGCTGGATGAAATGGAGAAACAGGTTGCGGCAGCTGTAAAAGAAATTGGTGGGCGGATTGAGTCTGAGGACGTTAGCAGACGCGTGACACAACTAATTCGTGAAGAGCAGCGACACCGTGCCAGAGTGACTAAATTCCACAAGAGAGTAAGTAAAATGATACACGCTAACTTCGTCAAAGACATTGCGAGCGCAGCTTGGAAGCTAGGAATTTGGAACGTATTCCAGTATCGTATGCAATACTGTCTTTGCCAATGGTTAAAATTGCAAATTGCAACATTTACGGAGGAAGGATTATGACAGCTTGGACGAGGTTTCTATGATTTGATAGCCCGTCAACCTCCCTATAGTACACGTTAATAGCCCTTCGAATAAATTGTGGTGTTATGATGGAACGAATAATCTACCAAAACGCACAAATGATTCGAAGATGTTCCGACCTGTAGATAGGGTAGGAAAAAGTTCAGTTTCCTTGAGATGCATTTTGAAACTTTTCTGCCATGGAATCAGTTCGTTTCAAAAACATTTTAAAAGGGTGGCTACGATTGACTGAGTTAAAGCTGACGTTATAACAAACCTTGTCTTTATTTTCCAGAAAGAGACTGACAAGCCTTGTAAAAATAAGGTGGGTTTCGTGTGTTGTGTGTGCTTTATTATATACCTGGCTTGCAGTCGTTTCACCGGCTAGCCTTCAGGAAAGTTATCCTGGGCAGTAAGCCGGTAGGCACCTTGTTCCTTTCAGTATGTCAAATATGATGCTTATGAATATTCTCACTAAATATTCTTAAACTAGACTTTATGGCCCGTAATTAATTTAAAAAATAAAAGAGAAGTTAGAAAGCACCAGGTTAACGCAATATGAACTCGAGGTAAACAAATAGCTTCCCACAATTATTTTTGCGCTCTTGATTCGCTGATTAACATTAAATGCACTGATTAACATTTTCTGAATATGTAATTGAATCGCTCTTAAGGTGCGGCTTCGTTTCTCAGCCATACATGTATATGCTGCTTAAAAGAAAGGCATTCTTTGTTTAAAGTACTTTGATAATTTCTGTTTCCTTTCCAAGACGGAAAAAGGGAAGACAAAACTGGTGGCTGTGTGGGAAAACCGATTTTTAGAAAACATCAAACTTTGCTCAGAGTTAATTCCAGGTAAGCGAATGAAAATGTTAGGTAACTTCATAAGTTTGTCTTAGAGAACTTGACAAAAAAAAAAGACTCAAAACGATCTACTGTCTAAATTTTCAACGTCCGAATCTAGCTTAAAAATAGCATGCCAAACGACAGCTAACCTCTAAATGCAGAAAATCTCTTTATTTTTGCATGCTAAAAATGCATTGAAAAAGTGAACCCGTGACTCGTATTGTCTCGCAATGCCAATCGGTTGTGATGAACTGAATCTGGTAATGATGAGTAAGTCAAACGAAACGTAGTTGTTGAAAATCGACCCACGAACAATACAATCGTCAAATTGGCTTGAAGCATTTCTTCTAAGAATAAAATCGGAATCTGTGCCACGACGAGGACATAATTTTTTAATTTTTCGTAACTCAAAGTAAGTGGATTTTGTTAGTGCTTCTGGGTAGAAAGGGAAACTTGGCACGCTTCGACTTGCCAAGGAAGATTTTAATCGTAAGTCTTAAAAGACTTCACGAAGAGAGGAGCTTGAAAGACGGTGGGACTCCTTGGAGAGATTATGTCACTTTCTACCGTTCCAATTTGTAGGTTGTTACGCCCCCAACGGTTTCCACTCTGAGAAACCTGTGATTTGCGCTTTGTCCGTGGACAACAGGATCTTGACTGTGTTCAAAGAGGAGAAAGGCCGCAGAGAGGAAATCGAGAATGTCGAAGTTAAGCTCTTTGAAGCTGGTTTGTACGTGTACGGGTTGCATACCAGTGGTCATGACTACGTCACTGACGAGCTGTGGGCCGCATTTTATAAAATGCTATTGGAAAAAAGATTGGTGCCCACAATTGTCTTGTCCAATGAAAGCCCGGGATTTCATTGGATCAAGAAATTTGTACAGCCTGGTAAGTGGAGACCACACGTGAAGAGATTTTAAATCAGCCAACACGTATTTTTCAGAGTAAAGTCAACTCCCATTTTTAATAATGAACATGTCTGTGTTTCACATTTTCAGTAAAAGTACATCCCTGCTTCTGGAAGTGGCACCTACATTGCGGCATCGTTCCTCCAGAAGAAGACTATTTAGACTACCGCCCAATTGAAGCAGCCCTATGTCCTTGGTTACACGGACTGAGCGAATACCTTACCTTAACAAGGATAAACGTCGCTAGGTTTCGTTTCAGAGATTTCACGGTGAGTTCATTCGATATCACAGAAGCTGACCGGAAAATTTTGACCTTACATTCCCTTTCTTGTGAATCAGGACCCATTTATATCTTATATCTTTTGCATCCAATATCACTCATTGCTTTTGCAGTAAATTGAGTTGGATCGCATCCTTTTCAAAGCTTATCATATAGACAGATTTGTACTGTTATTCGATGACTGGCCATTGCTTGGAATGGTCTATGCTGAAAAACGCTTTCAAAGGGCTTAAAATGAAAGGAAAGCAACTGCTTACTTGTGGCATGCTTATGTAGTATGCTCTAGTGAAGTTAACGAAACGAAATGCCCAAACAGCTGAGCCGTTGATTCAAAATTTTTTAAACTTAAGGCGTTTTAGCTTCATGGTGTCATTATTATTTCCTAATTAAAGAAAAATACAGAAGCAACTAATTAACTTCAAACTTTCAAAAAAACTTGTCTAAATCATGATCAGGATGCTCAAGTCGTTGAGAGGAAAGAGCAGCAGGCGAAAGAAGTGGCAAGAAAATTCAAGGCCATTCCTCATCTGGAACGGGAATTGCACTCGCTACACAACGACGCCTTAGTAATAGGGAAACTGGCATCGAAACTGGAATTCGCTGTCAAGAAAACACTCACCCAAATTGTAAAGGGAGAATGGCCCACCACAGAAACTGTCAAGAAGCATATTGATTTGAGAAGGCTGGCGTTTATCAAATGTGAAGAATGCAAATTGAAAATTCAAAAATGTAATTGTAAAAGTTACCATGAGGATTATGCAACTATTGTACTTAGGGTGTGTGAAAACGTCCAGGAAACACTCTTAGTTTTGCTTTTCTGTGTGTTTCTAGTCAATCTGTTTGCTCTGGACTAATATAGCTCTTGGTTAGGGGGTTTTAGGAAAACGCTAGTTGAATGAGGACACTTCTGCCGAATAAAGTTTCTTTGAAGAGACCTAATTTTCTTTTAGTTTTATTTTGTTTTGCCCTTTTCTGGCCTCCACTGAAAGGCAGAGTGACGCTTAAAAAAGTAGGAACCACTCAGGGGTCAGAGGTGGTTGGGCTGCAGACGAAAGTTTACTTTTGTCGTTTAGCTGTTTCCTTTGTTTTCGTTATTTTTTAGAGGGCTCTTCTATAGAGTGTTGTGAAATTAAACCAAAGTAATCAAAGTAATCTAAACGAATGAAAATATAAGTTTATGAAAAATGAGCCAACAAGAACGCAAAGTAAAAACATGCAAACTGTTCAGGGCGCGAGAAAACACGGGTGACAAAGCCACGCATGGTCTTAGTTTTAAAGCCGACTTTCTGGACCAATTACTGAGCGTAGTAGAGAAAAAAAAGTGATCTTGAATTACTTTACACGCTCAACCGAAAGTGCTCTATGCGCAGAACATAGTTGGTTAACCAGAGCAATGCTACTATAAAATTACAAGACTTTAAGAAGCTGAACTTTTAATATCTACATACTGACATTCAATCAAAAATCAGATCCATTTCATAAGTACCTGACTTTAAGTGTTTTACTATTAAATATTATTAGCTATGCCAAAATGCTGACTTCTATTAGTTATTCGCTACAGTGAACTGAAATCTTGAAGGTGTACAGAGTCTGGCTGGTAGCCAGAGCTAAGTCAAGATATAGTGAATGGATTCAATCCAGAGATAACGAAGATCATGTGGCCTGATCGTCCGGGTTAGAGCGGTCCTGGTCCCAACTGATGTCGAACACCCTAAACAGAAGTTACCTTCAGAGTCATGTGAGTTAGACATAGCCCAATTCAGGACTACTCTCACCTGGACAATCAGACTACATGATTGAATAAGTGAAAATTGGTAACTTTTAATTGCTACCCAGGCAGAGGTTTGAGCAGGGGAAAATAAGTAATCAATGTGACTTGGCACTTGACATATTTCACATAGAATTGAGTGAGAGACCCAGTGAATCTTGTAATGACCAGCTACTCAACCTTTAGCACCAAAACCATGATAAGTGAAGTAAACAGTCAATACTAACACAAACTGTAATAGAATAATTCAGATCAGTTTATATCAATTGTGAAAAGTGAATTGTCCATTCCTATAAACTGGTATCAATAAAGGACTGAGAGGAATTTCAAAGTATAATTCTGGCAAAACCTAATTTTGAAGGTTGTACAACTGACAGACAGAGACACACACAGAGAAATGCTGAAATACATACACACAGACAAAAGACAGCCCAACACACAGACAGACACCTATTAATGCAAAAATAGCCGAGGTAATCGCAAAAACAAGCAAGTGGAAATGAGGCCCTTGAATTTAAGTGCCTGTGAGAATGGCCCCTCTTGGGATGTCATCAATAATTTCACTACTTACAGTTACAATCATTCTTACACAGATAACAAATCTTTCCACTACAGTACCACAACATTGTCAAGCAGAAAGGTAAAGAAAATAAAGAAAAGCATGACCTGAGCAATTGTCTTTGATTCAAATTGTCATAGTTCAATATATAAGGAATTTATGAAAGACAGTAATAAGAATTTTTATTTTAAGGGTTAAAATAAGAAAGAAAATTCAATCAACACTTTGAGCAAACCACTCTAAGCAGTATCAGGATAGTTACAATCATGTTCCAGCTCCTGTGCATTTAGACAATTGAAAAGGAAAGTTTTTAATTTCACTATAATCTAGGGAACACCCCAATGGACAATGGTCAATAATCCCTTTGGCACAAGATCCAGGGTTTTACAACAAACTAATTACAACATCTGAAAGAATTTGCTGTTCATCCCCTGAATGCCTTCATGCCAAGTCAGTCTGTAAGAAAAACTAAGACTGCATATTCTCATTTTAATCCAGGAATAATATCCATAAACTAAATTGGTGAAAAAAAGTGATCTAAAAAAACCTTCTGCAAAAACCAAGAAGTGCACTGTTCAATGCATTGTCAGCTCCTGGCAATACATTCATAAAAAAAAATAAATTGCAACTTAGAGATATTAATTTTTCCATAAGTTAGTGAGAAACAAAACATAAATAATGTACATGTTAGTTAAGTTAAAAATAAGCAAACCTATGAAATAAATCCAGCAACAATACTCGTGTCCTCAAAAAATTCCTTTGCAGTCACATATAGGAACAGTACAATAATTTCCATTTTTGGACAAATTCTGTTATTAAAAAAGCTATATACAGTCATAAACACCTTGATTTCCACTAACAAAGTCTTAGCAAAATTACATAAGTAAATGCCTTCAGTTGTACAACTTTCTTTCTGCTTAGAATTGTTGCTAGAAAAGCATTTACAAGCTTTTCACAGCCAGTCTTGAACAACTGTCACTTGCCTAGGCCCTGGTTGATTTATCGCCTTCCCAGGCCACCTCTGTCAGCCTAATTTTTCTGACCCGGCGATAGTAGATAATACACAGGATGAAAAACACAATCACCAAAATAAAGCCACAGATCTAAAGAAAAAAATTATTTAAAATACATGTCAGTTATTGGGAGAGATAAATTTAGAAAACCCAGCCAAGAGAGCTATTTACAGATTTATGCTAAGAAACATTGAGTGACAAGTAGTTGCCAAATTTTGTTGGAGGAACAGGAAGAATTTTAATAAAAATTGTTGTCTCTGCGTCAAAATTTTTCTCTTGTAATCAGTCCCAAAAATTCAAACTGATGGAAATCAAGCAACTGATTGCTGTGAAAAATTATGTTCTGAGAAAAAATATTTTTGCAAATATTCTCCAAATGACACGATGATGCAAATGTTGCTGCAATTAATGTCCCCACAAACAATTGCAATATGTTTTGGAAACAGTAAAAGCAATGCCACCTGTTCCAGAGTCTTGTTGCAGCCACTTTTTCCAGCCATTTTCCCTTTAATCACCCTTGCCTAAGATTTTGAAAAAAGCTTTCTTATCTTCCTTACACATGGCTTTGCAGCCAATTTAGGTGCCTTTTTACACTCAACAAACATAAATAGGAAAGCAAATTTCAGTCAACTAACTACTGCATCAAAGACAAAGGGTCACTTCATTTCACCGAGAGAGATTAAGCTATCATTTAAAAGCATCCTAATAGCAATAAGCACATAAAATAGTTTTACTTACTGCTGCAATGATAAACTGCGCAGACTTCAGGGTCCACTGAGACAAAAGAGCCGAGGAGAACAAGAAGAAGAAGAAATACGACAAGGAGTAACTCAGCAGAAAAATCCACTGTTGGAGCAAAAGCAAGTAAAATCATTAGTTCAATGCCTTTAATTATGTCCAACTTTAAACAAGTTATAAATACATCTACAGTATGCCATTAACTTCTGTACCAAAATTTTCCTTTAACCCCCTATGAGTGACCAAGACAGAATTTCTCCATACAATATCACTACAATATCAAGTAGACAGGTGATGAGGAAAGAGAAAAATGTCAATTGGAATGCAGGGTTAATAGTTGATCTACCTTCAAATTCTCAGGACTAATGGCATAAGAGTTGTATGGTAGACAGCAAGGAGAAATACTAATGAGATCTTGAGAGCAAAAGGGTTAAATATGATTCTTTAGAATTATTTTACAATTTTTCAACTTTTGAAGAAATTGAATCAGTTTCTTTGGCCAGCTCTGGTCATCTGTGCTAAAACAGAGCAAAACTGAATCACTGAACACTCACCAGAGAATATTCCCTCTGCCAAACACCCAGTATCTTGACTTTGCAGCAACCAACCACATGGAAGAAGATGATGAGTAATGCTCCAATCCAACACAGAGCACTGACGACAATGAAGAAGCCATAATGAGAGAAAATGCTGGATTCTTCATGACTCAAAACCAATGCAAATGCAATCACACCAAGAACCTAGAGATTTTACAACATAATCATCAATGAGAAGGCTTTCAGCTGTTTTCTCTCAGAGAGACCAAAAGGAAATTTCTTCTTAGTCAGTAACAATACATTTTTGTCCACAAAGGTGATGAGAAGATAGAAAAAGGTAAAGTTTCCCCACAGCCCCATACTATTGTAAGACAAATCTGTTTTCCCGACGGAAATGTATTGTTTTTGTCATTGTTTTCTCTGTTCAAGAACTGAATGCATAAGGTAGGATGGGGCTGTGTGGAAATTTTACCTAGAAAAATATCAATTGTAGATAATAATCAGTAAAACAACAAATTTTCAGTGTTTAATTAAATAATATGAAGTGAATGAATGACAGTGAATATAATTTATTGTTAGATGTTGCACAAGAAAGGGCTACATTTCTAGAAAATCCCAGACACTAATTCATATATTTCCCAGTTTCCCAAAAATCTCTGGTCGGTAGATTTGTTATTCTGTACAATTTTACAACAAAATGTTACAGGTTCGTCATTGTTGGCTATAGATAACCTATTGATTAAAGCCCTTGGTTCTTGATACCTGTGGCCACAGCTACATCAGTGAAGACTAAACCCTTTCACTGACGTGACATTACGCAGCGCTGTGTAGACTGGATTTTAATAGCAACTACGTAAGCCTATTGTAAATGTACATATCAAACACTTCAAATCCTACGTATAAATCATTAAAATCTGTGATTTGCCGGTTAAAAAATGTTATGCTTCACGCAGTCGTAAAGAACGTACTACGGCAAAATATTTTCGTATCGTTACATTAAAAAACACTGAATTGTCTAGAATAATCCACTGATGTAAAAACCCACTGTAAGTTTCAAACACGCCAAATTTCGCAGTTGATTTGTCAAGAACACTTGTTGGGTGCGGTGAGGCAATGCATGCATGTTTGAAAAATACCTGCATATTTCAAATACGATTCTAACAAAGACAGAAAAACATTTGACATAGAGAAAATACAAAATCGGAAACTGAAATCCGTCTGAAAGCTATCGAAATCGTAGAAAGAAATGTACATTTAATATAATTAAGAAGTCTTTTGACTTTCACTTACGAACTGTAGCAAATATAGGAGTCCTTCGAGCGAAATCAAAAAATACGTTTTGCACCCATAACTGTCGCCTTCAGCCATCGTTTAAATAATTCTGTTGAGAAAAAAGGACAATGAGGTTAAACTTTGACGAAAGAAACCCCAACTCGAAAGGAAATATTGCGAACAGACGGATATCCCATCGCCGTAAACATTTGAAATAAAACTGGAATCGCTATTATTTTAAATTCCGAGATAAACAACAAACTAGACATCCTCTAGAACGTAATATGGTAGCTATCTGTTCGAAAAGTAAGTATTAACCATCAGCTTTCAGGCTGGAAGGCGATAAATAGAAGGAAATACTTTTACCATTCGTTATCAACAAATTGGACGCTAAATAACTTGAATACTGCATTTGGAAGTGAACGGTAACATTCGATTTTGTCAACCTTATATCAGTTTAGACAGATCTCCAAAGACGATTTAGACATGAAATATTATCACTTCACACTTACCTTACGTTTCAGTAGAACAATCTTGCATCAACGACAGCGAAAAAAACCGAAAATATCTTGAAAGCTTGATGCTGAGACCCGTGAGAAATAATCCCTAGAATCCAACAACGTACAAACAGCTCAGCGGCTTCCCACGTAATTTACATAGTTACCTTCGGGGTGATTCTAATTTATGTGCATTTCATTACTGCATCTAAAGGCTGCCGGAACTGAGTTTTTTTCTCTCTTTTTTCATTTTTTTCTTTAACTTTTTAAAATTGATTGTTAGTTTTCTTAGCCAGATGGCTTTGTGGATGTTTGAACGCTACCTCTTGGCCCTATCTGATATATCAAAGTTCATCTCACATAAGTACGGCATAAGTCAAAATCAAGTAACTTCTAGGAGGCACAAATGCAATAATGGTCATTTGGAAGCCTAGAAGGTGAAAATTTCCCTTTCTTTTTTTACCATGTGAGATAGAGGTAAATTGGTTTTTCTCTTAATCTAATATGTTAGTAGTTCTCTCAAGCGGGAAATTGCCAGAGGACACGCGCACTATCAGAGAAAAGGGAAATTACTATGTGGCTACCTTATTACCTATGGTTCAGAGCATTGTTCATGCTTTCAATTCGAAACCATATTCAATGCATATGAATTTGTTCACGTGAAGCAAGTGTGGAGGATTGTATCGGCATTTTTAAAACATATGGACTTTATTATTAGCATACTAGTTTCGCTGTTTGAGGATGCGGTATTAATGTACAGGGGTAATTGATTAATCGAGTTCCTTTCTGAAACGAATGAAGCGAATGACCAATGACTAGTGCTGGAAACTCTTTTAAGGGGTAAATTACGTTATCAATTCCGTTGATAGAAACCAAATTATCATGTTATAGTCCTCGACTAACGCAGCACCACAGTTTCTTTCGAAATTCACCCTCTTGATGAATTTGTTTACATGTTTGTTGGCTTGTTTGTTTGTGTGTTTGATTGCTGGTATATATAATGGTGGCGAATAGGTTTGCAGGTTGGCAAATTTGGACATAAAAATCATAAAGATGACAGATTTGTGAAAGCAAGCAACAAATTAAACGAATACGTAGATTTGAGAAAATACAGTTAATCTAGCAGATCGGCTGGAGATTTTGCTCGGCTTCTCGATTTCCGTCTGGCTTTCACTAGAGGTTTAGGCTGATGGGAGATCGAGAAATAAGATGTTGAGTACACTGCAATGTCCTAAAAGTAAATTAGCATGATTCCAAAGAGCCTTTGTAGAAGCTTCTCGTTATCTTTAGTATCCAGCGTTTATTTCGAGCAGTCCCTCCTTTTCAACGAAGTCCGCCTGTTGCACGAGTCCGAAAAAAATTCAGCGAAAATGGTGGTTAGCGCGCCGCGTGGAACCCTGGGAGTGAGACCGCTCACAGTCTATTTCCAGCGTTCTCCACCAAGTAATGCGGCTTTTTATTGATTGTAGTCCCCAATTACTAGCACATATGTTGGGGCTTCCTCAGTTGAAATTTTCTTATTGCGACAAAGAGCGCAGATCAATACAACTAGTATAAAAAATAACAATTCGCAAAAGATATGGAAAAAAAGATATCGAAAAAATCGAGCATAAGACTTCTGCAACTTTGCAGAGATCTAAACAAAACTTAGTTCTGATCATGAATACACTGCTATTTATCAAGAAGTTTTCAAGAGTTGTTATTAAGAATCGCAAGTAGATTAAACATGACGTTTACGACAACTTTTATTCTGAATTTGCTAACTTCTTATTTGAAAATATGATAAAAAAAAATGGAATAGAAGAAATAGAAGAAACAGGATAAATGGAAATAGAAGACCACAAAAATGTCTTTTGGTGTGTATCTCCCAAAATCAGATGTTGTCATCGCGAAGGCAATTATTGCCAATTTTCCCAATATTTAATGGCCTCTTTGCTTTCACTTTTCTCAGGGAACAAAAAAATTTATGTTAAGCAAAACAAAAAAGCAAAAAAACAAAGAAAGAAAACCACTCTAGAAAAAAATGTAATCATTTCGCCTTTGATCACTTAAAATTACTCGAGTTTTAATGGAGCGAGGTGATCTCGACTCACTCTACACGTCACGCATCGGAAGCCTACTCTTGCAATCGGAACTGACGTCAATCGAGTCCATTCTCCCGTAGATATGTCGAAGCACTCTATGGAATATAGTTCCCGTTCCCCTTTGTAGTCTCGTCCACCAACAACGTAGATCTTCCTATTCAAAATAACAGCCTCGGCATCTTGGCGAAACTCGGTCATGTCTAAAAGAGAAAATGTTATTATCATCTGAGAGAGCAAAACGGTGTAGAATGTAAAATGAGCTTTCAGCTCAATGAGGTTAAATTTTGTCATTTTTTGGCGTTTATTGGTAATAAAAGGATGAAAATCTAGGCAAATCGTAGGCTAATCACTTAGGTGTATATACCTGTGGCTAATTAAAGCTCACCTTTAACCATGTTCCACTGATGCGTCTGTATATCATACACTTCACACTGTCGGAGCGTTGTGTATCCGTTATGACCACCCATGACGTAAATTTTCCCCTCAACTTCCACAGCACATGCCCCTACTTTCCCACAATTCATCGGTAGCACAAAACTCCAGAGGTTAACTGCTGGATCGTATCGCTCCATGCTGATCTCGGGCTCAATTCCTTGTCCTTCACCACCGATTACGTAAATATGCGTTTCTGTATTAACCATTGCGTGACTACTTCGTGGGACTGTGAGAGGGGAAAGAAATTGCCATTTGTCGTTGATAGGGTTGTAGACCTCAAACGAGTTGCCATGGGAACCATTTATAATTCCACCTGCATCAGAAACGCGAAAAAGTAGCGATTGTCCCCATAGAACACCATAATTTGGATACTGTTTCAGAATTTTGCAATAATTTGTTTGTATTTCATTCTCACCTAAGACATAGAGCAATCCGTCATGTCCCGTTGCAGCAGACTTTGCCCTTGGTTCTTGCATTGGGTTCACATAGTCCCAGTAATTGTGGTGCGGATCATAGCATTGCACCATATCTTGAAGAAGCAGGGAGGCCTGACCTTCTACAGACCCGGCGCATGCGTATACGAATCCATCAACAGAGACCACTGAATGATCGAACAGTTGAGTTCTGGAATAAGAAGGAGATGTTTATCACGTGTTAGCTGTGTGATACATGGAAAGCAAACAACGTTTAATCGAGGAACTCATCTGCTACATCAGTCAATCTACAGTATTATCTATTTTGCCAGACGAACAAAACTTTTGGGAGCTTTGAGAGAAAATACTTTTAACCAATGTCCAGAAGAGACAAAAAGGGCAAACTGACATCAGCTACAATGAAACTCTATCCCATAAACTCAGTTTTCATGATGTACATGGGAAATCAGTGTACTGTTGACTTTCAGGTGTGATATACCTAGCTGACAATCCCCAGTTAAATCACTGTTTACTCTAAAGTTGATCTTACTACGCTTCGAAATGGTCCACGTGACGTACCACGATTACGCTCAAACCATTAATAATACAACAAAATGGCTCAGCTAAGTGTCGAACCCAGACCTCTCGACCCCGAATCTGGCGCGCAAATCAGTACGTTAACGCGTCTCCGACCGGGAGGCCCGATTACCATTTAAATTGGAACACTTTTTCAGTTTTTTTTTTATGAAAAAAAAAGAAAACTCTATGTTAGCGTTTAGAGTGGTATGTTGCTCGCACCATATAGATCGCCGCATTAGGATATGTATCTTGCGCCAATCAGATCACTGCACTAGGGTATGAATCTTGCACCAATCAAATTGCCGCATTAGGGTACGTATTAATCAATCATATCACCAATCACATGACCATTAGGCAATCTTTCACGTGCGCAAATTGTATTCTACCAATCAAATTCCATTTTGTTACACTGGCCTTCGCTCCATTACGAGTCATTTCCTTGTACACAACCTGCGTTTCATCAAATATTCTAACCGTAATGTCCAACCCTACTTAAAAAGATTCAAAAGAACTAAATGCTACTAATGGTGAATTTTCCACGCAATTCTCTCTCGTTTTAACTTTTTCTACAAATAAAATTCGCTTTTAGCTACCTTGGACTGAACCCAGTTGCGTGTTAATTCCTGGTAAACAACCTGCATTTTGTCACGTAATTCATACACAGAGGGCAAAGTCCAGATAGGTAACAACCACTCAAGGGGCCCTCCTTGAAATATTATCCCTTTTCTCTTGTTCAATGTATCTTCACTTATTCGCGATCGCAATATATCTTTGGTCTGGGTATATTGGAGATACAACAGTTTCAGTTTGCTTTTCGTAAAAAAAACCGTGAAACTATATTTCTTAAGCGAATAATTTTGATTTTCTCTCTGATAGAGGAAAGACAGTGAGCGTAGTCCCTATCGCAACCGTTACATGGCCTCGTCACGTAACGCACTGTCTTTCTCTAACGGGGAATAGATGGTGTTGTGTGACGAGACCAAACAATAGCAGCGAAAGAGACAACGGTAAGCGCGGCATCAATGCATATTATTTAGCTTAGAGGTACTTAGACAATAGAGACAATAGACCACAAAATCCCTATAGATGTAAGTTCAGATAACCCAGGTATTTTTTTCTATCTCCTAAGGTAAAGTAATGCGATATTTTAATTCTTTTGAAAGTTATACCCTTCTTCTGTTACAAAATGAAAACATTAGGTACACAAAGTATCCCATCTCAACCCAACCAGCCAAGGAAAATAAATCTTGCATGCAACGCATGCCTATTTTTTTTTTAAAAAACGTTTTCGAAGAACTTCATCTAAAGAGGTGTTGTTTTGGCCGAGAATCTGGCAGTTCTTACGCGTAATGGTAGGGAGCTATGTGCTTTGCCCTGAGTCGTGCAGACATCTGTAAATGATTATAAGCCAATGCCAGACCTTCATTCAACCAGTTTTAGGGATTGCCTTTTTTCCCATTTCTGTCACCATGAAATAGAAGGGACTATTTGTGTTCCAATACTTACTTCAAAGGTGCTAAAGAATACCACTGATCACCGTTAGGCTCGTAACAGAAGGTCAATCGACCTTCCTCCAGATTTCGCCCTTTACCACCAACAAACAAAATCACGTCAACTAATGTTGACCAAGTTCTTGGCAACGTCCGCGGACTGCTCAAGGTCTTTCTGGTGTTCTCATCTTGTGCTGAATTAAATCGCAAGGCTTCCAAAACCATCTCTTTCGCTGTTGGTGAGCGCTGCACCAATTGTTGTCGTTCAACATGGTCCATTAGTACGCTGGGAGGAAGGAGCGCAAGGCGAACGTGCTGGAGTAGTTTGGCAAAATGGACGCCTCGCTCCCTACGGTCATATTCAGTCCATCTTATTAAACTGTCGAACACCTAAGAGATCAATAAGAAATCAGTGAGACGACTTAGGATTTGTATTTTCAATATACTAATCTTAGACAAGAATATCATTGCTGGTGACTTTTACCTCCCTGGGAGGTATGGGGAGGAAGGGGGGGAACCAGGAGCCCATTATCCAGAGCTTCCATCTTCCATACTTACCCCTGTCCCGTATCTTTTTATTTTTGGAAGCACCTCCCACGGGGTTTTTCGCGGGTGTTTACCTAATAGCCAGTCATTAGAGAGCTGAGGTCCTCTATTGTTTACGTCATATGCAGGCCGGACGAAAGTATTTCAATAATGGCGAAAGCGCGGAAAGTTTATCATTCTTTTTAGGGAGTTATGCGAACGTCATTCTAAAAATAAAAAGATCTTATGGAGGCTCCGGGTAATGGGCTCCTGGGGTATCCAATTAAAGATTGATATGTCGGTCATTGTACCTCTTTTCAATTACAATAAAGAATTGGTAACTAGTGATTGACGGAATGAGGTTGACAACATATTAAGACAAAAAGACCCCTTTACTTCCCGGTATTATGAAATTTAAACCATACTTTATCCAGCAGACTAAAAATTCTTAAAAACGACGGTTATTAACAAGTAATGCATTATTTACGTCCAACAGATAATTCAATCAGATCTTCGGTCAGGGTTGATCCCCAAACTATACAAAACGACCGAAGGGATATCCAATTTCACTTTGTCGAAGGGAAACCTTTGTTGAAAAAGACAGACGTATTATCTGGCAACTTGAAGTATGCTAAATTTGGTGAGAACCAGAGAAATGAAATTGCATTTACTCATATTTCTGATGTAAAACTGACTAAAAACAGAAACATAAAAAAAGGAAACGAAATGAAAATATTAGCTTAACTATGTTTAGTTGTGCACAAAGCATAAATATTTCGTTTACCCTAAAAAAATACTGTGCGAGGGCGTTTTCTCAAGAGGGAATGTGTTAGAATCAAAATTAAATTGGCATCAATCTAACCTGAGATTGTGCTAATAATACAAACTAAATTCTCCTCATCATTCATCATTCATTTTCATAATCACTTTAGAGTCACCTTACTACCTGTTGCTCACTAGTTGTACAAATATCATTGTTGGACAGTATGCTTTCCAGATCATTTTATGAAGCCCCAAAAACTGCGTTGTTTCCGCGACTTTGACAAAATTTTCACATAGAAATCTGTGGCACCGCTGATGGAGCTTTTCTTGTCCATGGGTTAGCGAAATTTCCCGCACCGTCAAACAATTGTCAGGCGTTAGAAAACTCACAAGGACGTAGGAACATTCCTCGATCAAACTTTGTAGCTTGAAGAAGACTGCAGCCTTGAAAATGTCAATAGCGTTGCCGATGTTGATAAAAATTCGTCCTCCATACATATAACCCAATATTGCCTCCATGACGGAACGCTCAATTTCTTGAGGCAGATCCACGTGCTTGATGAATCGACCGCTTTCGCTGTCTATGAACAACGATCGAAAATACGGACTCGCTACGCCGAGAATGTTACGATGGCACGAAAACTTGAGGCTGCCAATTCGCAGCGTTACATCGCAGAGAATCGCCTCCCTGCGTAAGAACTGAAAGTACTCGATGATAGAATCTTGGAAACTCCTATCAACAAATAAATACGTTTGGTCCTTTTTGATTCCATTAATGTCTGTCTGGATATCTCCAACATGTTGGGAAGGCATGTTGAACTCTTGAATCTGATTCCTTTAGTTTATTTTTACTAGGGCCGGGTTTGATACCTTAAATGCGTACAAGTAGTATTGACATGCCAAGAAAGCTGCGTGAGTATTATTTATTCGAATTTATGCTCATTTAATAGAAGCATTTGTTGTGTAAACTAACAGGTACCACTGGTGTATTATTGTATGCAAATGTTGGCGGGTGTCGCCCGTGTGTTGTTCGAATTGTAAATGGCTATTGTTCACCTGTTAAACTAAAGGAATGACAGGAAGAAAGAGCGAGAGAGAAACACTGGTCAGGAAGACTTGATCATTATTATTTTCTATGTTTTGTTGGCATCGCAGATGTTGGCCGTTCATTTTTTATCGCCAGGGGGTCGGAGGATTTTGGCCGGTGTCTGAACCTCTTCATAGGAAGTTAATCGGCAGTCAGTTTTCTACAGTCCCTCTTTTATACTATGTTGGCGATGACTAATCCCCTCTCCATTCCCCCTGAAAACCATGCGATCTCTACCAAAAATCCCTCGATACCCCCACCCTCTCTGCGACAAATGGTGACCGGTCCGAAAGGAGCGAAAAAAAAGAAAAAACGGAAAACAGGCGTTGGAAGGCAGGTAATTTAGTGTTAACGACTGAGTTGAAAACGTACATTGGCCACCATAGAGAGTTAAAAGGCTGACGTTTCGAGCGTTAGCCCTTCGTCAGAGCGATTGCTCTGACGTCCGAATTACCTGCTATACTCTCCCACCGACGCAGCACCACGGTTTCCTTAGAAAATTTATTCGTTGGAAAGCAGACCTCAGAGGCACAAAAGAGTAGTAAACATTTTTTTTCAAATCTTGCAGCTTTTCACTATATGTTAACGACAAGCACTTGAAATCTGTTTTAGTGGAAAGAAACTCGCCTCACCCAAAAGGTGGTGTGTTGCTGTTTCGGTATAATTCAGAGGAATATAGCAGGGGTCATGGGGCTCCCGGAGGGGTACAGGATATCGAAGAGGAACGGAAGAAAAGGCAATCTCAGTTAACAGTTCTTTTTTCTTTTTTTTCAGTTCTTTTTCTAGCGATCGATAGATAGATAAAGATTGATATGGGCAGCTCTTTGATTTGTTTCTTCTTACAGGACACTTCAATTACATTACTTAAATGATTGTTTACATGCGTGGCTACCAAGGCGAAACTGTTCGCGCCTCCTGCCGTGATCCAAACTGACGATCGCGTGACATTAGAATGATCAAGCTTTCGTCTCTAGAACTGAAGTAAGATTTCAGTCATCTGCGACAATGTCTGATGAACCGAAAACAACCACTTCTGATTTTTGGAGGGGCTTTGGAAGGACGGTAACACTGGCTGGCATCGTAACGAAGTGAATGCATTTCTGATCAAGTATTTTGACGAACTCACAGGTGGACGATCGAATCTTCGCTTCTTCGTGCCCCTGAGTGGAAAATCGGCGGATATGTTGTGGCTGGCCGACAAAGGGCATACTGTAGTTGGAGTAGAGCTCGCCAAACAAGCAAACGAATGTTTCTTCGCAGAGAATAACCTGACTTTTACGGTGGAAATAGTTGAAATATCTGCAGTCAGTGAACCCGTGGAAGTATACAAATGTAAAGAGAAGAGGATCACAATCTTTTCCTGCGACCTCTTCGCTGTCACCGAAAATGATGTGGGTGGGAAATTCGACGCAATTTGGGACCGTGGATCGTTGGTTGCCGTTGCTCCTTCGTTCGGCGATAGGGGTAAACGGTATACCACAAAAATGCGTTCACTTCTGGCTAGTGATGGAAACTACCTTCTTGAAAGCTGTTACTATGAAGTTGACCGTGGCATGAACCCTCCGGCTAGCATTACTGACGAGCAGATAAATGACATGTATGAAGAAGACTTCACTATCAAAAAGCTGGAAATGAACAAAATTCAGGCGAACCCCGAGAAGGAATCATCCTTTGCTTTCGACATAAATTATTACCTGTTCAAGCCAAAAGGAAACTAACCTAACCTTGACCTTAAGCTAATGGCCTTTTTTGTAAAAGATACAGTGTGGTTCCCTTAGGATCAGAGAGCGTGCTTGTTTTTTTGTTCACTTGCATTTTTCAGGCTGTTGAGATTTACCCTAAGTTTAGTTGTAACAATTTGATTTCAGATTTCCCCATCTGAAATGCCAATGTACACCAATCATTGATTGCAAATAGTAAGATCAGTTGAAATTTAGTAATTTGTGACTAGCCTTGCATATTGGTCAAATCAACACTAACATAAATGAACTGGTTGGTTATTTATCTTAGTCAGACCAAAACTATTTGAGTCTTTCCGATTGTTTTGTTTGTGCGCTTAGAAAATTGCTCAATTTCCACTTCATTTAGCTTGCCCTCCCCACTCACACAAATCCAGACATCATGGATCCCCTTGTATAGCCTAGAATATGCATCAAAACTTATTTTTCAGTGTTTTTCAATGTTTTCGTTGAAAACAATTTCTTTTTTCAAATGCAGTAATTAATCATTGAAATTCCCTAATTGCATTTTAATGAGCAACATTTGGAACTTAAAAAGATTTCTACAAACACAAAATTATGTCACTGCATCAGAATGAAACATTATAATACAAAGTTGAAGATTGACTAAAATCACACTTCTCCCACACTGGTGATGAATACACAAACATGATTCCAAGTAGTCAAGACTAATTATTTACAAAAATTACAACAGGAGAGAAAACATTTGCCGATACAAAAGATATCTAACAAAACTTTCAAGGAGTGGGAGAAGACTTAACCCATGAAATTATGTGTATGCACACATGTAGGATCGAGGTCAACTTATTGATTCTCAATGTCAGTTTTGAGAATTTCAAGCCTCATGAAAAAAATATTCACTGTGATTTTCTTCTATTTGAAAGATTTCTACCTTAAAAATTCTACAAGGCTAATTGCAGCCTGTGACCAACTGGAGCACACCAACCTAGAATAAAACACTTTTCTAACAATGACATTAGTGTTTTCATACCATTTCCTGCAATGTGCATAAGGAGGGTAACATTCAAGAACAACTAAAGATTGAAAAATTAACACAGTTTCCCACTGGTGGACTTGAATAAGAACAAAAAAACAACAAAAAAAGGAAAGTAAATGCACGTTATGTGAAAGTGCATATTATAGCATTATTTCTACTATCTCTACTCTACATCATGTTGATCCTCACTTTGTAGAATAGTAAATGTTACAAACTAATTTTAACATTGCGTGGGAAAAGTGCTTGTGCTTGGTGGTTAATGGTGTGCGTATCTCCAATTTTTCGTGAAACGACATCCAAAGAGTGATTCTTCTACTCAGAGTAACTGGCATGCATTGAAAAAGGTTTTAAACAAACACTCAACTTGCATTTGCACATGTTCTTGTGTTGGTAGAGGCTCAGTCTGACTCTTACAATTATCACAAAGATTTGTTTTGCTTTCCAAAGAATAAGATTCTCTTTTGAAATTACAAATAGAGTGAAAGAGATAACTGAGAGAAACTGAGGAGTAACAAAACCAACTGTTGGTTCAACAGATCACAATTTGCCCTGAGGCCAACTACTGCCCATGTAAATTTTGTCAACAAGTAAAATAGTCCACTGTCATAACTGAGGCCAAAAAAAGATGTAAAAAATAACAAAGAACACAAAGCAATCAGTAACTTCTATGGGCTGTAGTCATGGGTTGTCAATTCCTTTTCAGAGCTCTCTAAAACTTAAGAAACTTTATCACTACAAAATACCGATAAACATATGAAGGCATAAAATTCAAAGTTACTGTCAGTGACAAAGGTGCTATTTATAATTTCCCTTTTTCTTTCCTAGGATCTATCATTTTTTTAAAAAGATTCTACAAAAAAAGTCCACAAACACTTTTTGGTTCTTTCAAAGAGCCATTTGACTATTCTTCCATGCAAGTTTCAGTATTAGACAGCAGTTGTTGCATGTTTTCTAGTGCAGTGTCTGATTTGATGTTTTTTTTGTACATTTTCCAGGTTTTTCATATCTTTCATAATTAACGCAATGTGCTGATTTGAGTGAATTTGTTGACAGAAACAGATGAGCTTAACTCCTTGGCTCAAATGGAGGAAAATGAAAAGTCAAACCAACAAAAACAGGCTCTGAAGCACCATTATCTTTCCTGCAATGAAACATGCACTGTCCAAACACTTCCTTCTGTACTACAAATCCAACTAGTAAAAAAAAATTCAAGGTCAGTTGCAATTTAACAGCTAGTTCAGCCAGTCATCCTCGAAGTTCATATCAGTCCTCTTCGCTTCTTGTAGTCTTCAAGGTTTAGTGATCTCCTAGGTGCTCCATCCCTTTCGGTGTTGGCAGGTCTTGGAGTTACTACCACTGGACGAGACTCTGTTGAAAGAAGGCTTTGTTTAAGTCTTTGATTATCCAAAGTTGAACCTGTCTTCCTAGTTTTTAGCAATTGTCTACAAAAAAAATCATTTCCTTGATCTCAAACAAGACATCCTAGCAGAGGATAAGGGAATAGTCCCTTCCATATTTGTCCATCATTTCTCTAATCAAATTTATCAACAGTTTCAAAGTTTGATGACCATACATGGGTTATTGACTGAGTAATCATGCAACATATTTTTTGGTATTTGGTTGGCTTCTTCAGGTGAACAAAAACGTGTTTCCTGAATTGCCATCTATCTGTCACAGATAAAGTAAGCTTTACATAACAAACTTGGCCATTACCCAGCCAAGCTTGGACAAATACACATCTTTCAGAAGCATAATAAACACAGAGGAGTCTAGTTTTTCTTCAATCCTGAACAAATAATTTTCCTGTTCTATTTTTATCTAGCTCAGCACATATCTTTGAGTGTATACTTGTCCAATGTATCACTTAAACTTGACTCTGGATATTTCCAAAAATGTCTGTACTTCAAAGCACTTTTATAGCAATTGTTATATCCACTGTAGATAGTCATAAAAAAAAGTGTGTCACCTGTTCCAGGGGCAGGAATGTCGAGATTGATTGTGATGTCAAAGTTGTGTGCCGAAAACAGATCCTCTGACTGAGGTTTCCTTTCAGGAGGATGAGGTGCTGCTCCAGCCAATGGCATTTGTGAAAGTCTTTCTATATCTGACACCTAGAAATCAAACAAAACATGCATTAAAATGACAGAGAAATGATAGTGTCAATTGTATCTCAACCAATGAGCCTCGACAAACAACTTTGTCGTCCAGGCAAATGTTCTATGTATTCTCTCTTATTTGAATACCTTGACAAAGGCAACATCTCCACAGCTTCTAATAAAAGTGCATCCTAAATGCTTAATTTTTTTTAGGGGGGATCTGTCATATTTACAGTCTATAATTACCATCTTTGGCAAATAAAAATGTTTTACCCCTTGAAAAATGGGTGTGCTTTCATCCCCCATGCAACCTTTTACTCATGGCAACCTCTTGTGGTCACTTCCCTCTGTAAAACGAGCTGACTACTGAGGAGATGGTCCATTGTATCCTCATACTAACTAACTCAAATCCACTCTTATTAATTCACCATTCACATTTTTTTATTCAAGATATGCACATAGTTTTTCTATTGCACAATTGTAAAGGACGAGTTGAACTTACATCAGCTGTTTCAGTTGGTTGGCTTGATGATGAAGCCTGCAACAAAGATGAAGCAAATCATTAGGAAACAATCTTACCAAAATTCTTCCAATAATTGTAAAGTATGTCTACATGGTATATAGTGTCAGTTAAAGCTTCAGAACACAGCAATAAATAACAGCATATTTACAAGACAGAGTGATTACAGTATGATGGTCATAAATAAAGGAAATGATCACCACCCAAAGAAGCTCCTAATTGTAAAATAAATTCTCCTTTTCAGCAGCTGGAAAATGTATAGAGAACAGTATGGAGATAACATCAGCATACTGATGTTAGAGTGTAAAGGGCTGCTACATTACACTATAAAAGTGGCAAAATAAAAAATATCAACACTTACTCCATCAGTGCTGGTGGATTGGGGCATCGAAGAAGAAGCTGCCCCTTCAGTATTTGCTCCATTTTGTGCTTGTGTAACAGAACTTGGAATGGTTCTATTAGCCTGAATATAAAAGCAGGTTTGCATAAACCCAAGAATTTAAAAGTACAATTGACATTTCACAAGTCTTTTCACAAGAAGGTAGACAACTTGGTGAAATCAGCTCTACAGAAAGAATGTATATCAAGTTTGGATGTACAGTGCAACCTTTCATGCAAATTTTTTAGGTCTAAAACAGTTTAAGGTATGGCTCCGTGGCATTCAACAGGTTCAATTCATGTTGTCTTGATGTGTCATAATTTTTACAGAGTTTGACTCACCATAGACACAAGTTGAGGAAGGGTTTTCCGTCTTGTGAATGGATCAGCTTTTTGTTCCACATTCATTTCTTCCTGATTGGAGTGGATTAATAGTTGTGAAAAAGTTATCAGTTTTAAAGGTGTTCACGCCAAGAGAGACTTGAAAGGAGGATTACAAATTTTAAACCCCAATCACCCTTAGTGTTTTCTGCTAACCCTTAACAGTCCCAGAAGTAATAAACATGTTACTCCTTGTTATAATATTCATACTTCATCCAGAAAACAGGTAATTGGAATCACTAAACTTAACAGGGAGACAACAGTATTCTCTTTACTAATTTACACCAAAATATATAGCAGCTGGAGGGGAGAATCAACAATCAGCTCTTGGGAGTTAAAAGGTTAAAAGATGCTTCTTGGAAAAAGAGAACAGATAATTCACATTTTTTTTCTTAACAGTATCTGTAACATCATCATCATCATCATCTGTACATGATTCACCATCAGCTTATGAAAACTGCACTAACTTATTTTACAGAATCCAAGCAATAAAAATATAAAACTACAGTAATCTTACAGCTGCAGCTTTTTCAGCCTCCACAATATTCCTCTTTCTGTTTCTTTCATTGATGTAACTGCAAGTGGAAACAGATTGCAATGAGATGAGCTACTGGTAAAAGCATGAGGAAATTAAAAAGATGAAAAGATAAACAATGAACTATAGAATTTTAACAAGAAACAAATCAATAAAACTCTTCAAAAGGTAATAGAACTTTGTCTAGGTACACAGGGACCCTGAATTAATGCCCATGACACTCATCTCAAGAAGAAGCTAAGAATATATTTTGATGTAACATCCTATCCTTTAGACTAACTTAAGGACATCCACCCTAAGGTATTGGGCTGGTTTTTCAAAAAGTGGTTGTGCAGGCTCTACATAATTTGTGAATGAAAGTTAAAATTGGAAGCATGAACATAGGGTGAATAACATTGCCTGAAATATCAGGCAAAATTGAAGGAAACAACAAAATACCAGTATGTAAATCTCTGAAAAGCAAGAAACCAAAATCAAACAACTAAAAGTGAACTGCATGTACAACACAGGGTAGTTTTGTCTCAATTTGCAAAACACAGCAGAAGGTTACCCTTTACCTGATAGCACTAAGGTTTTTAGACCGCACTTTGTCAAGTTGTTGTGCTTTCTCTTCCAAGTCATCCAGTTCACCACGCAATTTTTCTGCTTCTTCCAAGTTCCCCTTCTGTTCTGCTATTTCCTGTTACCCATAAAAGAAAATAAATAAGTGCTGTTAACCCACTTTTCCTTGTTTGCATGCAGTGAAAACGATTACAAAACAAGCACTACTATGGAGAAATCAAATTCACATCATTCCCTTACATCAAAAGTAAATTAAATGAGATAAAATTATTATGAAAATCATTCCTTCCACATCACTTCACTTGTGAATATCAACTTATGACTGGCTGTGACTGTCAGGCAGATATTGTGCAAGGTGACCATTGAGATCAGAGAGGAAGATACATGGAATTAGATAATTTAGCTTTCCTTGCCTAATCTTTATGGATCATCCCAAATTCATGGTAAAAACCAGCCAGCAGAATGTTCTCTGACTCCTTGCACCCACAATGTAGGTTATTGTGAGATTCAGTATGTATGGTGATTTTCAATTGGTTGTTGTAAAACTAAAATGAAAACCAATACAATCACAGCAGCCAATCATAACCAGGAAAATATCTTGAAGAGCCAATAAGAACATGAAATAAAATCAAGCAAACTGCCTGGAGCTCAGGAAAATGGACATGACCAAGTTATGATTGATTTTAGTTTTGATTATGACTGATTAAGGAAGTCAGTGGTAGAAGTAAAGTATAGACAAAGCAATTCTGGATTACTTTTGACACTTTATTGAAAATTGCTCTTTCCCACTGAATCACTCACTGTGATGGTTCTGATTGGTTATACCCACATGTTTACCATGGCTACCTTTTAAAACTAAGCTCCCTCCTTCCCAAGTCTCCCAAAGTCATCTTTTCTTGATGAGTTTAACTTGGTGTTTGAATGTGACTGAGCTACTTGTACTAAAAGTTTTTAATAGATATTTTACAAACCTTTGATCGCATTAAATGATTCTTCTTCTGAGCGTAATTAAAGGGTGTTTTCCTGAATTTCTGTTTCTCTGCAACAATCTGTCATCAGTGCAGCAAATAAAAAGACCATAAATTAAGCACTGTCTTGGTTTATGAAACAAAAAATGATGACAAATTTTTGTCACACAAAAGCCTAAATTTAAAGCAAGGTGGAAATTTCTAGTAAATCCAAAGTACTGTGCTCAAAAAAAAGTTACCAATGTTGTTATAAATAATTATGTTGAATTACTGAGTGCAGAGTATACCCTTTAGAGGGAAGACATGAATTTGGTGTTAGATCAAGATGAAACCTCCTACTTGATGAGTTTGAGTATTCTCAATACCTGTTTGCTGGATAACATATGGATATTAAAGGGAGAATTTACATGTTAATCACTTCTGGGAGTTAAAGGGTTAAGCTAGTCTCTCTTAGTTTTCATACCTTGTCAATATCCTCTTCATTATACATGTAATGCTGTGCTTCATTGAATTGTTTAGCTTTGGTGTCCACCTCCTCAAGTGTTGGTAAAGGAATGTCATGAGATTCACACTGTTCATAAATGACAAATAGAATCATTCACATCATTAAAAGGCAAACGTAAAAGAACAACAAAGGAGGAATTGTTTTATTTTTTATTACAGTTTATTACTGTTCCTGCTTTATTGAAACTAAATTAACGTATTTTAGTTTTTTCATACATCTTTAAGAGAAGAACACAACTACATAATGAGGACTGGACACTAAGTTTTATATGCACAATAGGGGCCTGGTACTAGTTTATCAGACCACATTGTTCTTGTTTTATGTTCTATGACTGCCCTTGAGGTGATGGAAGCAATTAGGAAACTCACTGTACGGGAGAAAAAGCACAATGGTTGCTTGGGTGCACCTCAATAATATGCCCGCCTTTGCTGCAAAGCAGGTGTTTGCAAATTTTTGGTCACATACCCCTAGTGTAACTCTGAGGGAAACTCAAACTTGGACAGGAGGGCTCTAATGGCCTGATAGAGTGTCTGCAATGTACTTTTGCCACCTATGACATCCCAAATGAATGTGCCACCTGACGGCACCGTGGCTACACAGCAGTTCCTAAAGGAGAGGGGCATGCATCACCGATTGTCCTTTGTCACCTTCCCACAATCCAACTGTCAAGTGGAAGTTGGAGTCAGATAAACATGATTTGAAGTTGCCCCAAAAGTTCAACATGATGGTAAAATTAAGTAAGTTGCCTGAAAAAGAATGGAGAGATTGACCCTAAGTTACCTCTTCTTTCCACCTGGCAAATTCCGTTTCTGTGAATCTCTGATTTGACACAAACTCTAATCTAAACACCCTTTCCTGGTTGCCATGTCTATTGAGTAAAAGGAAGAGAGAACCATTAACCTTTATTTCTTGTAACATTATTTTAGAGAGGAAAAGTTCACAACAAACTGAAGGGATTTTAGTCATCCATATGGAGAACTGGTAAAAACTCAACTACATCATCTTATAAATTGAACACTTAAATTCTCAACTAACATACTTCAACTTCAATCCTTTATTTGTTTTTGTACTTCCCCAAAGAGTATATCTTGGCTGTTTCCACCACATCTCTTATCTCTGCTACCTGGAATGAAAAATACCCATTTTATAAGTGGCTGTAATTAATGTTTATTGGTTGTAATTGGTTAGTTTGAACCCATCAGTTAGAAAGAAAAGTTTTTAACCATTTCACTGTCTGAAGTGATATATACTTAACTTCTCCTTACAATATCAATACATTATGCTGCAAACAGGTAACGAGAATAATCAAACTTATCAGTTAGAAGTTGTCATCTTTATCTAGCACCAATTTCTTGTTACTTATTTACAAGGTTGGGAAAAGTGTAGCAGCTAAATGAGATAATTTTAAAATCAGATTTGGGAGTTGAAGGATCAAGTTTGTAGTGTCTGCAATAAAAGTCTGCAATACAGAACTGAAATCTGTTGAGAGGAGTCTGCTCTGTAGGAGTATACCAGCTCTCTCTGTCATTGTCAGGTCAAAACATAAGTCTTTCTTACATGCTCCTTTTCAAAACTACCCTTACATTGTCATACCCACTAAGATACACCAAAATAAAAATTCTTGAAAGCATCAGAAGCTGGCAAATACGCTGTGTACCAGCACCATCTATGTTGTCATTCAATTTCTTTATCTAGGATTGGAAATTTTTCAAACCAGTTTGACTTGCAGTTTCCTTTGGTTCAGATTATGATTTTTTACATCATAATGAATATAATATTAACAGGAAAATAAAATTCAAAACTTTTTGAAAAAATTTGTGCATAATCATAAATAAATATGTTGAAAGGTTAAATTAATGTGTCCTTCACTTCATCTCAATAACATAAACAAACCCACAAGCTAACTTCCTCACAGTAACTCAGTGCTCAATCACAAAAAAGAGAAAATAAATAAATATAGCATTAGTTTATTTTGTTTGTTTTAATTGATGTGTGGTTGCTCAGGTGCAAAAAAAAAAAACCTTACCCTATAAACAGGTCTTGCATCATGATTTCCGATACCAACACGGACATAACAGCCAATCACTATCTTGCCAAAGAAGGGCATGTGTACCCATCTGTTTAGAACAGTTTAAAAAATAATAACAATTATAAACAACCAACCATTGATTACTCCTATGATTACTTTAACTTACAGAGTTACTTGAATGTGTTCCCAAACACATTAAAAAGACACTAAGTTCAAGTACAACAAGCCAGTCCTGAACTGAATGGAGTGCTGTTTGAGTTGTGAAGGTGCACTGTTGTTACCAAGTAACGCGCACATTGTAAGGACCTGAATGTAATGTACAGGAGCAGATGGAGGCGAGGATAAGATCAATTTTCTCTTGGGCGCATTGAAAACCAATGTTTAAAAGAAACTCTGAAGTTAATCTTCTTTAACCATGATCTCTACACTGATTCTAGTGAGAGAGTTTACCCAGTGAGACAAGATGCTTGTGTTGTACTAGACAAGGCAAGAGTGATATCTTCCATGATCTTTTCAAAGGTATTTCAATTTACTTTTTTTACACCATACAGGCCAGTACCTTTCAAGCTTGTGCCGTGATATTCTTATCCTCTCCAGATCTCCCAAAGCTGACACCCTTCGAGGTTGTGCCTCACCTTGCCTAGAATATCATTTGAAAAAAAAAAAAAACAGTAATGTATCCATTTTTACATAAAATAGTAATTACTGAATGTCCATGGATACCAACTTGGCCACCATGTACTTACTCTTCATCAGATTCTTGGTATGATCCTTCCCCCGAACTTGACTTGCTTTCCTCCTGCTCATCGTCATCTTCATCGTCAGTAAACACATCACTAGTCTTAAACTGTGGTGCTTTTTGGTCCGCTAGAGATTCTGCAACTTTCTTCTCTTTTTTCTCAGATCTCTTTGCCTTTAGATCATCCAAAGCTTTTGCTTTCTTCTCTTCAATGTGTCTCTTTCGCTCTTTTTTCCGCAAAGCTATTCCTTCCTTCTCAAGATTTGCTTTTTCCTTCTCTCGTTTCTTCTTCTTCTCCTTTCTTTTTGCAAGACGGAGTTTTCTTTCAATTTCAAATCGAGTCTTAAGAGCTTCCCTTTTCTCAACACGGTTGAAAATCTCCTGCTCTCGCTCTTTCTCTGTCATCTTTTCAAGTCTTGCCCTATCTGCTTCATCTCCCATTAGGTTGTCATCCCAATCATCATGATACTGCTCTTCCTCTTCATCCTCTGAGGATGATGATGATGACGATGACTCTGTTTGAGTTAAATGAACAGTTCTACCCTGATAAAAAGGCAGTAACTACTTACATTGTATTCCTTAACCCTGTAACTCCTATGAGTGATTAGATTTTCATGGAATTTCTCAGAAGTTGCACAAGACAAAGGTGAATTTTTGTTCTGTCTGTACTGAACAGGCTTCAAAGGATTATGGTAAAAAGAGGTTGAAATTTAAAGTATCTGATGATTCAAGTCAGAGTCAGTGATCAAATTTTCATAAACCTTATAAAACCAGTTAACATTTTGGCCTAGCTGACAGTGTTACATGTGCATGTAAACCTTATATATAACTTGGGCATTGGGTAATTTGTTTCTATTGATACCCAGGATTTGTATCAAAGCCAGCTTTTCAGTCTCTACAATGTATATCTATTGTCCATATAATAAAAATTAAATTACATGTTAGCTCAAAGATATGAATGTTATGTTCTAATTGCACAAACATTATCTCATTTCTTGCACTCAATTGTGATATATTTTTCGTGCCACTTAAACATAAAATTCACATCTTTTTGTCCCCATATAATATCCTCTCTCTCTCTCTCTCTCTCTATATATATATATATATATATATATATATGTTTAGAAATAGAGGACTTCTTTCTGTCTTCATAGCCTCATCTAAACACTAGGGGAGGGGAGGACTCTCAAAAGTTTTGCAAACCTAAGATGAGATGCAATTGAGGGTTTGCATAACTTTCCTTGATTCTTCAAGCCACGCTTGTGTTTCAATGAAGCTATGTAAACAGAGGAAAGGTCCTTTTTTGCTTCAGTACAAAGACTCTCACCACCAGAGGATGTTTCACCACTTTCTTCTGATGAAGAACCCGATGATGAAGCTTTTTTGGCTTTTTTCTTGTCCTTAGCCTTTGCAGCCTTTCCTTTACTATTCTCAGAATCCATTGTCCACTACAGGAATTAACAAATCAAATAACTGGATAAAAAAACACCTATTAAACCTTTGATCCCAAAGAGTAACTAGTACCTCATGTCTCCTGACAATATCACCCCTGAATCAAACATTAAGGTGACAAGAATTAGAATAATGATCACCCATTAAAGAAGCTCTTGATTGTTTCACAATTCTCCTTATCAGCACCTTAAGAAATGTAGAGAGAACTACAAGGAGAATATCTATACTGATGTTAGGGTGTAAAGGTTTAAGCAAGGCATTAAGATGCATGACCGTGAGAACCGTGACCCTTTGTTTTGATTTGGATGGTTTACACAGCTGTGATTGGTGCAATCATAAACCTTGCTGTTCTGATAATATAATTCCAAATTCCCTCATGGATCTCTAGCTGAATGGTTATACCGTTGTTCCTCTTCTTGATTTTTCCCGTAAAAAAAAAGTAAAACAGCAACAGGAGAGCCATACATTATACACTGTATGTCATATGATGTGATCAAGTTTAAACATATACCATTTTTTCCGAGTACCAATTGAGCGTAAACAATCTAAACAGCGGCGGTTGTTAACAAGCTGCAGTTTCACCATATCATAACTTATAAAGCAAACTCATACAGGCTTGAAAAACTGACGAACCAAGTTGTTTGGGAAGTTTTCCAATTGTTCGATCGTTCGCATTCAATCGCGTGAGGTTTAAAAAAAAATTGGAACAATTCACAACGAGATGAAATAGTTGCTTATAGAATCCTGCCATATATTACCTCATCATCACTTCCCTCCGATGAGTCCAAGTCACTGTCTGAATCTCCTGATCGCTGTGGCTTGGCGTTACTATCGTTCGCTGGTCTCGAACGTTTAGCGAGTGACTTCAATTCCTGAAATAAACAACAACTTCCAATGTCACCAACACTTGAAGAAATGGCGAACAACTCAGATATCTGCGAAATTATTATTCACCTCCTCTAAGTCTTGTTCACTCTCATCATCGTCGCTGCTTGATTCCACTGCAACACGTTTTCTTTTTTCGTTTCGAATCATTAGCTTCCTTCGTTTTCCCCATCTTAGTGCTTGAGAACATGCAGGAGGAGGCTAGGTTACTAGGCGTTACCCACCTAAATGCATTGTGGGATAGAAACCTGGCTACCAAGTCTGTTGTCGTCCCCAGATCTTTTTTCATCGACTCAATTTCGAGTAAAGGAAAAAATATTTGTTGATTACGCTTCGTGAACGGATTCCTTCATGAAAGTGTTAAAAGACATGGCTGCCACATTACCCGACGACGGAGATCTAGAGGAAGTTATGCTTATGAACCATCCTGTAAGAAAATCCTCCACTCGAAGAGGCGAGGTTAGCTAAAACTTTCGAAGACGAGGACGAATTTTGATCAGCATCGCCTGAATTTGTCTTCGTCCAGCAATCTTTCGTACCTGAATCGTACCTTGACCGTTTTTCTTTTGCGATTAAGTAACTGTGATTGGTTGAAATTTATCCGATTTTCGATATGTCTTGACCTATGGTTTTTATTTAACCTTTTTTTTTAAGGAAAGGAAACCGCTTTGTACAGAAGAAAGTGAACCAACTTCAACATCACGAGAAAACATTCCCCCAGCTCCGCCGAAGAGCTTTTTGCTGCTTGACGAAACGGAAATTCTTCAGGTAACCTTGGATGGCGAATGCAAAATAGTGATCAGTGATTTATCTAAACCTTAAAAGATGTTAAGAGTATTTGAATTATCCAAGACCGAGGTTTTCTCTTATAACTAACTCTTATAACCAGGCCGGACCAACACTCAAGGTCTTAAAATGTGCTACCTTTCTATAATATCAAGACATGGATAGAAATTCTAGTCTACTCGGATAAGGACGAACAAACCGTAGGTCCCGTCTCCTGCATCTATTAATAATTTGGTTAGGCAAGGGACGTTAAAGAACTCACTCACGAGATTACTATGATGTGGTCTGGCCTGTAAAGTATAGTGTAAGGTAGATAGCAGGTCCACATCAGCAACAGCTGCTACTTATTCAACCTGCTTTACCAAATAAAGGATGTATGTATGTATTACTTCGCTGTGGATACTGTATTTATGTTGACATAATAAAACCGTTTACAACTGAGAATTGACAGCCGTGATGATAATAAACAAAGCGACTTGTTAAGGAGTGATTGGTAAAAATTCATTGAAGAACTATTTAATAGTTCAATGAAATATTTAGAAAAATAGGAAAATGAGAGTTAATCACAAAGAAGACTGTATTTATATAAATGAAGAGTGTACTAAAAGTTTGTTTCTTTGATTGCGTAGATAGAGCTTTGTAAGACAGCATGGTTATTTTTTTCATTTGATCATGACAAAAACTATTAATTGATCTGTAATGATTATAAATATGGCTGCCATTTCAAGTGTTAGCCCATCCTTAGAGCGTTGGCCCATTGGCTCTGAAGTAGGGCTGACACCTGAAACTTTATCTTTAGAAACTCTTTGCAATGGCCTGTTTACATTATCAACTCAGTTTATAAAAACCAAATGATAATAACTTTAATAATAACTCCTTCCCCCACAAATGCTGTGCCACAGTTTCATTGGAAACCTACTTCCTTTATTCATAGATCTCAGAATTACAATTATAGCTTTGGATGTTCAATGTTACTTATGTAGCAGGATAGTGTTTTGGAAAGGAATTCTGTAACATAAGTTAATGTGTGAATTATGTATCTTTTGAGCAAGGCTATTTAAAAGTCAGTTATCAATCACTGTCTTTTGGTATTAGTTTTGGTAATTACGTTAAATGCCTTCCATGTCAGATTTTTAGAATTTACAAATATGTCTCTTAAGGTATAGTAAATACTTACAGGGGTCACCACTCTATTCTTCAGGTGCATACAGTGGAGGACTTCATTGCAAAGCTGTCATGCCATGGTGATACAAGCATGAAAGTTGTCTCCATATTTGGTAACACAGGTGATGGAAAATCACACACCCTTAACCATGTCTTCTTCTGTGGCAAAGAAGTATTTGGAACTTCACCATCGCAGCTTTCCTGCACAGTGGGTGTTTGGGCTGCTTATGATGAGGGTGATCGGGTAATTGTCTTGGATACAGAAGGGCTATTGGGTATGTCTGGAAATCACAACCAACGCACAAGGCTCTTACTGAAGGTCCTTGCGATATCTGACATTGTCATCTATAGGACAAGAGCTGAAAGGCTCCACACAGACATGTTTACTTTCTTGGGGGATGCATCAGATGCGTATCTAAAACATTTTACCAAGGAGCTGAAAGATGCAACAGAACGATGCCATATGGATGTGCCTCTATGTAGTCTTGGTCCAGCTGTGATTATCTTTCATGAGACACAGCACACTCATTTACTAGGAGTGTTACAGAATGAAAGTAATCCATCAGGTTTGGAAAAATTTTGCAATTTGTTGATAAATTACACTGTAATTCCTCTTACTAATAAATACTTGGGCATTTATTTAAAATTTTGGCCTAAGGGAGGGGTGCTTGATGGAAGTAGGGCTCTTGACAAAGAGGGGCGAGGGGTGTTTACTACTCTCTTGAACAGACTCTGCTTCATGTGTAGCAGAAGCTAAAAAGTTATTAGATAAAGTGACAGTAGAAACAGGCTTTCCTGCCATTTTAAGAAAATGAGGGAGAAGGGGCAATAATTTGAGAGGGGGGCTTGTTTGATATTATGGCCCAGGGAGTAGGCACTAATAGATATTTCTAGGGGAGGAAACCTATTAGAGGGTGGGTGCCTATTTGAAGATATAGGTACAGTATGTTACTTGGTTTTAAAATCTGAAGTATTCTGAAGGCCGAAATGTAAATTATGACTTATTTTCTATTCTACCACTTTAAAAGTCTTGTTATAATTTTCTTACTGAAACAGAAAATCTGAAGAGTCCTGATGAGATTTTAAAGGAGAGATTTGCAAATATAGGAAGAATTCCTCATGCATTTAGTTCTATCAAGTACCTAGGGACAAGAACAGAGACTCCACCAACAAACTTCAGGGGATTGAAGCAAGCTGTAAAAGAATGTTTAGTTGACAGCTCTGTGCGCTTGTCACGCTCACCAACTATCATTTATAAAGCTTTGATGGTAATTATTCTAACTTTGTTGAAAACTTTGACACCTAAGAGTGACTTTAGGCATCCTACTTCCCCACAGAATATCACCCCTGAATCACTTAATGTTCAAGCTCACCTAAATCCAAGATGGTGTCTAGTTATCAATCAAGATGCATGTGCTGCGTTTTGGAAACAAACGTAACGAGGAAGTTTGCTGTGGATTTATCTTTGCAAATCTTTTTAATTCACTATATCTCTAGGTAAGGTTATGATGAAACATTCTAGTCGCCAATTTGGCGACTAATTTTCAGGATTTGATTGCCAAAGTGAAAAATTAATTTTAGTTGCATTGGTGCCTGTATTAGGCGCAATTTCACGTCCTGCTCCTTGTACCCTTCCTCTGAAATCTGTACAGGAACAAATTATGAGAGGGGGGGTTTATTAAATTATCATTATGATAATAAATTAAATTTATGATGATCATTGTGTTACTAATTTTTTTCATTCAAGTTTCTTTGCTTTCCTTTTCATTAGCTCCTGAATGAGAAGTTCAGTGGGGACATTGAGAGAACAATACCAAACACTTTTCCTGATGAATATTTCACTTGCCAGGCATCATGCCTCTCATGCAAGTAAGCACAAATTTTATGGCTATGATCATGTAGGCTAACTGTCCAGCCGAGGGTGGTCCTGCTATCTGTGACAGTAAGCGACAAAATCACCTGAAAGAAAGTCATCACCCAAGTCAATTGAAAAGTTCTTTGTGTGTTTATTGTTGTATTCCTTAATCATCAAGAGTTACAGGCATCTGATTTGTCCTAATGGTACCACAGCTGAGTTGACATTAAGATCATGAGAATAAAGGAACATGATCGTCAACTAAAGATTGAAGCTATTGATCATTTTAACAAATTCTTCTTCTATGCAGAATATAAAATCATATTAATATTAGAATGTGAAGGGTTAAGTTGACTTTTTTGCAAGTCATATGTCTTGAGCTTTGAATTTATTGTTTTCTGGAAATGTGTTCTTCAATCATTTGGCTTATTATTAACTTTATGAAAGTTTTGTACTTACAAGGTTTCTCGGTGCTTTCTAACATGATTTTCCTTTTAAACTATGGATAAAATTTTTATTTGTTTTTCATACTTGTAGAGCACGATGTCAAAAGAGCATGAATCATGAGAACGATGAATCATCAGCACACCACAGTGATGTCAGATGTCAATATCAAGCCCAGTTTGACAACAGGATTTTTACTTGTAGGGTGAGCTGTAAAACATATCTATGCATATTTTTCCATCTCGACGGACTCTTGGAGTTCTTGCCGTAAACTTTCTTCACCTAATTTATCCCTTTAACTCCCATGAGTGTCAGAATTTCATCTTACAATATCAACACAGAATCAAGTAGACAAGTGATGAGAATAAGGAAAAATGTCATCAAGGAGATTATTAGTTGATCCAAGACCAAATTGTTCAACTATTGTAACAATCATCATAAGAATTACATGGCAGACACCAAGAGGAATTGCTAAATGGAGATCTTGGGAGTGAAAGGGTTACTGTATTGCATACAGTTACAGTTATTGATTTCTAGTTTCAATGGTTATAGTGTGCTAGCTTGTCAACCTTGCCAATACTGTAAGCTATAATTTAATGAGCTTAAATTACTCTCTGCCTTTGTTGTCACACTTACTTGTGGTATTCCTGTAAATGATTTGTTGGATATAAACAACATACACTATATGTGATAATCATATGATTACTTTTTGATGTTGTTTCAATAAAGGCCTGTTATGAGAGGGGAAAACAGAATTTGGTTGTTCCAAAAATGTGTTCCTCCAATGATTCATCCTGGCTTGGATTTGCTAAGTATGCCTGGTCTGGGTAAGCACTTGCAATAAATGATTCTTCATAGTGTTTAAAAAGTTTGTTTACCTCTAAAATCATTTTCTCTTATAATTACGGTGCTTCAAAATTACACTCAGCAGGGAATTGAAAAGGATGGGGCAAATGATGTACAGTTTGTGCATTTAGGATTAATCCACACTTTAATCACAACAAAAAAATTATTATGATTATCATCATTATTGCTATTATTGTTATTACACATTATTTATTATTTCATATCATTTATTATTTCAAAATCATTTGATGGACATGAAGAGAAGTAAGGTCCAATGCAAAATTTTTGTAGAAGAGTACATCAGTGCTTCCTTTCTTCTTTGATGTTCAATGTGACTTCAATTGTTTTTGTCTCACCAACAATTGCACGTTTATATACAAATACAGACAGTAGCATGTTTGTATACAAATACAAATGATGAAATAATTGAGAGGTTTGAATGCAAGCATGATCTCTCCCAAGTTTTTATCTTCTGGCTCCTTCTATCATGGACCAAACAAACACTTTTTAAGATGAGTAAATTTGTAAAGTTATCGTCTTCAGTTTGGTTAGAAAAATTTGGATTTATGGCCATTTGAAGAGTGTAAACATACAAAACCTCTCTCACCTCAAATGTACTAAGCTAAGGGTTCAAATAGCATTGGTGGCTTTGTTCCAATTGATTTCTGCCTTATTGAATACCAGATCTGTGTATGTAACAATAACATGGTTGGTCCGAAACAAACTGAAGCTTAACACAGGAAAAATCGAGCTACTTGTTCTGAATGCCAGCCATTGCCCATGCCCGTCATGAGCCTATGGATATGGTGCTATAGAAATCCTTATTATTTTTATTATTATTATCATTATTATTATTATTGTTATTATTTGTAATTAACAATTATTCACAAAAGTGGAAGTGATTAGAGGTGGATATTTATCTCACCACTTTGCAGATCAGTAAATCTCCAATAATGACACTGAGTAGTGTCGCTGATGAATTTTTACTGTATACTACACAGATACCAAAAATCAGTGTAGTCCTCTTAAATATACTGAAAAATAGTTGGAAATTAAACCCTTATATGCAACTTGGTCTCTTTCTCTGCTTGGAGGTAAATATTACTTGCTATTCACTTTCAAACCTGCCAACTGTGCACACACACAAAGCACTTTTCACGTGTGTGGTATATAATTATATACTAACAGTTGCTAATTCATATGATAATAATATACTTAGTTACAGTGGTGTGTTTATTTAATAATAATTATCATCATTTGTACCAATACTGAGATGTTACTGTTCAACTCTAAAACTTGCAATGTGTAGTTGTCAGGGCCCCCACAAATTTACATGTTCATGTAACTCTGTATTTATAGGAAGCCAAACTAGTCTGGCTCTTATGGAAACGTGTACCAGCATTCAATTTCTCAAGTCAGCAGATTTACAAGTCTTATACCTTTTGACCCCTAAGACTAACTAGCAGCTAATTCTTCAAGGTCATGCAAAGAAACAGGATGACTCCTAATAAGAGAGCTCTTGTAAAACAAATTCTCCTTGCCAGGACTGTTTAATTTACAGAGAAAAGCATGAATAATATGCATACTGATGTTAGGGTGTAGAGGGTTAAATTAGTTTTCACTGTAATCTCAGACTGACTAAATCTGTTATTGGCAGGTATGTTCTGGAGTGCCCAGGATGTGGTGTAATCTATCGTAGCCGTCAGTACTGGTTTGGAAATGAAGACCCAGTTAAGACTGTGGTCCGGACTGAGCTTCGCCATGCATGGCCTGGGGTGAGGTTTAAAGCTTGACTACTGACAATAAATCCAGCCACTTTTTTCCCAATAATTCATGAAAATCTGTGACATTGCTTAAAGAAACAGTTCTTTTGTGTTTGAGTAATATACCACACTTTCTATCGGTTTACCATCATAATAACCATGCAGTATGTTGGGAGAACACATGAAAAATTTGTAAATCACAAACCGAAGGCAAGTGATTTATAAACTATTCTAGTGTTCACAACATCTCAAGAGGGTTATTAAGGCAGTAAAGCAATAAAAAGTGTGGTCTATTCCTTCTAAAAACAAAACACAGTTCAATTTTCTATGAGTTTTAACTGGAAAAGTGCAATAAATGAAAGGTTTTTGATCAAAAAGTTCTGGTTATTTCATAAAGAAAATATTCTTTTGCACCTTTTATTGTAACACACTTTTTGTATTCAGCAAGTATTTGCAAAGCTGGATGGTGGCCATGCAGCCAGACGGTTTTTGGATCATATCAGCTATGTCACTGATGCAGTTAGCAGTCTTGGTACTCCATCCAGTCAGGCAGTGACCAACTGGATCACAGACAAAATAGCTCCAGATTATTGGGTGCCAAATTCTGAAATAACAGTAAGTTAAAAAAAAATTGGCTCAGTTTGCAGTTAACTGCCTCTACACTGCAGTCATACACGATGAAGTCAAGGGCTCAAAATGACAGCTTAAGAAACCTGTTACAGTGGCTAATTTACATTATCAACTCAGTTGATAAAACCAAATTATTACGTAATACCTCTCCATTGACTCAGTGCTACAGCTTCATGTATTAGAAACTTACCTCCTCTATTCATGCGTGCAAAGCCTCTCAGTTGGCAGTATCACAGCAGATTAAATGTCACTGTCTGCACTGTGCTGAAAATGTAGGATAGTATTAACTGCAGTTTCTTGTAAGCCTATTGATTTTTTTAGTGAGAGTAGTTTTTCTCAACTGTGCTTTGTACTTGTAGACTCCAAATAATTCTTGTTTTTTAATCAACCAAAACCAGGAAATATTAATTAGCAACTATTAAAATTTAATAGTTTCAAGCTTGCATCATTTTTACCAAATTTTGGTTGAACAAATTTAAAAGTCAAATTAGTCAAAAAATGTCTTAACTTCTTCTTCTGTCTTATCTCTTATCTTCTAGGCTTGTCAGGTATGCCGTCAAATATTCAGCGATGGAAAGACTAAGCACCACTGTCGCGCCTGTGGAGGTGGGGTCTGTGATGCATGTTCAACCAATAAGAAACCTGTACCAGAACGAGGCTGGGGTGAGGAACCAGTGAGAGTGTGTGACCATTGTTTTGGAAAAACGTTAACCGTGGAGGCTCAGCCTCAACCCACATGTGACTTAAGGTAAGGTTGTCATTTGCAATGAATTAACAGTAAGACACTCATCCAGAACTTAAACTCCCAGAAGTGATTAACATGTGACTTCTCTCTGTGATATCCATACATTATCAAGCAAACAGGTAATGAGAGTACTCAAACTTGTCAGCCAGATGTTTTTATCTTGATCTACCACCAAACTCTTGTAATTAATTTAGAGAGAAATGTGTAGCAGCTAGAGGGGAGAATTAACAATTAGATCGTGAGTTAAAGGGTTGAGCTTGGTTGTGATTTCTCTTCAATATTAAATACATACTTTGTGCTCTTTTAAACAGTGATTTATCGGATGCTCTAGAAGAGGAGACTCCTCAAGAAATTGTGCGCCCTGAAGATGACCACAGTCTGTATTCTGAAAACCCTTTTGGACCAGTAGCTGCCCGAAAAGTAACAGAGGTTGTTCAGTCCGCTGTGGGTGTTTTAAAAACAGCCATTGTTTACCCTAAGGGGTTCATCACTGATGCAGCAAGGCCAGGATACTGGGTACCAGACTCTCAAATTTTAGTCTGTAACTGTTGCCAAACCGAATTCAAGGGAAGTGATACCAAACATCATTGCCGAGCCTGTGGTATGGGTGTCTGTAGCAACTGTTCAGAAAGTAGGAGACCTGTGGCTTCAAGAGGTTGGGATCACCCAGTCAGAGTTTGTGACCAGTGTGCTGCTAAAAAAGGACAGCTTTAGGGTCAATTTGTTTTCAGTGAGAAGCCAGCCATGAGAAACTTCCAGCTTATTGGCCCTTTATGATCAAGTTATTATTAATATTGCAACCTTATGAGGTTTAAATCAAACTTACTACTTCATGGCCTTGCGTGGAGATGGAGAACATAATCATTGGCTGTGAGATCAAGTCTGATTTAAGTCCATGGCATCCTTTGCTTGAGGCCTTTTAAACCAAAACTAGAGTCTTTTGAGGGCTTTTTACTTAAAAGAAATAAAAACCAACAATAAGGTTATCACAGGGGCCTGGCAGACCTAAGAATAATAACCCAAAAAGGCAATGGACTCTTAAATTGAACACATGCAAACTGTCTGATATGCAGGAAAATGTTCACCATCAAGTCTTGATTGGTTTTAAGCTACTGCATTTGATTGATTGAGAGGGTTTCCAGAGTTTTATAGACCATTCATTAAGTGAAGCAAAGTAAAACCGGAGCAATGCTGGTTTAATTTGGATGCTAAAAATCCTACATTATCCTCTTCACCTTTGCTCTCTTAGGAGAGATCAAATGAGTAATTTCTCTGAGCAGAATCAATAAATCTATAAACCAAAAGGTGATGAGACTAAAGAAAATTATCAACCTTATGATAAAGCGATCTTTAATTTACTACCACCTTCTCAGAACTAACATTGAAAGAAATGTATAGCAGATGGTAAGGAGAACTTACACTGCAATCCAGGGAGTATAAGGGTATATGGGACCTACAGTAGTAGGTTCTTAGAACGTTTTGAAAATGCTATGCCTGAATGTTGGAAGAGCCTACTGCTAATTTTACTGTACAATAGTTATACTTTTAAGAAATAATACTACAGGTGTGAGATATTATAATTCAAAATAACTAAATCCAACATTTCTCTCCTTGTAAAAAGTTTGGGTGAAATTTTTTCCATGTATATTTCCATGTTTGTATTTCTTGTGAGCATTTTCTTTAGTAGGTTTATTTCTAACTTTTGTTAGCTAAAATTGATGATAAACATTTTTCAGGCTGTTCTGTGCTAAACTTTCTTTGGGATTTTCCCTAGTTTCCAGGCTACTTCAATTTATACACGTTAAGCTACTGACAAAACAGTACATAGGACCATTGTGACTGCTCTCAAAAAATAAACTGGCTGAGAAATAGAAATCTTGTGAAAGGTAACATCAGCTCATCAGTAAAAGAGCTGTTCCTAGGAGTTTTGCTGTACTCTGCCTTCAACTCCCATTGGGTGGGATGCCAATCTATCTCAAGGTTAACCCTTTCCGCTCTAAAATCAGTATGCATATTCTCCAAACTGTTCCCTATGTTTTCCTAGGAACTGAGGAGGAGAATTAGTTTAACAATCCAGAGCTTTAGTCGGTGACCAATTCCTTGATTTGGGTGACCTTAATGTTTGATTCAGGGGTGATATTGTAAGAGAAATTAGATGCTTGTCTCTCTCAGGAGTCAAAGGTTTAATAAGTGTCTGTTTAGCAATTTTTAATTGTTTAATTCTTGTAGAGGATAATGGATTCTGAGAATAGGAAGGGAAAGGCTTTGAGCTTTTCAGTGGATGGGAGGGATGTCAAAAACCAAAACAAAAGGAATTACAACAGCCTATTGGAATATAAGAAGACATCAAATGGGGCCAATCCAGATTTCAAAGCTACCACAAGCAAACTGCCTAGGGGCTGAAATAGATGAGACATGTAATTGGTTCAGAGAGCAGTGCAGGTTTTTTAGCCGGAGAAAAATCAGGGGAGGAGAAAAGTCACCCGGCTTAACGTCAAAATTGGAAAACGTGTGCTGACCTCGTACTCAGTTATCGGCAAACAAAATAATATGAGGGTTTGCAGCGATTTTTTCTTTCATTTTAGAGATCCTGAAGCACCATTTATTGGTCAGACAGGTGCAGTATCATAAATTTAGTTTGAAATGTTTAAGTCTCCGGGAGAAAACTAAAGTGAAAAAAGTGAAAAGCGATAAAAAGTGAATTGTATGTGGCTTTCATTTCGAAGAATATCATTTTAAGAGAGAGTCTGACCGTGAGGGAAGGGAAAATGGTGACCAGCAACGGGAGATAAGGCTCTGAGAATCAGTAGGAGATTTGCAACGAAAGGGTAAACAAAGTGGGAGAGAGGAAAGAGCTTAGAAAAGAGGACAGCTATGTAAAACGGGCGTTGTGGTGGAGAAACAAGATTAGTAATGGAAGATTATTACATCTGAGCAGCAAGTCTAAGGTAGTTATCAGACAAGTGCCCCACCCGAACTTAGATGAGCTGATAAGTTCAGAACTGTACAACTACATCTCACTGAAGGCGAAGAAAGATAAAACTGCAACAAACTAGTCTACTTTATTGAAGTATTGTTTCAATTTCATTTAGGCCAGAAAGCGTAGCAGTTCCTTTCCTGTCAGGATTATAGTGATACACATAACAATCCAAACGCAGTGGGAGAGATTTTGACCCATCCACCTCTTCCTCAAAAGATACACCTTCTGAAATTTTAGGATAATATTGGAAAACATTATTGGCCAATAATAATTTCTACGACAAAGTAAGCGAGTTGGACACCTCCGTTATCAGAATATTTGAATGCTGTTTGACATGCCGTTTTACATGAGAGAATTTTCAACTTGGTATCTCAAATTTTCCTTTGTAGGCTTAGTAGAAAGAATGGCTAGAGGTTGATCCAGGGTAAAAACCAAAGTTATACACGGACATAAGTCCCTATCCGAGGGGTTGCGCTTGAAACAGGAAAAATATGTACAGTGACTATTAGGCATATTATAAGTTTTTTTTTGCGAAAACTGGGTCATATTTATTGTACCAAGATGTATCCCATGGCTTTGATGTGTTTGTCTCCATTATCTGGAGAAACATCGGCCTCGTTACCGCACGTGTTTGAATTGCCAGGTCTCCCTGCTGTGCCAAATCTGATCCTCGAGTTGCACGAGTCACACTCATCCTCGTTGTTGCTAACAATACCAATTCTGGCTTTAGAATATCCACTCCAACTACAAACGAAATTGAACCCTTCTTTGTTGCAGTTGTACTGTAATGAGCCTTGGGAACCAATCAACTCTTTCCACTTCTCACCACCCAGTGAGGTGGCGCGGTATTGGCCATCAGCAATCAGTGAGTACAGAGAGTCAGCTTGCTCGTGGATGACAATGAACCTGAGCTGTTGGTGGATCTTCATACCGAGACAGATCTTGAAGAAGGATGTGTTCCAGTAGGTGGGTAGCTTTGATTCCTGTCTGTCGAACCCAGTCTCCCCTCCGGGAAGATTGTATCCTTGATTTTTTATCCAGTAATGTTTATTATAATGGAATGTGGTCTGAAATATAGGAGCAATTCAATTTTTTTATTTACTCCGAATTAATGGATATTTGCTGTCGAATTCCTGTCGTGTATCTGCATTTATTGATCCATTACTCATTTGTTTTACCGTTGGTGTTTACAGCATCGTGTCGTGAAGACTAAGGTCTTTTTTTTTCCAACACGGACCTTGCAACGTAGATCAGTGCATGACATACCTATCTAGTTATAAGGCGTTCTGATGTTTTTTCATTTGCCCGCCAATCAAGAGGCATTGATGTGATAATAATTTGTGAAGTGAATGAAGGATGATAGACGTTGTTATTCCTTAGAGAAATTCTTATCTCTTTTTAGATATGACAAAAAAAAATTGGAGTTTGTTTGTGTCGCGATAAAAGTAAACTGATCCCCCGATAAGACTCTGTGATATTCCTATGATCCACGATTCCTCCTCATTGGCAAGTTGGTCGGCCCTAAATGTTCTATAGTCCTCCAAAAATCCTCCTCTACCTACCCCCCTTCCCCTCTCTGTGTAGGGGATGAGCAATGACAGCTCTTTAAATCAGTGTGATATCTACATATCCATTAACTAGCGTGGAACTTCAACTCAGATACGATATATTCTTTGTTACGAACAGCTTTTAACCGAATTATGATCTTAATGATGTGTATTTCTTATCTAGCTGTTACATGATATTAAAGAAAAATATGTTAGCATATATTTATGCATTCTTTTTCATTCTTTTTCAACAGTCACTACACACAATAAGTCTTGAACGAGGTCTTTTCTTCATGTATTACCCTCTCGATGAAACACAAGAGGCATACATAAGTTACATGCACGTTTTTAACTTGCAACGTTTTGAAAGAGAGCGAAAGAGGGTTTATACAGGAAATGAATTATTTAATGAAAGTATGCACCTTTCTGCCGTCAATCTTCATGACTGGCGTCCATTCTCCATCTCCACACCCAAAATTTCCCATGTGACAGAAAACGGACAATGGTTGGGAGTCAACAAGAAGGGTAACCACACCATTCACATTGGATCTTTTAAATCAAAATTAAAAAAAAAAAAGAAATACAACAAGTAATGAAAACAATGATGGTGAAATAAGGCTTGAGCTTATAAAAATAATTATCATAGCTACAACGGTGGCAATGAAAATGACAATGGGAAAGAAAGTGAGTGATAACAATAATAATAATTCAACAAATAAGCTAATGAAAAGTTGATCCTTCAGACGTCAATATCTGCGGAACATAAACACCAGCCTTGATAACAAGAATGCTTGGTTATTTGTCCTGGAATCCAGCCGGTGTGCGAGGGCAAAGGATATTTTTCACTTCTTCTGTGAGGACAGTAATGCACTCTATTGAAATGAATCAAGGTTTAAAGGAGGACTTTCTTCGCAAATAGAATGTGGTTTGAAAATTGGGCTGTATTCGGTGAAGTGATGGGCTTAAACTGTATGCGGGCAAGCGCGAAATTTAATGTACTATGAAAATAATATCGAAAATCAAATCTACTTGCATATCATGAATTTCTTTACACGAGGAAGCTCCTGCAAGAAGTTTAAAAATACCTTTGATTAGAAGAAATTGTAAACTTGTTTTAGCTACATCTTAATCCATCATTGGGAAGCTATACTGACTGGGTAAGCCTCCTTCACATACTGAATAAAACGTTTTTCTTTCCTCATGATCACTACACGTCATTTTTGCTTTGTACAGTGTTAAAACTGCATTCCAAATGAATCGATCAACATACTCCTTGTAAGTCACAAGCAGTACTGATGAGCTGCAGAACAGTCATATATTCCCTCTTTTTTAATCCGGAAAGTTCTACAGGTGGCTAATTATCTTTTTGTTTGTGGTTTATGAATTTTTACCACTGTTTCTTTCTACTTTCAGTGCAGCTCAGAAGAAGATATGTGAAGACCTATAAGGAGAAGGGAGATGATAAGATGAAATGACAAAAAAAACAAAAATTCGTCATTGAATTGTGTTGGTGAGGAAACCGCAACAAAGGCCTGCTGTCCTTCGGTGTTTACAGACTAGTAAGAGAGCTTTAAGTTATATGAGGACAGAAAAAGCTCTTCTCTTCTTTGAGACCCAATTAACAAGCAGCGCGGTAAAGTTTTTCCTCGTTGTTGTTAACCTGAAAGTCTCACGATATCAACATAATAGTTGCGTTTACCTCTTTCGCAAATCGGACCTTCAAATCAAGCGGTACACAGACACCGATAACCTTTCTTAGTAAATCCGCTTTGACAAGTAGCATTGTTCTGACAAGGATTTTGAACGCAATTGCTCTGACAGAAGAAACAGACCGTTGTCATTGTTATTGTCATTATCATCATTATAATCATTTTCATCATCCAATAGTCAACCACTACCGTCATCAACATCGTCATCGTTATCCTTGTCACCATAGTTGTCCTTTTATTTCTATATTTTTCCAATAACTTTAAAATGCTTTGTCTTTGAAGCGATTTTGGTAAAGAGCACAGACACAATATTACTGCTAATGTCTTGAAAGAGTGAAAACAACTCAAGTTCGTAATTTGAGATGAAATGAGACTAAGCGTTTTTAAAAGAAAAACAAAATATACCAATCTGAATCTTAAATTGAAAGTAATATTTACCTGCGTGATAAGAATACATTTCTTGGTCTATCAACTTTCCTTCGTGTCCTTCATGAGTAGCATTGTTCAGTTCACATTTATAGTTTCCATATCTATCTACCCGTGTATAAAGATTAATGCTGACGCAGTCGGGCTCCATATAACACAAGTTTTCACAGAACCTGGAAACTGTAATTTCTACGGTGCGAATTGTGTGGTTTATGAGGCGTTTCCCGTCAAATGCTTTCTCAGGCCCGAACTCCAAATTGCGACACTGGTCTGCGATGCAGACGTCTTTGAAATGAGAATAATAAACACATTAAACGTAATATTATTGCTTATGATGATATGATAAGAAATACGGAAAATGTAGTAAGTGATATTTCATTTTCAAGTGTGTTAGCCTTGAATTTTATTTTTTCTTCGTGTGTTTTATTTCTATCTTGTAGAAAGTGTTTAAGAACAAGTCTCTGTAAGATTCAAACATCTTGGGAAATGAAACCCCCCAACCCCCCTTCAAATTTTGCATGCAGTTAGGCACTCAGGGGGATGCAAAAAAAAAATGCCCTTTTTAAAGGTTGCAGCACTCTTGTTGCCAAGGTAACAACGACTGCTTGTTCGAGACCTTGGGCCTCATTTTCATACAAAAACGTCGCAAAAAAAAGTGAAATGTTTATTTCTCCGTCTCAAGCTAGATACAACATTATAAATTGGCACGTCTACCATACATAGTAACAACATTCGTCTTCACTTTGTTACATTTAATTTTCCCTGGGAGTGAATGTAAACACACCAATAGATTATTTATCTCGGTACTGTTTCGGTCATTTTTGTCGTCGGGTAAAACGGGGAAAAAGTTTATCTGAATTTCTCCAAAAGTGCACCGATTCTGGAACTGAAACTACCCACCTACCTGATTATAATATTCTAGTTTTTTAAATATGTAAAAATCTCTGCGGGCCTGCCTCTACTTTTTATAGGGGTAATTCGCCAAAAAAGCTCAAAATCAGATATTGCATAATTTAGTAATGTTTACATCTAATGTTGTCAACAACAAAAGTTTCAGACAAATGAAACGTGCGAAGCTTTGAAAGAACGTTATCTTATAAGCAATATCCCGAAGAGAAATCTCGCCTCTGGTTGTCATTTTTTTAAAAAATTGATCAACCTTCATGGAGACCACTCGACGTAACTACAAACACATACCTCAAATTGTGTGCATATTATCCAGATTCCGAGTACTGCACCTTCTTCATGGGAATTTGAGCCATCCAAAATCCTCTGAAGATACACTGTTATACTTGTATGTTATTTGAAACATGTTGAAGTCGGAGATCTACACGAAACTATCCTCACATCGGTCAGTTGTCATAAACATGTACTTTATCACGATGGCGTGACGCTGTATTTCTCCGTGAAGTTTCCGCCGGTCGCTCCAAAGAAGACGAGAAATGGATATTTTTCATATATGTCAGCAGATTTCCGCTTTCTGAAGTAAAAACAACAAAAAAAAAAAAAAAAAAAAAAAGGGAGGAAAACCATGATTGAACGCTCGTAAACACTGAGAATTTGAGAGTATAAATCGTAACCTTGTCAGCGGCAGTACTACATGTAAAAACCCAGTTGCAACGATAGCAATTTGGACGACATAGGCATCTCCTTACAAGGGGAAGATTCGGGCAGTTATCATTTCCTCGTGACCGGAACGAAAATATTTCGAATCATCTGAAAACCGTCAAAAAACTGTTGGAAAATTTTCATAAGGTATGATGAGGAGAGACTTATCACCGCCGCAGTGCTATCGAGTCAATCAATGTTTCCTTCCATGTCTTGGTAAAGAAAAAATCATAACTAACTAATTGACTAAATTGGATCGTCGTTGAAAATGCGTGCGTTAAAGAAATGGAGAGATATAAACCTATTTTGTGAAAATGAAAAATTTATTTGATGACTTCCTAATTTTACGCTTTTACACATGCAAAAAAACTGGCATTTTGAACCTTTGTTAAATTATCATACAACCATTCTTTATTTCGGTGCTGATAAGAACTTCCTGGGTTATGATATTCATTCTCCATAATTTCCAGCTACTGTTTAACAAATAGAGAAGCCTTGACTGTGCTACGAGGACATTAGGTACCAAGTACTATTTAGGAGTTTTCTTGGGAAAGAAAATCTATAACTCTACTCCATTGTACAATCATGAAACTCGTTATAAACGAATGTTTCTGAATGTTATTGCTGTTTTGTCGAATTTGGCTGCGAAAAATTAGTTTTTAAAATTTTTTTTTGAGTAAATCTCGTTTCTTACAGACACGGTTTTGAAGAAAAATCACTTTCATCTAGACTTGCATCTGTCTCTAAAAAGGCCTTTTTAAAGAATTTTATACATTTTCTTAAATAGGGAATGACTTCTATGTTGGAAACTAATTTGAAATTTGCAAAAATTAACATTTACGCTTGTGACTTCGCCAGATCATATGATTGTGTGAAAGACCCATCACGATTGTTAGATTGGTTAAAAATAATGCAGCCGTTGAGCGTAGAACTGACAGATGTTAACCGTCGCTCGTAAACAAAGTTAACTGTAAAAATTCAATGTTTTAGACATGGTGGAAAGAAATTAAATGGTAGCCAAAACAAAGCCAAAATTTTAACCGTTAGTTATAAAAGCCATCACCCCACTAAGACTATAACTAGTAAACAAAGATATACGTTAACGCGGAAATTATAAAAAAAAAACTTACCCGAAAAACAGTTGTGCGCGAGTAATAACATGGAGATCAAATGGATATTAGAAGACACGATCGATGATTTACGCGAGAAACTGTGGTGGTCATCGTTAAGAGGCATATAAGATTGGAGTCAATTTTCAGTTCTTATTCTTACAGCATTTGCACCCAACCGTGCGACGAACTATTTTATATTCTGCTGAACGTGCTTCGGCTGACTTGTTATAAATGTAAACAATAATATCTTAAACGCCTTTGAATATATGAAAATCATTATTGTGGAGTTACAGTGAGGGGAAACTATTCCTCGTGTTACCACATGCACCTAAAGTAAAGATGGAACCAGGCACAAATTAAATTTAACCAGCTTCTTCTCTATCTTTTGATGTAATCGACACCAACTTGATTTGCTCAACCACATTGAACGTTCAACGTCCATGCTACCGCACAGAAAATATTGATGCTTTTGCAAGGAAAAAAGCTCTGAACAAGCGGCAGCTTTAATTTTCGCATGAACCTACTCGCTTTGTTTGTTAACCAGCATCGCTATGTTCGAAGATAAACAAGAAATTGGATGCTTTTAAAGACTGTTTAGGTATTTGAATATTGAGAGGTGATTTTTTTAAGCTTCCGCAGACTGCACAGTGCAATCAATAAACGTGGTATTCTAAATAGGTTTTAATCTGAGGCACATTAGGGGAAGTTGAAAAATTCCTTACAAGAGGGTCTCAATAAGGCTAACCATTAAACGAAAAACGGCAAAAAAAAAGTAGCAGTTACACGAAAATACCGACAAATTTTAACTTTAAGTGATAGAAATAAAAAAAAATGATAAAAATAAATAACCGTATACATCTTTTAATCGTAACGGAACACGATTAACTGATAGCCGTAAAATAACATAAATGAGAAAGATCGAATGAGGACAATTAGAATTATGATAAAATATCATAGCTTATTTTAAGAAAATACTAAGAGAATAAGAAAGGATTGAACAAATTGAAACAAGGACGAGAATTATGATGAAAAATAACATTCAGCAGACACTGAAACGAAGTTCGGTTCGAAACAAGTGCCTCATGAAAGTGCGTGGAAATGCGACATATTTTCCCAACACACGCTGCTATGAAGACTTGCAGGTAAAATTTGTGTACAATGTGACTGATGTTAGCTTACAGAAAATAATTGAAATTTATTTTATATTCAAATGCTATAAGTGACTGTATGAAGATAACAAGTGGGTGTTATGTACGAGAACTCTAATCGCTTAGAGATGTAATCGTTTTGAAATAAATTGAGACAGCATGGATATCATAAATCTTCGTCATGACGTTTTGGGAAAAACTGTATATGGAAAAACTTTTGCGTGTTTTTGTTTTTCGTTTCTACTTGTAGAAAGGCCCGCCTCATCCAGGGCGGAAGGGATCAAGGAGTAGTCATGGAACAAGGAAAAAATGTAAGAAAAATTTGAAAGAAACAAAGGAGATGATAAAACATTTACCCGGACAACAGTTAGCTGCAGTGAAAAAAGAAGGCAAGAGAAAGAAAATGAGATGGCGCTTGAAATCAGCAGACATGATGAATGGCTGAGGCACTTGGCGAAGTTTAGTTTTGCTCGCGCTTTAAGTTTCCCATTTAAGTCGCTCTCAAGTTGTATGTACTGCAGCGACTCGAATTTGTTTTCTCTTAACAACGAAACGTTGCGCAATCTTGTGGTACAACAGACTTCCAGCTGCCAGCTGTCTGACAGAACTTGGGGTTCATTGGTTCTTGATTAGGTTCTAGCCAATTGTAGTGGCCTGTTTAAGAGATGGTTTCTCCTTTTTCGTAATTTAATCATAGAGCTACTGAAAAGGAAAACCGAACAGAACCTTGGCGATATGGGTTTCTAAATAAATTGCAGATTCAGATGCGTTCTAATGCCTTTCCGTGAAGTTTGGAACAATTCTCAAAGAATGTATTTTGTCGCTTGAAAGGAATCGTCATCCCTTTGTTCATGTTTTTCAAACTTGCACTGCAGCAATCTGCACCCATAACGAACATGCTTGCCTACGTTCGTGTCTTCTCCTTCCTTTTTAGCCAGAGGGTGTGTTTTTTTGTGTGTGTGTGCGTGTGTGTGTGTGTGTGTGTGTAGGTGCAACAATACACATTTACGAGGACACACACACCAGACGCACTCCAAAAAAATGGGGTCTGTTTTAATATATAACTACATTTTTGGGTAGTCCTCTTAAATAGTTAGTTATTTGAAAATAGACTGTCATAATGAGGACCCTTAAATCAGGATCTCAATGGATGGGGTAGGGGAGGGGGGGGATGCTTTAACACCTGACATTTAATTTTTTCCGATTTTGACGGCTGACAATTCCATTTTCGGAGCAGGCGTACTTACAGGACCTCTAACAATAATTCATGATGAATTTCGAACAAAAGTTTACTTCTGACTGTTACACGTGTAAACCACATAAGCAGAATCCTCAAGCCATTTTTGTCAAGTCGACTTTCTGGAAGCTGCTACATTTGGCGATTAATGTTACCATATTCGAGAGCGCCCTTATATCAAGGCAGTTCGTTGACATTTCACCCAACATAGGTGCCTCATCTGAGCCGTTGTCACTCATCCTGATTTCACGGCCAAAACTACGAACCCGACTCCATTTACTTCCCTTTTCCAGTTAATTCCATACCAGCTTGTCCAAAAACTACTTCATTGCTGACTTTGTCATTCCATCCGATATTCATTATGGCGGGTAGGTGAAATTGTAGTATGGCGCGTAGTGTCCTAAATTGATGATGGTATAGGTCTCAAACGCTTTTTTTAACGCTTTGGTAAGGAGCGGTGAGGTAAATTAAAAGATAAGAGTTTCTGAGGCTTATTCGAGCATGGACGCTTATTAGAGGAATATAGTGCTTGTGTCGCCAACAACCATACCCGTCTCCAAAGATTACCACAGAAAACAGATGTAGTGTAGGCAGTCATTAAGAACACACTATATTTCTGATTATCATTTTAGCTTTTACCCTAAATCTTTGATATCTTGATAGTGTGAAGAACACCCTGTTACTTCCCGAACTCCTTGGGCCGCATAAGGAGCCTCACGCTCTTAGCAACCGAAAAAAAACCTTGAGTATTCAGCAGAGAATCCGTGCTTTTACTCCGCATTCTCTGTTGGATACCTAGTAGCTTGCTTGGGTGAAACCTTTGATCGTATTTTACTTATAATTTGATGGAGGCTTCAACTTTTACGCAATCATGTCATCATCCTATGGCGTGAAAAGGTAATTAATGGAGCGGTATCTGAAAAAAGTGTACATGGTCGGCGCTTAAAAATAGTGATGGGTCAAAGCGATCGCGCGGAGCGAGTTGTGGCTAATGATACAGTCACGTAGATGAAACATTTCTTAGTCAGTACCTGCGTATTTAGTCGATTCTATTAATACTACTACATTGAACTGGCGGTCTGAGTATTTTGTTTTCTAGTCGATTTTACCCGATTTGCTGCTCCACTTGTTGTGTTACTGCTTCACGCTTTTGCAGAAAGATTGAACCGCTTTAGAAGAAAACGGAGAAGGAAAATTTTCAAGTGGTCAATGCTTTTAGTGGTCATCATAATGAGCTAATGCACTATTGAGAGAACCACATGGCAGCTCCCTAGACCAGGTGCTTGGTTTCAGCTTGTATTGAACGAGCTTTCAGACCAAGAAAACTTTCGCTTGTCCAGGACAACATTTCAATTTCTTATTGAAGAACTTGATCCAAAACTGAGATCGCAGGATACAAAGATGAGAAAAGCTGTTGAAGTAGAAAAGAAAGTGGGTCTGTTCTTGTACTTCATTGCTTCAACCGCAAGTTACAGAACACTTTCTAACCTGTTTGGTTTATCCAGGGGCTTTGTTTGCATTTGTATCCGCAAGGTAGCCGCTACAGTGCTGAGAAATCTTAAGCCAAAGTATCTGTCAATTGCTAAAGGAGATGAACTCGCTCGTATGATAGCTAATTATAAGGAGAAATGGGGGTTTTCCATGTGTGCTGGAGCAATCGATGGCACACATATACCAGTTTCAACATCACAGCAAAATCATGCAAGCTACAACAACAGGAAATCGCACCACAGTATTGTAATGCAAGCTCTTGCAGACAGTAATTACCTATTGCTATTTTTGTAGGGTGGCTAGGAAGTGTGCATGACGCAAGGGTCTTTTCTAACTCACAACTGTACGCTCTGGGGTGTAGTGAGAGGTTATTTCCACCTGATGTAAAAGAAGAAATTTTGGGGAAGGAAATTAATCCTGTTATCTTGGCAGATCCAGCCCATGTTAAATTGGCTACTTAAAGGTTACCCCGAGAATGTTGACAAAATTAAAGAGCTGTATTCACCTCTTCATCTCAGCTTCTGAGGATTCACGGAGACTCACACACAGTGTTTCAAATGACTTCTCCTTTTTTGTTTTCTTGGAACTTTTTTGTGTGGCACCTGTGATGCACTTAGATCTCTTCCTTTCAGAAATACTATCATCAGTGTCTGAGACTACATCACTTTCTTTCTCAGAATTCAGTTCTAAGCCATTTGCTGAGGTTTCTGTTCCTAACAATAAAGATAATTATAACAGTAAATAACAGTAAATGAGTATGTTGCAGTTAATTTGTGTTTCCAGTCAAGTTTTATTTTTTCCTTGTTTAAAACTCATTATCATACATCGCATACCTAAAAACAACGGAAAAATGAAATTTAACTGAAACAAAAAAAGTAACTCCAACATGTACATGCACCACACAGTCTGAAAACCTCTAGTTAACTCTCCTTCCCATCCTCATTATTTTTCGTCAATTGGCAGGTTATCTAGTAAGGAACACGGATTATATTCAGTTGGTGTATGATTTGAAAACTAACAGAGATAAAATAAAATTCGTAAAACTTGTTCTGATTGATAATCTAAAAACACAACAGCAACCTTCCTTTGTCAGGCAGTGCTTCAAAGCCCATCTGACTGGGGATGGCGCCAGCTCAATGACTCATGGTCACCATTCTGAACAGCTCTACCCCAAGCAAAGGAATCTTGTCACGAACTCATTCGATGCGGATACAGAGCCTCATGTAGAGGACGATGCGAGTGCTTAAAGGCTAATTTGGAAGTTCTAACAGCTAGAAATATTTACAACGGTGTCACTAACAGGCAAAGTAGATTGACTAAGAATTAGCCATTACATCAATCGTTTGTCAAATTTTTTGGTTAGATGGGAGAACATTTTAGGATTTCACCTAAAGCGCCGTTCAGCGAAGTGTAGCAGAACAATTTACCACAGGCATCCCAAATCTGTTAACCAAAGCTTATTTATAATAGTTCGTTAATTTACTAAAGTAACAGTGAAAGTGAAACTGTAGCGGCAAGTTCTAACAGCTAGAAATATTTACAACGGTGTCACTAACAAGCAAAGTAGATTGACTAAGAATTAGCCATTACATCAATCGTTTGTCACATTTTTTGGTTAGATGGGAGAACATTTTAGGATTTCACCTAAAGTGCCCTTCAGCGAAGTGTAGCAGAACAATTTACCACAGGCATCCTAAATCTGTTAACCAAAGCTTATTTATAATAGTTCGTTAATTTACTAAAGTAACAGAAGAGAAAGTGTTGTGGCAAAGTTTCATGCTTTTATCATTAATTTGAACAATTCAGTGTTTTTTTTTGGTCGATAACAGCTGGACTACACGAGGAGGCACAAGCATTATGTTTTCTCTATCATTATTTCATTTTATTTATTTATTTATTTTTTGCTACCCACGGTATTCCTTAGTTGCTGCCAAAATAAATTCGGTTACCAACACAGAGTAAAAGCTATAGAATGGTTAAGATCATCCAGAAACCAGCGTTTGCTTTAGGACTGCCCACCCTGCACATGATTTCCTCACCAGGTTTTTTTTTAACTTATGCCTTGCTGAGGAAAATTCGCCTTAAAAGACAAAACGGGAAAATTTATCATTTAATAGATTCTCGAGTTTCCTGTAGACATATTTAAAATTCGCAATCAAATTCACAATATCTCTCACTATGAGCGTCATCTGGTTTTTGGGTTTTGCTTGAACAAAGATGTGTAGAGTAATACTTTTTTTTGTATTTCACCTGTGCGCCTCTGTGGCAAACACTTTTGATTACGATTTTTCACACGGTCATGCTACTAGAATTGCTTTTTGGCCGAAAACGTTTCGATGGATCTGATACCCATAGGGTTCAACCAGAAATTGTACTTGCCGTGGCATATTTCCAACATCTTGGGGCTTTCAGTTATAGGACCAATTACAGCGAAAAAATCAGACGATACTTTAAAGATTTAAATTAGATTTAAATTAGATTTAAATTAGATTTAAATTAGATTTAAATTAGATTTAAATTAGATTTAAATTAGATTTAAATTAGATTTAAATTAGATTTTCGACACTCTGCAACAACAATAAAGTTTAATGAACTGTAAATTAACTACTATGTTCTAACTATTTTTAAGGAAATCACGCTAAAAAATGGGCACTACATGTACTAAAACATCAATCTGTAACCAATAGAATCCGAGTCTATTTTAAGGTTTTCCACTCTTTTACTATCTACAAAAGTACACAAGATCAATCAGTTCAGTATCCAAAGACGTGGATTTTAACTGTTCCATGTTCCAAGAGCAAGACATTGTCACCGGTAGAAAATTTTGAGCTCGATGATTACTTAATGCCAATGAATATTCGAATCGATTTAGTCATTTCTAGTCTAAAACAATGTAGTTTTTAGGAAAACAAGAACGATGGCTTTCGAGGGATCACTGCTGTTTCTGTTGCATAAAAGCTAAGTGGCAATTAATCACAATTCAATCTTTTTTTCGGAAATATTTTAAAACTTTGTTTGATATAGCTGAGCTCGTTAATATTTCATTAGAAAACGACTTAAATATCCTTGTATATTGAAGTGTACGAGATTTGGGGATGTCTACATATTTCTTTAATAGTTTAAATGTGTAGTTACTGTATATTTAGGGCTTTTTCACGACCGTTTGCCTGGACTGTTTTGTCGGAATAAAATGTCTCCAAGGTGAAACAAGCGTGGTTTACGGACTTAAAACAACAGTGTAGTTTTATTGCACCAATATGTACCCCATGGCTTTGATACTCTTGCGTCCATTATCTGAATTACTTTTGATTGCCTCGTTTCCACAAGATTTTGCGTCATTAGGGTGACTTCCTGTACCAAATCCAATCAAAGAGTTGCACGAGTCGCAGTCATTCTGCCCATTGCTAATAATGCCAATTCTGACTTTAGAACGATCACTTTGACCACTAAAGGCATTGAATCCTCCTTTGTTGCAGTTGTGCTGTAAAGAGGCGTCGCTGCCAATCAACTTTTTCCACTCGTCACGACCCAGCGACGTGTATCGGTATTGGCCATCAGCAATTATTGAGTGCAGAGAGTCAGCCAGCTTGTTGATAACAATAAATCTGAGCTGTTGGTTGATCTTCATTCCAAGGCAGATCTTGGAGAAGGATGTGTTCCAATAGGTGGGTAGCTTTGATTCTTGTTCGTCAAATCCAGTCTCTCCACCGAGAAGATTGAATTCATCGTAATTACTCCAATAATCTGCATGATAACGGAAGGTGGTCTGAAATAGAGAAGGAATTAATTTTTTAATTTTTTTTCTCCGAATTGATGGGTTTTCTGCTGTCGACCTCCTGTGGTGTATCTGCTTTTAACCGAATTATTATCTCGAAGGTTAATATTTCTTATCTAGCTGTTACATGATACCAGAGACAAATATTTAAAGATAGTTAAGCCATTTTTTTTCAGTCACTACACACAACAAGTCTTAAAATTTACGTTGAACAACGTCTGTTCTTCGTGCATTACCTTCTCGATGAAAAACAAAAGGCCTACATGTGGACAGGCACGTTTTTTAACTTGAAAAGTTTTTAAAGAGAGCGAGTTTATGCACCAGATGAATTATTTAATGAAAGTGCGCACCTCTCTGCCGTCAATTTTCATGACTGGCGTCCATCCTCCATCTCCACACCCAAAATTTCCCATGTGACAAAAAACGGACAATGGTTGGGAGTCAACAAGAAGGGTAACCACACCACTCACATTGGATCTTTTGAATCAAAAGGAAAAAAACAAATACAACTAATAATGAAGACAACGATGGTGAAATAAAACTTGAGCTTATAAAAGTAATAGCTACAATGGTGGGAATGAAAATGACAATGGGAAAGTTATTGAGCGACAATAATAATGATTCGACAAATAAGCAAACGAAAAGTTGATCCTTCAGACGTCAATATCTGTGGAATATAAACAACAGCCTTTATAACAACAATGCTTGGTTATTTGTCTTGGAATCAAATAGATGTCCCACGGCAAATGTTATTTTTCTCTTCTTCTCTGAGGACAGTAATGCACCCCTATTAAATGAACCAGGTTTAAAGGACGACTCTCTTTGTATATGGAATGTGGTTTGAAAATTGGGCTGTATTCGGTGACGTGATGGGCTTAAACGAATTGCGGGCAAGCGGAATATTTGATGTACCATGAAAATAATATCGAATATTAATTCTACTTACATGTCATGAATTTCTTTACACGAGGAACCTCCTGGAACGAATTTAAAAATACCTTTGATTAGAAGAAATTGTAAATTTGTTTTAGCTTCATCTTAATCCATCATTGGGAAACTACATTGACTGCAATCTAACTGATTGACAAAATAATTTTATCATGTTCCAAGCTCTGCTTTGTAACTGAAAAGAGTTCTCAGTTTCATTCACTTTGTTTGGCAGCATGCATGTTTTCTTCAAATACATCATTGATAAGAAACGGCGTCAGGGGAGGATCCATTGTTGTTATCTTAATAAAACAGTAAACATTTTTCCAGTTTTTTAAACTTTCTACTTTATTTGAAGGCTTACCAAGTTTATTACCAGTTGTGTCTGAAAAATAATTAATTATTTCGAAAAAGATCAAAAACTCATGATTGGGCATTTAGTTTCCACACTAATAATATTAACGGTTTAAGCTGCAACAGATGCCAGCTCGTATTTTGTGATTTTACTCGAAGAGTACGTTCAAACGATTAAGAATCATCGACGGATGTGTTTCAAAGGTACTTACCAACTGAAAAAAAAGGAGATGAAGAAAAAAAATAAGCAATTTGTGGATGAGGTTGAGTACGATATCTTGAATTAGCAAAAGCGCGATCTGAGTTGTCTTCTGAAGCCAAAGGACGAGGGAGATCACGCAGACACATACAAAAGGTTTAATATATCGTGATTTCACGCGAAAACCGAATTCAATAATTTTCTTATTACGAAGATTTTTCAAAAATCTGAGTTGCAAACGTTTTAAAACACTACACAGACGTCTTTCTACTTAGAAACTAAGAAGATTTTGAGCTCGAAATGATAACTGCAATATCCGTTACGGATATTGGGTTATTGTGTCAAGTGCACACGCTATAAAATATTTATTGGTCACTATTAACCCATCTGATATTTTATAATAAGTCTAATATATAATAATAGTGGTTATCGTATACCTTTGGTAGCCTTAAATAGTATAATAATGGTGACAAGATTCTTAAATTTGCGCTGCAATGTTTGCTTTGTAGCACCTGTTTATCTTCAAATAGTTTATAAAGGTCTCAATGCCTTGTGGAATGGCAGTGCTACCGTTAATGTAGCAAAATTCTTACTTATACTTTTCACTAGCTGATTTTCCTCTATATTTCGACCCCAACGTTTACCTTTACATTCTCGTCCATTTCCAGTAAGTCCATGTTTACATGTACAATTGTATGCCCCATTGGTGTTATTGCAAAATGCATGAGGACTGCAGGTGTGTAACATTTCAAGACACTCGTTGATATCTTCAAATTAAATGAGAAAAATGATTGAAAAAATAGACAGACGAATAAATGAACAAAGAATAGCAGCAGATATTGATGTCTGAACAAAAAAAAAAATTAACAAATGAATGAAAACAAAATTATCGTACCCAAAAAAAACAAAAACAAAAAAAAAAAGCATAGAAGCACTAACAACTGTGAAAACCACAATAAATGCGTAGGCCTCCTTCACATACTGTTCCTGGTTTGGTAAACGTAGTTTTAGTTTTCTCATGATTACTACACAATTTTTTCAAAATGAATCGATCAACAGCCGCCTTGAAGGTCATAAGCAGTATTGATGAGCTGCGAAACATTCATATCTTCCTTGTGTAAAATTGCAAAAGTGCAAATGTAAGCTTTATCTTTTCATTGCATAATTGCTAATAAATCCAACGCTCACCTTTACATTCTCGTCCATTTCCCGTGAATCCATTTTTGCATGTGCAATTGTATGAACCTTTGGTATTGTTGCAAAACGCATCAGGGCTGCATTTGTGTATCCCACGAACACATTCGTTGATGTCTGAACAAAAAAAAAATTAACAAATAAATGAAAACAAAATTATCGTACCAAAAGAAAGCCAAAAAAAAAAGTATAGAAGCACCAACAACTGTGAAAACCACAATAAATGCGTAGGCCTCCTTCACATACTGTTCCTGGTATGGTTTGGTAAACGTAGTTTTAGTTTTCTCATGATTACTACACAATTTTTTCAAAATGAATCGATCAACAGCCGCCTTGAAGGTCATAAGCAGTACTGATGAGCTGCGAAACATTCATATCTTCCTTTTATTTCAATGCGGAAAGTTCCGCAGGTGGCTTATTACCTTATTGCTTGTGGTTAATGCACTTTATCACTGTTTCTTTCCACTTTCAGTGCAGCTCAGAAGATACGAGAAGATGAATAAGGAGAAGGGAGATGACCAGAAGAAATGACCAAAAACGAAAATTTCGTTATTGAGTTGTGTTGGTGAAGAAACCGTGACAAAGGCTTGCTGTCCTTCGGTTTTTATTGACTAGTAAGAACGGTTTAAGCTACATGGGGGAAGGAAAAGCTCTTTTATTCTATGAGACCCAATTAACAAGCAGCGCGCTAAAGAATTTCCTCGTTGTTGTTAACCTGAAGGTCTCAAGATATCAACATAAAAGTTGTGTTTACCTCTTTGGCAAATCGGACCCTCAAATCCAGCGGTACACAGACACCGATAACCTTTCTTAGTAAATCCGCTTTGACAAGTGGCATTGTTTTTACAAGGATTTTGGACACAATTGCTCTGACAGAAGAAACAGACCGTTGTCATTTTCATTATCATTATCATCATTATAATCATTTTCATCCTCTACTAGACCACTACGGTTATCAATATCGTTATCGTTATCCTTGTTATCAGAGTTGTCCTTCTATTTCTAAATTTTTCCAATAACTTTAAATGCTTTGTCTTTGAGGAGATTTTGGTGAAGACACAATATTACCGCTAATGTCTTGAAAGAGTAAAAACAACTCAAGTTCGCAATTAAAGGTGAACACGAGACTCAGAGTTCTTAAAAGAAAAACAAAATAAACCAATCTGACTCTTAAATTGAAAGTTACATTTACCTCAGCTGCGTGATAAAAATACATCTCTTGGTCTATCAACTTTTCATCGTGTCCTTCATGAGTAGCATTGTTCAGTTCACATTGACAGTTTCCATTTCCATCTCCCCGTGTATAAAGATTAATGCTGACACAGTCGGGCTCCATATAACATAAGTTTTCGCAGAACCCGGAAACTGTAATTTCCACGGTGCGAATTGTGTGGTTTATGAGGCGTTTCCCGTCAAATGCTTTCTCAGGCCCAAACTCCAAATTGCGACACTGGTCTGCGATGCAGACGTCTTTGAAATGGCAATTATAATACATTATACGTAACGTTATTGCTTATGATGATATGTTTAGAATTTCGGAAAACTTGGTAGGTGACATTTCATCATCAATTGTGTTAGACTTGAATATTTTTCTTCGTCTATTTTATTTCTACAAGAAAAGGGATATACAAACCCTCGACAGTGTCTCAGGTGCTATTATGAGAGTATGTAAACACGGCAAAAATTCCCTATTATTAAATTGAAAATGATTTTATTTCTGTTTCGCCTGTTTCAAGGGCTGTTTTAAAGGCTTCGGAAAGACGGCAATCTCTGAACAGTTTGGGTCAGTCGAGGAAGACGATTAAGGGAGTTCAAATTCCTCGGCAGAAGTTTTGTTATCGATTTTGTAATCGTCTGTGTTTCGCTTTGTAGAATTCTTACTTAATTAATGCACTTACGTACACGAAAATGTCATACTTCTTCAAAGTACTATCTCTGCGTTGATAACTGAATATTTTAACGACAATTCTTCAGTTAATATAGGTGGAAAAAGCTAATTTTCTGACTTAATGACAAATTTTCATAATTGAATAAAACGTTTCCCCCCCAAAAAAACGAATACTCGAACCAAAGGTAAACATGGATTGGATATAAGTCATACTGAAACTAACCTTGTGATCTGACAGCCCTTTGTATCATAAAGCAGAGCTCCAATAAGAAAAGGGAGACAAAAACAGAATACATGATACAGATAACGATTAGAAAACTTCTAACCCCTTAAACATGTGCTTAAGAAACGAATTCTTTACTTAATATTACTCATCATGACAGGGGAAGTTTGAAACAATGAAAATTAGGCTGACGCCGGTTAAACCAATGGCAGTCAAATTATTTCGTATGTCAGCTGTTCTGCCTTAGTTTCTACCAGTTCAAATGTTTGTTTAGAATGCTGTTCGGTTCAGCAATAATTTGCCTGTCAATTGCCATAATTAAGTTTTGTCACATCATTCTGTAGCCTGACATGCTATCATGAATAATTGATAAATAACAGTTGAAATTATGCAGCCGTGTAACACGTCAGCAAATTCACCTCCACGACACCTTTCATATCCATACTGTCGTCCCATTTTAGGAATGATATGCGCACTGATATTTAAACCGTTTGTGCTGAATTAGGGTAAATTGGACCTGAAAGAATTGTTTTAGGTCACGCAATGTTCCTACAACTTTATATTCATAGCATAATCGAGCAGACGTTTAGACCGGTAAAGCTCGCATAAGTTCTGTGTCATAATGTCATTAACTAAATTGGTTCGTCGTTGATGTAAGCCTAGTTTGTGAAAATGAAGAATTCATTAGATGGTTTCCTGGGTTATCGCTTTTACACAACAGCTGGCATTGTGAAACTTTGCCAAATTATCATGCAACCACAGTTTATTTTGGTGGTGGTAAGAACTTCCTGTTTGTCATGATATTCGTGATTGATAAGTTTTGATTATCATGGAACCTTGTTACAAGCTAAGTCAACCAATTCACCTCCTCGACACCTTACCTATCCATATTTCTGTGAATATTTCTGTCTTCCCCTTTTTTTCGCTGAAAGATATGTACAACAGCTGGGATTATGATGCTTTGTTAAATCAACATAACAAAGTTTATTTTGGTTCTCTGGTAAGAACTTCCTGTGAATCATGTTCCTTCTCCATGATTTACTGCTCCCGTTTAGAAATAAAGGCTTCATATTAGAGGCAATAAATCAGTAGAAATTGATTTTCACAACTTCAAATTAGCTTTGTTATCTACACAAGTTTCAAACTTTTCACTTGATGTACACTGACACTCGGCATGACTTCCTATCCTCTTTCATTGCAGACGTTATCGAAAACTGGAATGATGTTGTAGTAAAAGTTGCTGACTTTATTTTTTGTTATTGTTATCGATATTTTTATCATTATTGTTTGTTATCATTTTTAGTCTCAAGAGGGAGAAGTCCTCCTTCGTAAGCACTTCGCTGTTTTTTTTTTATCCATTTAATAATCAAAACAAGCACCTCTGTCTGACTCTACAAGCAAAAGTTCACTTATCGATATGAAGCTCTAACGAACGAATTTGATGAAGTAAGTCCATTATATTCCGATTTTGTAACGAGTAGGAAAATAAAAAAGAAATAAAAAGGTGGGTTTTCAATTATCATAGAGTTCCATAGGAAATCAAAATGTGTTATTGTTTATTGGAAGTTATTTCAGCATCGTGGTGGCGCACCCGTTAAAAATAACCGTACAAAAATATTGAACGATTATTTCTCCGCAAATGAAATCTTTGAGGAGAATCACTTGATTTTTTTTTTCTATTAGTGGAAGTCTTTTAGCATACCTTCAATGTATTTACATTACTTCGTGTTTTCCCTCGAAAATATTAATGTTGTCAAAACAATATGCTGTGTTTCTTGATTTGTTTTGATCACTTTTATTATTAATGAGGTTTTTTATATTGATAGAACAACAAACCTGTCTCCTTGAAGCTGTAATGTTGCTATGGTAGCCTTAATTGTTAAACAAAACAAACCCAGTTTGATTACAGTTCTTTGGGCATTTTTGAACATCGATTTCAAGGAGACAAACAGAAAAGTGTAGAAGCTATAGTCCATCAAAAAGAATAGGTTTTTCCAAATAACGAAACCATTTGAACCTTAACAAACTTTTGTTCCAGACTCATTTGACCCAAGCTTCTCGCGACCATCGATCCACAGTAAAAGGACGATTTTTTTAAGTTCAGGGTAAAATTGATGTAGATAGTCTTTGAAATTCTGGTGCAAATCCTAGTTGCCACCCTAGTCCCCAACTTTATTAATATTATTACCTGCTATGAAGAAAATCAAGAAGTGTATCAACATCGCACTCAAAGACGTCAGCTGCACTAAGCCTCTCCATGCTCTGTGAGTGAGATACTTTGTGGCTGCCACCGCTGTCCGACGATGGATAAAATTTTTATACGTAGCAGTCTTATATACCAGCCTCTTCTTGCGACAAAAGAAGAATATAAAATCAAAATCCACACCGTCAACTTAAAAAAAAAAGGGGCTAATGACTGATTCCAGTGCTGGCCAGAAACACTAAAGGGCAGCGAGCGATGGTGTGGAGGATTGGCTTTTCTATATATATGACGTGATACACTAAACTCTGAAGTTTTCGGCGGCTGTTGAGATATTCATTGGGCTACGCATTCAGCGGCTTTGGTGTTAGCAGTTCTCTCAGCTGAGAATGAAAATCGACAACTGGAAGATTTTTCACTGGCCAATTTTGGCCGTTTACCTGAAAGACTTCCCCTGTCGGTAAGGACAAAGTCAATAAATGAGAATTTTGTAAATTGAAAATGACGACCATTGTTGTTTGTGTTATCGTGATTCAACGCATTTTTCCATCTTAAGAGTTAGCGCCAACGCACTCTACAATTGTTATTCGAGAGTTGTCGATTCATTTATTTTCATTGTTTCATGAATTCGGCTTTTCTTCTCAGTAAAGGTCTATTGTGTTTATATGATAAACAAAATGATACATGGTTGCTTTTAGATATGGAATTTCTCTTCTTGTGTTCAACTCGACATCTCACTCGTGAGCTATCGAGTTAAACACTCTATTTATCGCTTATTGTCACGAAGTTACGGAGGTACCTTTCTTTATTCTTAACTGTCTTTAATCCTAAGCACGCTTCCTCCAACTTTCCTCTTAATTGCCTCGTACATAATGATTGTAAGTAGGAATCTTTGATGAGGGTGAGCGCACATTTGATAAGTTTATGTTGTGCGTCGTCCAATTTTTATTTTACCAAACAGCTTTCATGCAGTAGGTGTCTTCACAATGACATCTCTATGTTTTAAAAAAATGCAGATAGTTTCCGATGAAAGCAAGAAAATAAACATTGAGATCTACAGAATATTCTGAAATTGTTATCTAGCAGACAGCATGGGAAACGCTTTTGAATAATTCCTACGAAGAGCCTTCGAGTCACGCCACAGATGTTAGTTTGGCGGAGTTCTGCATGGAAATGTTCGATGACGGTAAGTGACAACGACAACACTATTTTAATTTTAATTTCGGAATAGAAGTACAGTTTACAGTTTGATAGAGCTATTGATATTTCCTCTCATGCGAGAGCGCAGAATTTCTCGTCTGTAAAAGCCGAAGTTGTCGCACACTGGAGCTTGTAATAATGTCAACCAACACTCAGCGTGCGACATTCAAATCTCCTACAATGAGCAAATATAATGATAAACAATCAAACGATAGACTACTAAATGTTTTGTGCCGTACAAAAGCCGTATTTGCTGATTTTAGCAAATCTCCAAAGTAATAAACGACAGAAGAAAGAATCGCTGTGATTTTCCAATCAACATTTCGCCTACATGCATATCTCTAAACGTGAAATTTTCCATTCCTACAAAAAAGTCTCCAAAGTTTTTCTCATTTCTTCGATTTCTTGATCAATCATCTTGTATAACGAGCTACAAAATGCGGTTTCTTTGGTCAAGTGACCGCCTAGAGCCAGAATTGCGTTACAGGTGCTGTTGAGAGAAGCTTGTCACAGTAGCAGATTTTAAAAGGCATAAAAGACAAAAATGCGATGGTACCCAAAGATTTTTTTGATGGTATTCAGAGACGAAACGATGGATTATAAAGGAGAATTCAAAATTGGTGTAATTGGCAAGGGGAGATATTTGACCTCAAAGTTGTCAAGTTGGATGAATCGCAAAGTCTTAAAACACCGTCATTTATTTTCCTCTGTTGATTGACAAGCCGTCGATCAAATTGGCTGATACTTGCGTAGGACATTAACTAAGGATGTAATAATATGTATGCAATATGTAAATGATGAAATATGAATGGTGAACACCAAGAAAAACCGGGGGGGGTGGTCTATCTCCTCCCGGAGATAGACAGTGTCGTAACGAGACACTAACTAACTAACGGGACACGAGACGTAGTGTTCTAGCCGCTTCCTAAGTGCTTTACAACAGAACAGAGCACAGTCAATGCTTCTCTATTTGTTTTATAGTAAAGAATCCGTTAAATTCCCCATGCATTACAATCAATTTTTAAAACGAAGTTTATTTCAAAAGCGAACAGCATTGTCGTCAGCAGCATGCTCTCCACTCCCATAAGGCACGCTACAATAAGCCAATCAGAATCATTTTTAGAATGGTTCAAACAATCTGACAACTAAAGCTGTCAAAAGTATCAAACTATCAAGTTCACAAACCATCAAAATTCACAATCTGCAATAGTTCACAAACTGAAATAGTTCAGCAGGCCGAATTTAACACATTTTTCCAAAGTGTTTCAGTCTTAATACAGAATATGCAAGTGAAGTGTTCAGTGAAATCCGGCCGAATTCTGGCTCATAAAAACATGCTAGTTTTTTCACATGACAAACAAAATGCTCGAGGCATGTGTGATGTGAATGAACGACAGTCGAATCCACAGGAACATGAAGATTGGTCGGTATGACAGCGCCGTAAAACTCGTCCGCTGTGACTGATGTGGCCTTCCACTTAACGAATCGGAAAGGATATCACAGGAAGCTCTAAGCTGTTCACTAGGAGGGCGGCCGACGAACCGGGTGTGGGTGTGTGTGAACGTAACTCGAGTTGGAAAATTCACTTTACAAGACCTCTTAGATTGCACATTTTAATGTTTAAAAAATGCTATGTGCCCTTTAATTAACATGGCCGCCTTCAAAGGAGCAGATGGAAAGCTATGGTGTGAATTGTTGTCTTCTGATAAGAACAGAGACTCCGCGAACCACAAAGAAAACACAAGGTCGCTTCATTTGTTTATTCAGGTAGACACTTATTTATGAAACACTAAAACAGCTTGTAGTTTCATGCAACTAATTAAAAAAATTCACTTGTTTTACCGATCAATTTTGTTTTCATTTAAGTCTCCTTGTTGTTCTTCGCCATGTCAAAACGGAGGAACCTGTATCTCGAGTTTCAAATACAATTCTTGCGACTGTCTCTGTGAACAAAGTTTCGCAGGAGAATATTGCAAGAAAGGTAATTCATATGTCAGAATCTTTCTTGCATATTCAAGGTAAAAGTACGGGCAACGTTGTTTGAAACAAGATTTAACTCCTTTGGACACATTCTAAAGGAAAAATCTAGACGCATATTCGATCGGTAGGGAGCGAGAAGAGGAAGGCTGGCATTTTAGCAGCAGAGAAATATCTCTACACTAGGAAGCACGTAAACCCGTCGATTTTTATATTGGGATTGAAGCGACTAATTACGTTAAATTAATCAAATCAGTCTTTTTGATAGATCTGATGTCAGCAAACTGATTTCCCTCCGTTTGGACTCCAAACCAGTCTCCGTCCTCTGCCACGTGGGAGATTTTGGGTGTGAAGATGAAGGGTAGACGCCGGTTATGAATATTGATGGCACTAAGGTACCTTTTATCACGTTCTGGTTTCTTTAATTTTTTTTTCGTGTCTGATTGGCTGAAAACAAGCCAAGCATTTTTCGTGTAGCACAAGTGCAAAGTTGTAACACAAGTGCAAATTACGAATAGCGCGCGAGAGCTGCCAAAATTTCGTCCGTCTTAAATTTCTTTGCTACACTTCTAATCTAAATTATTAACAAGTAACAACATGATTTTGAGTGCAATTTGGTATAAATAAACACCTAAAAATTTTCGAGGACCACAAATCGCACTCGTCCTACGGGCTCGTACAATTACGCTATCTTTGAAAACTTTAATCGTGCTTTTTAACACTTAATTGCAGTCTCAATCATGTTGTTACCTCTATATGCTGTACACAGAACTTGTTACTGAATACAGATAGCCCAGAGCTCGAAACGTTACTGGGTCTAGCGAAGACAAAATTAGAGAATAATATCTGTATTTTTCAGTCGGGTTTTTTTTATTCTGTTAGTTTAGAAAAATATGAAAGACTTGATTGGTTCGCAAGGCTCAAAGCAACGCAGTGGACGCTATGGAACGCTGTATCAGCGCCATCAGATGTTGGATGATTAAAGAAAAGCTTAAAGTAAAGGACAGTAAGACAGAATTTATACTAATCGGAACGAGACAACAGCTCGCTAAAGTTAACATCAAGGGGCTGGTCGGTGGTGACGCTACTATCAGTCCTGTGACTGCTGTTAAAACCTCGCATCGTGGTTTGATGAAAACATGAACATGGGCTGTCATATAAACAAGATGTGTAAGACCTTGCTATTTCACCTGTATAACACCAGACGCATCAGAAAGTATTTATCTAAAGACTCCACACAAACACTCGTTCATGCATTCATCGCCGCACGTATTGATTATTGCAATGGTTTGCCGTATGGTCTACCAGCGGCACATCTCAACAAGTTGCAACGTATTCAGAACAGTGCTTTCCCGTTTTTGTCATATAACTTTGTTTTCCTTACATTGGTTCAGAATTGAATTTAAATTACTTATTTTAGCGTTCAAGGCTATCCACGAGCTGGCACCTCAGACATTACGGATCTAATTAACGTTAAGCAACAATTCGGACGTATGATGTTACGATCTCAGTCTGAACTACAATTATTGCCACCTAGGACCATAACTAAGCAAACTTTAGGTGATAGATCATTTATGGCATCTGCTCCTAAACTTTGGAACAGATTGCAATCAAATGTAAGAGCAGTAAATGATCTTAATTGTTTTAAAACGCTTCTTAAAACACATTTCTTTAGACAGGAATTTTCATGTTTGCTTTTATAGTTCGTTTTTAGTTAGTCAAATTGTATATTCTTAGCCTTTTATAGTTCGTTTTCATATTTTATTCTGCTTAGTCTTATTGTGTAGCACATTAGATCATATCCACATTATTTTGCGCTTTATAAGTAACAAATTATTATTATTATTACTATTATTATTATTATTGCAGTTTAATCTTTCATTGCCTCCAGTGAGATGTAGACGCATAGCTCTGGACTTATTAGCTCATCTAAGGTCGGGTGGGGTACTTATCTGATAGCTACCTTGGACTTGCCGCTTAGACGTAACAATCTTCCGTGACTTAACTTGTCTCTCCACCACATCGCTCGTTTTACTTCGGTGTCCTCCTTTCTACGCTCTTTTCTCTCTATCACTTTATTTACCCTTTCGTCGTAAATCTCCCGCTGATTCTCGGAGTCTTACCGTCAGACTCTCTTTTAAAATGATGTTCTTTGAAATGAAAGCCACATACAATACAATTCGCTTTTTATCGTTTTTCACTTTTTTCACTTTAGTTCCCTCTCGGAAACATTTTGCTGATAACTTTTTTTTTTACGCCTAGCCTCTGTACGAGGTCAGCACACATATTCCACTTTAACAAATAGAAGGGTGACTTTTCTCCTGCGCTGAGTTTTTTTTCTGGCTAAAAAACCTGCACTGCTCTCTGAACTTATTACATGTCTCATCTTTTTCAGCCCACAGGCATTTTGCTTGTGGTAGCTTTGAAATCTCATTGGCTCCCCGCGACGTTTTCCTGTATTCCAGTTGGCTGTTGTAATTTCTTTTTTTTTTTTTTTGGTTTTTTGACATCAAGTGAAAAGCATTTCATTTCCTATTCTCAGAATCCATTGTCCTTTACAGGAATTAAACAATTAAAAAAATGGCTAATCAAACATTTATTAAACTTTTGACCCTAAGAGTGACAAGCATCTAATTTCTCTGAAAATTTCACCCCTCGATCAAAGATTAAGGTCACCCAAATCAAGTAATTGACCATTGACTAAAGCTCTGGATTGTTGAACCAATTCTCCTCCTCGGCTCCTTAGAAAACATGGAGAACAGTGTGGAGAATATACATAGTAATTTATAAGGAGGAAAGGGTTTACTTGCAATAGATTGGCATCCCACCCAATGGGAGTTAGATTCAGAGTACGGGAAAAATTACAAAAACATTTTAGCACAGAACAGCCTGAAAAATGTCTATCATCAATTGTAGCTGACAAAAATTAGAAGTAAACTTATTAAGTAAAATGCTCACAGGAAATACAAGCATGGAAATATGCATGGAAAACATTTAACACAAACTTTTTACAAGGAGAGAAATATTGGGTTTAGTTATTTTGACTTATTATATCTTACACATTTACATACACACATACACGCATACACACATGCACTTTATTGAGCATCCCTAAAAGGGGCTTTTCAGCATCAATATTAAAATAAAATAAAATAGATAAATGAATAAATTAATTACAGTATTAATTGATAAAAACTATGTAAAAGCTATTTACAAGAATAACTAAATGAATCAATTAATTACATCACTAATTGATAAAAAACTATGTAAAATCTATCTGCAAGGATAACTAAATGATAACTATATACAATGATTATCATCTAACCTAGATGTTTCCATATCTTGTCTGCCTGTAGTGAATAGTACCTCGACTTGAAAATTTGTCCGACAAGTAGCTAGGTGACACTCCTTGAAGACATTTATGCATCATAACTGCATCACTGACCACAAGTCTTTGTTTGACGTTTAGCCATCGAAGTTATCCTAGGCCTGCAGAGATATGATCATATTTGTGAAGCCCTAAGATAATCCTGGCTGCAAAATTTTGCCGGAACAAGCTGGAGCTTATGGATGTTTATCGCGGAAGTGCTGCTCCAAACTGAGGAGTAGTCAAAAAGCCTGCTGGAAACAAAACTATTAAAAATCAACGAAAGCGTTTCCTTATCAAATAAATGCTTAATTCTATTGATCTGGATCAGTTTGTTGATACAACTTGCAACGGTTACCGTTTTACGTATGTGTTCCGGTAAACTATCCTTAAGTATTCTTGCTGGAATTTTGCTAAAGCCTGGTGCTTTGTTAGAAGGCAAATTGAGGATAACACTCGTCACATCTTTCTCTGTTACAGGCTGGAATTCAAACTGCTCACTCTGCACAGGAACGTTAGAGGTTGCATAGACGTTTGGATCCAAAGTCCAAGTTTGGTCTTTTGGCCAACTGGTTGGCTTTAAGACCTATTAAACATCCAACCGATGTGAAATACTTATTACAGCCGTTGACCACGTTCTCATGTCTATCATTAAACTGGTACGCTGCAAGATTTTTTCGGCAAACATCTAGTAATCACCTTCCCTATGGAGTTTATGTTACCTTTGCCTTCCATAATCTGCGATTTCACATAGCTCCTTTCAGTCAAGCAGATTTCCCGTTTAACTTTCTGCTAAAAAAATTTATATGCATTCCATTGCAGCTTATCGTTTGTTTTCATCGCACTCATGTACCAGTTATCACGAGTTTTCATTAGCTGCATGATTTCTGGCGTGACAAACGGGTTTGGTTTCGCTTTCATTTATTCTCTTGATAGGAGCGTGTTCGTTGAGGACATCAAGAAACAGGATACTGTACACCTCCACTTGATCACCAATGATAAAAATATCCCGGCCACTTAAAAGAGAGTCGATAAAAACCCGAGTAAGGTTGTCAAGGAAATTCACGAGAGTGCTAGGAGGTCGAAAGACAGTATTTAGTAGAAACGATTTACAAGATCTCGTTTGTATTTTAAGCCATAATTGCTGAAAGCCATTGTTGGCCACTGAAGAAAGGCTTTCGACGTGCACCACTTTCAAAGTATCTCTCTAATAAACGCAAAGTCCACCACCCGCTTTGTGAGGACCACGACCTTGTCTAAATATTGTATATCCTGGTGTGTAAACAAAGGCGTCGGGAACCGAGGAATCCAGCCACGTTTCTGATATGGTAAAAATATCGAATCCATTCGACTGAATTGTATCTTTAATCAGAATGAAATTTTCTCTGAACTTCAAGGAACGCACATTAAGATGAGCAATTTTGATGTTTAAGTGAGCATCCCTTAGGAGGTAAATTCTGGAAGCCACAGTCCTTGCGGTCGGAGAGCCACGAAGCGCTGTCAAGTTTGGTCCGGGCTGTGGATGTATGTCACCACCAATTAATATTCTAATAACAGAAGGATTGAAGGAAGTAGTCCCATTACAAAATTAAAGAAGACGTCTTCCCAAGAATCGAACCCAGACGAGTTGATAACATGCACTTGGTGAACCAAGATGGCGGACGAAAGCCAAACAACTGCGATGGCATAAGCTCGATGTACAGCTAAAAACAAACCATGGCTGCACACGAACAAATGCTCTAGCTTGGTAGTATCCATTGTGGTAAAATTTGTGGTTATCAAGGCCCGCCTGACCCAATAAAAAGGTAAAAATCAGAGGAAAAGCCAGAGCGGTACGAACCGTGATCGGTCGCCATGACGAGCTCCTTCTAATACTACACCTGTAGTATTATTTCTTAAAAGTATAATAACTATGGTACCGTAATATTGACACAAAGCCTTTTCCCACATTTAGGCATAGCATTTTCAAAACGTTCTAAGAACCTACTTCTGTAGGTCCCATATACCCCTTTTACTCCCTGGATTGCAGTGTAAGTTCTCCTTACCATCCGCCATACATTTCTTTCAATGTTAGTTCGGAGAAGGTGTTATTAAATTGAAGTTTGCCTTATCATAAGTTTGATGATTTTCTCAACTCTCATGACCTTTTGGTTTATGGATTTATTATTTCTTTGAAGAAAAATTACTCATTTGATTTCTCTTTAGAGAGCAAAGGTGAAGAGAATAATGAAAGATCTTTTAGCATCTAAATTAAACCAGAATTGCTTCACCTAAGACTGGTCTATAAAACTCTAAACACCCTCTCAATATCAATCAAATGCAGTAGCTTAAAACTAATCAAGACTTGGTGGTGAGCATTTTCCTGCTTATCGGCAGTTTTCATGTGTTCAATTTGAGAGTCCATTGCCTTTTTGGATTATTATCCTTTAGTCTGATAGGCCCCTGTGATAACCTTGTTGTTGGTTTTTATTTCTTTTAAGTAGAAGGCCCTCGATAAAATCTGGCTTTGTTCCGCAGCCGTTGATGTTCTCGTGTAAGCCTCATTAGGTTGCAGCAAAATAAAAACTTTTATGAATAAAAACTTGATTATAAAGAGCCACTAGGCTGGAAGTTTCTCATGGCTGGCTTCTCGCAGAATAAAACACACATTGACCCTAAAGCTGTCCCAAACCCCCTTCCCTCCTCCCCTCCCCTCCTGAATCATGGCCCAATCGCTCTGACGAAGGGCTAACGCTCAGGGTCTGTTATTTAAACAAAGGCCATAAGAGTTTCCCCGTACTCTGCAAACAACCCCCATTGGGTGGGATGCCAATCTATTGCAAGGTTAACCTTTCCGCCCTAAAATCAGTATGCATATTCTCTACACTGTTCTCTATGTTTCCTAAGGAGCCGAGGAGAAGAATTAGTTTAACAATCCAGAGCTTTGGTCTGTGATCAATTCCTTGATTTGGGTGACCTTAATGTTTGATCCAGGGGTGATATTGTAAGAGAAATTAGATGCTCTGTCACTCCAAGGGGTCAAAAGTTTGATAAGCGTTTGTTTATCCGATTATTTTAATTGTTTAATTCCTGTAGTGAACAATTGATCCTGAGAATAGTAAAGGAAAGGCTTTGAGCTTTTAAGTTGATGAGAATGATATTAAAAACCAAAAGAAAAGAAATTATAACCACCAATTGGAATACAGAAAAACATCGCTCAGAGCCAATGAGATCTAAAAGCTACCTAAAGAAAACTGCCTGGGGACTGAAATAGATGAGACATGTAGTTGGTTGAACTTACCAGCAAGCATATCAATAAGTTTGTTTTTTCTAAGTGAATAGCCGTAAACAGTAAGCGAGTTGGACACCTCTTTCATCAGAATATTTGAATACTATTTAACATGCCGTTTTACATTATAGAATGTTCAACGTGGTATCTCAAATTTACCTATATAAAGTTAATAGAAAGAATCGCTAGAGATTGATCAAGGGTAACACAGAAGTTATACACGGACATAAAACTAATCGACAATTAGACTTATCATTAGGTTTATTTTGCGAAAACTGAGTCATATTTATTGTACCAAGATGTATCCCATGGCTTTTAGGTGTTTGTCTCCATTATCTGGATTGATAACGGCCTCGTTACCACACGTGTTTGAGCCGTCAGGGTACCCTTCTGTGCCAAATCCGATCCTTGAGTCACACGAGCCACACCTATTCTTGTTTTCGCTAACAATACCAATTCTGGCTTTAGAATGTCCACTCCGACTACAAACGACATTAAACCCTTCTTTTTCGCAGTTGTACTGTAATGATCCTTGCGAACCAATCAACTCTTTCCACTTGTCACGACCCAGTAAGGTTGCGCGGTATTGCCCATCAGCGATCAGTGAAAACAGAGAGTCAGCTTGCTTGTGGATGACAATGAACCTGAGCTGATGTCCGATCTTCATGCTGAGACAGATCTAGAGGAAGGATGTGTTCCAGTAGGTGGGTACCTTTGATTCCTGTCCGTCGAACCCAGTCTCTCCTCCAGGAAGGTTGTATCCTTTATAATCACTCCAGTAAGGTGCATAATAGCGAAAAGTGGTCTGAAGAAGATTAAGATAATTCCGTCATTGTTTCTGTGATACTCATCACATAGACAAATTCAGTAATCCCTTAGTTTTTTTCGCATTTTAAAATGACGTCTGTTTCTATTGTCAGTCAACATCATCATCATTATTATCATCATTGTGTTTTTAATCAGTCATGTAAGATTTATGGTAAAGAAAATAAATGAACTGGTATTGTCGTGTCTGTCCTTAGAATTGTCATTTGAACCTGTGTTTATCTAAAAGTTAGCAGCATCATTTTATTTTCATAAATAGGAAAAAAAAGAACATAAAAATACAGATATTAGTCTGTCATTTTGTCTTCGCTAGACCCATTGATGTTTCGAGCTCAGGGCTATCTGTATTCAATAATAAGTTCTGTATCGGAAACAACATGATTTCGAGTGCAATTTAGTGTAAGCACGAGTAAATTTTTCAAACTAAAATGCATGAACCTGAAGGGCGAGCGCGATTTGTAGTCTTTGAAAAATTTAAATGTGCTTATTATTACTAAACTGCACATGAAATCATGCTGTTAGTTGTTCATAATTTCCATGAAAAAATGTAGCACTGAAAGTCAAGACGGACGAAATTTTGGAAGCTCGCGCGCTATTCGTAATTTGCACTCGTGTTATAACTTTGCACTCGTGTTACATGAAAAATGCATTCGTTTTCAGCCAATCAGAGGCGCGTAATTTTTTTTCAGGTATGTTATTAATAAAGAAACCAGAACGTGATGAAAGGTACCTTTCTGCCGTCAATCTTCATTTCATTTCATTTCATTTTATTTTTATTTAAACACGGTCAATTCATCAGCCTAAAAATACATACACTAGAATATTTAAAATTCAAACTATATAATATAACACTAAAAGCTGTTTTCCGTGAGTGCCGTGCGTTAGACCTAAAGAATAGAGACCTTAAGATTGAGGTTTTTCGGCATTTCCCGCGAACGTCAAGAAGTCACGTGACCAGAGCCTTGCCGTCAGGTTTGCGGTTTGAGGTTCACGTTTGTACGTCAAGACCACGCTCTAGAGGTAAGTGATTTACCGCAAGTTTTTTCGCACCCTAAAACATCACAATCCCACGTTTGAGAGGAAATACTACTGTTTAGAACTATTTCGCTCATTAATTATCGAATTATTTTTATAGAAACGTGATTTTGAAGACGATTTCTCAGCTAAAAAACAAACGAATGAAAACAAACATGGCAGCCGGCTATTTGTTGTTGGAACTGATTTGCCAGTCGGATTACTTTATGGTTAAACTACGATAAACAAATTACAACAAAAGCAGATTTCTGATGATATGTAAATGCATTCTTTGTTTCCTAGATGGCTCCGTTCAGATGGCCAAGCCTTAAAAATGACATTGCCCTGGCTAAAGAAGTTGCTTCCAGAAAGCCACAAACGCATCAGGAATGGAATGAATTAGCAACTATTCTCAGTGAAGTCTTCAGTTCCGACAGCAACAGAGTTGAACTAAAGGGGCGCGGATGCCGAGAAAGATTGACAAGGCATAATTCACCAGTGCTATCACACGCGGATCTTAAGTCCCAAATATGGGCAGACGGCTAACGTGAAACCGCTAACTGCAAACTGCGGTTTAGCGTTTGCGGTAAGATGGCCAAACCTCGATCTTAAGGTCTCTAATGTCATTGATCTTACGTTTAAATACCCCCAGAGACTCTGTGTTCCTTACGTCGCATAGCAGACTGTTCCATAATGTGGCGCCATTGTAGCTAAAGCTTTTTCGGTAATAATTAGTGCGCGGTAAGGGAACATTGAGCTTATTTTCAGAGTCCCTGAGGTCATAAGCAGAGTCACGCCACGTAAACTTTGAACACAGATACTCTGGAGCTAGCCCGTGCAGACATCTAAACATCATGGTGGCTTTGTTAATTTCCTGCTGGCGTGTAAGATTTTTCCACCTTAAAAACTCGAGTAGCTCAGTTGCATCAGCATCATAGTTAGAGAATGTCAACACACAGGCTGCTCTATTCTGCAATTTCTGCAGTTTGTCTTGTAGCGTTTTCCCACAGTTACCCCAAACAATGTCACAGTAATCAAAGTGAGGTTTTACTAAGGCTTGATAAACGAGATGTAAGGTTGATGCTGGGATCAGGTGCCTAATTCGCTTTAGGGCCCCGATACCAGAGGCGATCTTTTTGGTTAATTTTTCGATGTGACTATGCCAATCGAGTTTATCGTCTATTATTACACCAAGCGATTTCGTTGCTGTAACCTGGCTCACTTGAGTATTGTTCATTGTAATTGTTGGTGAAGCTGTGAGAGTATTCAGTCTCTGCCTCGACCCTATTAGCATGAATTCGGTTTTGGTCATGTTCAATGTAAGTTTGTTTGCTTGTAGCCAGTTGAAAACGTTTGCTAGGTCTTCATTTAGACAAAACTGAACATTCTCAAGATTACTGCCCGCATATGTAAGGTGCGTGTCGTCAGCGTACATTCTTGGTTTACAATTTGATAAGCAATTTGGAAGATCGTTAATATATAATAAAAACAATAATGGACCGAGGATGGTCCCTTGAGGGACGCCGCATGTCAGTGAGTAGCTATTGGAAAGCGACCAGTTCACAGAGCATTTTTGTGCGCGGTTTTCTAGATATGACTGAAACCATTTGAAAGATTTGCCATGTATACCATAATAGTTTAGTTTCGATAGAAGAATCTGATGATCAACAGTGTCAAAAGCTTTCTTCAAATCCAGAAAAATCACTCCATTGATTTTCCTGTTATCAATATCATATGCCCAAGAATCTGTCGCTTCCAACAAAGCTGTTACAGTTGAATGATTAGCACGAAAACCTGACTGGTTTTGACATAGAATATCGTGCTCTTTCAAATAGGCATATAACTGTTCATAAACTATCCTTTCAAACGCCTTCGCCACTATTGGAATCACCGATATTGGGCGGTAATTGTTTAATTCATAACTGGCGTCTACCCTCAATATCCACATTCAATATCCCCCATGTGGCAGAGGACGGAGACTGGTTTGGAGTCCAGACCGAGGGCAACAAGTCTACTGACATCAGATCTATCAAAAAAAAAAAAAATGATTTGATCGTTTTAATGTAATAAATCAATCCAGTCCCAGTATAGAAATCAACGGGTTTTTGCGCTTTCCAATGTGGACATATTTCTCTGCCGCTAAAATGCCAGCCTTCTCTTTCTCGCTCCCTTACGATCGAATATGCGTCTAAACTTTTCTTTAGAATGTGTTGAAAGGAGTCAAATCTTGTTTTCAACAACATTGCACCAACTTTTGTTGCATATGTCTTTATAACTGGGTTTCCACGCTGAGTATTGTCATTCATACACGAGGGGAAGGGGGAGGGGGGCACTCGAATGGTGAAGATGACATCAATTGAATAAAGAAAGAATCATGATGATATGATAAATTTTGAGCTGAAGAAACAGAAACGTTCTTAAGAAGAAACCAACCTGTAGACTTCATATAGTTCCTTGCAAGACTTTACGACTTAGAAGAAAAAAAGAAATCTTGTTGGTTTATTAAATCACTTTCTCATTTACATCTAAATTCTCAGACTCCATTCACACCAAAGCGTTTCAGGCTGTTTTATTAAATACTGTTTAATTTTTTGTTTCTTCATAGAAGATGCTCAAAACGATGTTTGTCGACTTCAAACGTAGCACACTGAAAATTCCAGTTAGTGAACACTTGAAACCCATGGAATTTCAGTTTTTCTGTTTCTGATTCTCATTCAATTAAACTTGGTTTGACTCAACATTTTTTTATGCTATATTCAACTCTATGTAATCCATTTCGCACCGTCACGACATCTACGGACTGTTAAATCCTAATTCTTAGGTCAATTTTGTTGTATTTTGTGCATGCTGGCAACTGAAATTTTACGGAAAGAAGAGAGAGTTCAACGAATACTGCACTTCGCAAGACTGAACATCTCTTTCGGAGGTCAAAATATTTAAAGAAAATAATAAACGCTGGCGGTTCTCTGAAAAGTAAACCTTTTAAAAACATCCGTAGCGCTTTAAAACTTTTTCTGCTCTGAAAAAAAATCTTGTGCATTGAGGTCTTGAATATTGATCGAAATAGTAAGTATAGGCCACACATTTAGATAGTACTGATCGACTGGATCAACACTCGATCTGTCGCGCTTTGTAATGATCATTGCATCATTGATAAATATGTCAATATTGCAAAGTACCGCAGGTGTTATTAAAAAGTGCGACCGCCAGTTTAATTCATCTTCGAGGAGCCGAAAACACAAAATCGCGTCCCAGTAGTTTATTTTCCACCATTATTCAGTATATTGACAGAAATAGATTACAAAAACAACTTACCCGGAGTATACATATCAATTACCTTTCTCGCAATATTCTCCAGCGAAACTTTGTTCACAGAGACAGTCGTAAGAATTGTATTTGAAACTCGGGATGCAGGTTCCTACGTTTTGACATTGCGAAGAAGAACAAGGAGACTTAAATAAGAAAAAATGATCGGTAAAACAAGTGAATTCCTGATCCTTTTTCCTTCCTTTGGAAAATAGTTGAATAAAACTACAAGCTGTTTTAGTGTTTGATAAATAAGTGCCTGAATAAACAAATGAAGCGAACTCATGTTTTCTTGGTAGTTCGCGAAGTCTCTGTACTTATCAGAAGACAAAAATTCACACAACAGCTTTCCATCTGCTCCTTTGAAGGCGGCCATATTTATTGAAAGGAACAAAACATTTTTTAAACATTGAAATGTGCAATCTAACAGGTCGTACAAAGTGAATATTCCAACTCGTGTTACGTTCAGATAATGAAACTCTTCTTTTCAAAACAGAAGTTGTTCAAAGGACCGCATCATAGGACGCCATCCCTGTTCCAAACCTTTTATTCCTTATTCCTATCAAATAATCGCGGTTTAAGTTTTGCTTGGGCAGCAAAACTTTTTTTAGTCGTGTTTTCGATAGCCTATCTTACAAACTATGCCCCTCATTAGTTGCGGGATTTTGCTGCGTTCATCATATAATTTTGTGAAAGACCCATTAAGATTGTTGAATTGGTTTAGTGTTTGAGTATTTGACGTTCTGTGTGAGATCTATACAAAATATTTGCGGACTTTTCTCGTCATTGTGTGAGCTAACATTTTAAGGCATAGTTTTAGTCTTCATTTATATTTACTTCGGCCATTAACATCGATTTTCTGGACCCAAATTCCGACAGGATGGGTTTTATGGAATAAAAAACTTGTCAATTATTGAAATTGTTTTTTCTTCAGACAGTTGGTCGTTTTTCCACAAAGAAAGGAGATCTTCCCGGAAGATGCAAATTAAGAAATATTATAAAACGACTTTGATAATAAGAACATGACAAATTCTTAAATGCATTACCTATACATTAAATTTTACTAAGACAACTGTTCTTCCAGTAATGTCTTAACGACTCAACTGAGTGTTGATATAGCGAGAGGTTTTCGATAATATTAACCGTTGGTAGCAAAATAATGCAGCCGTTAGGCGTAGAATTGATCGAACTGGAAGATGTTAACCGTAATTACCATTAATATCCAACACAGATTACGATGTTTGGGCAAAACAGTTTATTGACTGGGAGAACGAGATGCTGGCGCTAAAAATCAATGAACTAAACCCGTAAGGCTGGTATGGTCGGGAAAGCGTTGACTTGCCCGAAACTGGCTGAGCGACAGAGCGATCTAAAACCCGATACACTGAAACAGTTAAAACTAACTGATCAGGGGCGTGTTCTCTACGGTAATTACCTATCATCAGCCAGGGTGATCATTGTACCACTCCGTAAACAAAGTTAACTGTAAAAGTTCAATGTTTTAAATTTGGCAAAAAGAAATTAAATAGTAGCCTTAACAAAGCCAAAAATTTAACCATCAGCTATAAAAGCCATCACCCTACTGAGACCTACTGGTAAACAAAGTTATACGTTATCGCGAAAATTAGAAAAATCTTATCCGAAAACAATTTGCGATACAGGCAGCCCAAGCTTCAGCTGTAAGATGATCATGTTGTGAAATAACAGTCATGACGAAATTATAAGGTTTTGTATGGGAGTATTAACGACTGCACCAGGGAATACAAAAATAAGTCAAATTCTCAACAAAAATACCTCAACTTACTTCCGCAGTGTATCGCTTGATATCTGACCGCTTACTGCATTGAAAGAAACCCATTTTAGCGAGTTATCCATTTTGAGGTCTTCTACGTACATATGAAAAGTTTCTTAATGGGTTCCCTTCAACGTAGTAAGCAGTCAGATAACAAGCGATGCACTGTGGAAAAAAGGTGATTAATTTTAATTGAGAATTTGACTTACTTTTTCATTCCTTAAAGCGGTCGTAAATATTCCCGAACAAAATCATATAACTTGGGCATTACTTTTTCTTCAGAAAATGATCATCTCACAGCTAGAGCTTGGCCACCTGAGGTTCGCGACTAATAATATGGAGATCAAACGGAAATTGGAAGACATGAACGATGATTTATGCAGGAAACTATAGTGGTCATCCGTTAGGAGTGATAACTCCGGCATATAGGATTGGGGTCAATTTCCACTTCTTATTCCTAGAGCATTTGCGCACTACCGTGCGAAGAACTATTTGATATTCTGCTGATCGTGTTTTGGCCGGCTTGTTATAAATGTAAACAATTATCTCTTAAAACAACTTTGAATATATGATTACATTACTGAGGAGTATCAGCGTAGGGAAACTATTCCTCGTGTTGCCGCATGCACCCAAAGTAATGATGAAACCAGGCGCTTTTCCTCTATCTTTGATACAATCAATATCAACTTGATTTGTTCAACTACATTGGACATGTATGTTCAACGTCTGTGCTACCGCACAAAAAAAATTGATGTAATTTCAAGGAAAACAGCTTTCAACAAGCGGTAGCTTAAATTTTTGCATGAACCTACTCACCCCGCTTATTGACCAGCATCTCAATGTTCGATAACAACGAAATCGAATGCTTTGAAAGACCGTTTAGAACATGGGTTCTAAATAGCTTTTAATCTGAGTCACATGAAGGAAAGCTAAAAAAAAAAAGTTAATAGTAAATATATTTTAGCGCAACCGAAAAAATTAAATGATAGCCGTGAAATGGCCAAAAATTTAAATGTTTAGCGTAAAGAGCCATCACCTCAAGTTAGACTAGTTTAAAAAAATGGTCGGATGCAAAAATTCTCGAATTATTTTTTTTCAAAAAAATGAACAAATTTGAAACAGGGACGAGAATGGTGATGAAAATTAACATTCAGCAGACAATGCAAACAAAGTTTGGTTCAAAACAGAGGCCCCAAGAAAGTGCGTGGAAATGCGATTTACAAATACTTTTTCTCAACACTCACTGCTATGAATATTTCCGGTGAAATGTTTGTAAAATATGACTGATGTAAGATTACACAAACTGATTGAAATTTACTTTACATTCAAACGGTATAGTCGATTGTATGAAGATGAAAAATAGGTCTCGTATACAAGATATCTAATCGCTTGAAGATGTAATCGTTTTGGAATAAATTGAGACATAGAAGATCTACACTCGAGTCTACACATTTCATGTGTTTCCATTGTCTTATCGAAAGTTTCAAGAAAGTTGGAAAAAAAATATCAGACTTTGTGCCTCGTCAGCTGGTAGTCAGTAACTTCACTTAAGATCATGTGACATAATGAGAACAAGAACTCAGTAATTTTACAAAGGATCATACGATATGGCCAGAACGATAGGTGGCCGCTAGTATTTCACTAACGCTCACATCATCTACAATGAGATCGCTCATCCTCAGTACTTTCACTGGACTATTACAATTACTTATTTCCATTCTTTAAAAACACGTTTGCATTATTAATCCGTTGGATATTGTTCGTCACCCTTCGATCAACCGAGACCTGATTTTTTGATCGCATAACCATTACTATCTAAAAACACTGGGCAAAATGCCAAATTTTAGTGCCAATTAAGTAAAATTAAATAGTTATTGAACCCAAAGACAAATTTAAGCCATGCTTTGAAGCTGTAATTTTGATAAACATTTAATACTCACAAAGTGTACTTGCATTTGATATTTACATTTGAGATTCAAACTTTTCATACAACATTCAAATTCGAGATTTACAGTCAGGATTGTATGTGCAGGATTTTCTTTGGAGACTTGTATTGAGCATTTATTATGTTGACTTAAATTCGCGAGTGTTGTGAAGCTTTAAAGAGCAAGGAAGTGTTGTAAAATTCTCTCAGTTTCTTCGAATTCCAGTTGATGTGTATCCCTAGTATATGCATATGGAAATTAGCGATGGATCTCTGCCCTTTAATAACCTAGGGGAGTATTGCGAGTTTAATGAGTTTCTCCACATTGCTCTTTCAGTCAAGCCAACTGAAATCTGGTCGCATCATTTATCATATCAGTTGTTTAGAAGCAGAATCCTATTGTAATCATTTTCACAACGCACTCTTCCTGTTACAATTTATCTGAGTTTAGCACAGACGGGTTATGTAATTATTTAGGAATTTGGAAACACTAGTAATCACTCTAAGAAAAATAGCGGCATTCTAAGTTTTAAAAAAGGTGTCGTCGGGACGTGTAAGGTGCTCAAGACAACTGCGTGAACTTCAGGGACCGCATGGATAAGAGTGCTCTATTTGCTGTGCAACACTAGTTGCTACTATTTAGTTGTGTCTATTATTTGAGACGTTATCCTGACATGGGAAAATATGATTTTATTTAGAATTCGTAACTATTAATAGATCAAAAACATGCAAGACCTCTTGTAAACGCTGCTAATTCATTAGCAAATTTCTCTCGATGCGTTCAGTGCCCTTTATTCTGTTCATATCTCCCCTCTAACTTGCTCTGCTTTAAAAAAAAATGGATTCCATGTTACCGTGCACCTTTTCAATAACAAATCATAGCATGCACTACACAAGGTGCAGCTGAGTGAATCACTGATGTTTCATTAAATCTACCATTGAATGGACCCACGACGACTTTGAATCTATTTTTTCTATGTAATAAAGAAGCAAAAATGGTCGGTGGTGACGCTATCTATTCGTCTGTCTTCCAGTAGATCACTAGTAAGAAGTAATAAACTACATTTTGTAAACTTCTTCAAGAATAGTGTGACTAGAAAAATTGTCACCATCTGCTTAATATCACGTTTGACTGGCCCACTTGCTAGGAACCAACACTTTCATGCAACGAGACAAAGAGGCAAAATACAGTCTGTTTTCTCTAAACAAATTCCATTATTTGAATATGCCGAGAGTTGGACTATTGTTGGTGTACAACGATTTTGAATGTGCCTTTAAATGCCTTCAACATCCTTCATGCTTCTCTGAAAACCTTGCTACTAAAGGGAAACTATGGTGCGAGTTCCTGTCATCTGATATGTAGAGCGACCCCAAGGAATTCAGACAAGACAAAAGTTGGCATTACTTTTACATTGTGGTAAGAATCGGTTTCTCTCTCATTTGATATTAGCCGAAATTTTGATGGAAAAATGCCATGTTTAAAGCAAAATAGTTCAGGAGAAGTTAAATGATAGCCTCTCTGATGTGTAATTACGTGATCATTTCTTCCAGCCATTTCCTTACTTCTAGATAGAACTGTAGTCCAAGTATAATTTTTTTTTCTTATTCATAATCCGTTTGCAATTTTAATTGATCATTTATTTATCTATTTATCTAATGC